GATTATGAAGACAATCATTTTTTTGTTTTAACAAAAAAAAACGATAATCTATTCATTATAAACTTTATTCGACAGTCCACTCCATTTTAAAAACCGATAAATAGATGGTGAAGAACAATGACAAATCTGGTCTATGTTATAATTAAAATATATTTATGATAACCAAAATTATAATAAAATAAATAAAAAATATTTTCAATAAGATTTTTCTATGATTTTTACTTATTTTTACCTGATTCTTACTTGATTTTCCCGATTTTGTGATTCAATCTTTAAAATAAATATACTTTTTGGAATTGTACTAATTTTTTTCTTAAATTACCTCATTTGAGAAGTAGAATCCATTTTTTGCTTCAACTCGATTCATTAAAAGGCTACAATTTTTTCAAATCGATTTTTTCTTTACTATAATTTTTTTAAACATGCAATTTCGATTAAACAAACAAATAGACCATTTTCTACACTATTTGAAGAATATAAGCAATTTTTTAGAAGTTCTTATAATAGATAGAATAAGCAGAATAATACTTTTTAGATGCTGGGGTGATCGACACCCCATGTGATCATTATGTGATTTTACTGATGTGTGATCACCTAAGGTTAAACTTCACTCTAAAATAAAGGTGCCCCCATACTAATGTTGAACTGTATAGAAATAGAAATAAGAATTTTACTGTTTCTACAAGGCATATCCACAAAGTAAGAGTACTGAGACTCTGATGCTCTGTGTGTTTTTTTTCGACAACGTTAGCAACACTACATTCAACGCCAAGGTGTTAGAAGCAGAACGCGCATTCATTTGTCTCAGTCAGTTGAGAGCTGTTGTTGTAGTGGCGTGTTGAAATTAGTGCCGCTATTCCGAATCCCGCCAGCTGCCAGGGGAGGAGCGTAATTTGGTTTCTTCTTGCCGTTCCAGTTTTTTTAATGAAATCAAAACTTCTACAAAACAGCTCACGCATCAACGGAGAGCGATACAGAACAAAAGAGGGCGAGTGTTAACAAAGGGAGTGTGCGACAATGCACGTCCTCGCACAACCAACGCCACAAAGCAACTCTTGGATTAATTCGCTTGGAACATCAACTACCCCGCTCACAGCCCTGACCTGGCACCTGTTGATTTTCATATTTTCTCTTCTCTAAAGTTGGTTGAAGGCAACTACGTCGAAAAATAGTGTTTGATGTACCGTTTTGAATACATAAAATTTTCATAAATATACTGCTGTTTCAATTTTTAAAAAATTGAGTACTCTTACTTTATAGATATGCCTCGTACCGTTTTTTAAATTCAACACACTTAAATGTTTACTGATAACTTATCTGTTTAAAACTACCTAGTGAGAGTTTAAATAATGGTTATAACACTAGAAACCATTTCAACCGATTGCTCACGTAGAGAAACTTATCATTAATCCTGGCACACTCGTTATAAGTGGACCTGACTGTATGATTACAGTTTAAATCTACTTTTGGGCAACAGTTTACGGATTTTTGAGCAGAACCTCAGTTTTTTTAAACATCCCATTCTGTCTGACAAAAATTTTTTTGAAATTTATTTATCTAGATACTAATCCATTAGTACCAATAGTATTAACATGCAAGTAACTAAATCTTTCCATTCCTAAAATTTAATCTAAAAACATAGAACCAATATTGTTAAAAAAAAGCGATAATATGCCTTCTATTCAAAAATCAGTTCTCATTAGATTATAGTGCAAAGAAAAAAATTTCAAAATAAAATGCTTAGAGAAAAGCATCATTGTGCGACATTTGAACGTTTTTTGAAAAATAAAAATGCTGGTTACAAATTAGAATAAAATATTATATTAAATTATTTCATTTTAAATATCAAGGATGCCTAGCAAAATTGCGAATATATCATGTATTATATTAAACAATTTTACCTAAACGTTCCACATTTTGCAGCCATGTTTTGAAATATTTATGAATACTCTTAAATTTTAAATTTATACTATTAATTATAATTGTAAAATTGTACATATTATTCTAATAAATTTTTCCTTTTAAAATGAAATATTTGTCGCGATTTCAAATACATTGCAATTTACAGTAATATCAAACTTCAATGAAAAACCACATTCATAAAGTTAACATTTGTGATAAACTATTTTCTTATCAAATACCATTTACCAAGTACAAATTGCAAAGAATTGCAAACTTTGTAACATGTTTATAATTTTTTAACTCGATAATATAATGTAACACATCCAAAATAGATCGAGGACATTTCCTAATGATAGTTCACATTGGGTGCATACACTTCTATATGTATGTACAGTGTCACCAACAAATTTCATACCTTATGAGAAAATTTTATTAATATCACCTAAACGAGTTTTTGGGGTTTAACATTATTTTTAATCATAATTTTAAACGTGATTCAAAATTTACCTAGTTCCAAGAATTTATTCCAAAACCATCTTGATTTTTTCATTCTGTATAAAAAAGAAGCAATGCAAAATAATTATATAATATTTTTTTCAGTGTACATTTTAATAATAAAACAAACCTGTACATATTCATTTAAGTAAAATACGAAGATCGTTATATTTCAATTTGTGTATCTATTATTTTAATAATAGTTAGAACAAATTCTTGAAAGGAGATACATTTTGCATCATATTTAATTAATTAAAAAAAAAGTTAATGTTTTATAACAAAACGTATTTAAAACAATTTTCTAGTGTTTATACTCTATGAAGTGAAAATTTTAACAGATATACCAAATGAAGCGATTGTACACATCATTTGACAAAAACGATTTGTACAGTAAAATTTTTCAAAAATCGAATACAAAATTTTCTCTCTTTCAAAATGTGACACATACTTTGTTGATAACACTGTATATTTACGACAAATATAGGTATTTTGGACATCATGACGTGATACAGAGGTTTTCCTAAATGTAATGTTGACCAATAAATCTTTATGTATAAAATTCTTCTGATTTTTAAAGAGAGTCGATATAAATGTTGTGATCTGCTTATATAGACTGGAAATATCTTTTTTACAATGGCAGTAGGTTAGATTGAATAGGGTTGCCAATGTGCTAGTAATTACTTGGAAATTGAGTATTTTACGAGTGCCTGCAGGCAAAGAGAGTTTGAAGATAAAAACGGGTGGATTCGCATTTCAAATATTCAATCCACTCAAAACTATGTTATATTTTGCGTTTTGGTAGAAATTAATAAAAAAGATCAACTGCACACAGCTAACAATCCTTGAAAACTGTAATTATATGACTGCAAACATAGCTACTGTTCCTAGATGGACCATTTAAGGAACGTTAACCAAATTGCAAAATTAAACTATTTGTTTAGTTCTCAATTTATTTTAATTATAAATATATCTTATTTGGTTATTTATGGGTCATAACTGAATTTCATCATCCCTTCATAATGCATAAAGAAATTATTCAATTCCTAAACCCCTTAAAAACGTACTGCACTGGATCCCTTGACAGGCTATGATTTATTTCTTTGCATCGAATATGATCCTACTATAGTGACTAATATATAAACAAACATAACATTTTATTTTACATTTACTGTTTTCTTATGCAATAAAAAACGAGAATTATTAAAAATTTACTAGAAAAATATAGTAAAGTTGTAGTTATTTTCTAAACAGTGGAGTTGAAAGACCATTCGCAAATCCAAAGTTCCAACATTTTTCTGTTTTATCAATCTCAAAAATTAGAAAAGTAAAAACAATTAAATCCATATAGTGAGAGGCGTTTTTGTTAATGCTTATGCGGGAAAAATTGTGTATTTCTTTGAGCACAGTAGGGGAATTGACTGAAATGGCATTGGCAACCCTGAGTATAAAGACCTAACCTACAAAAAAATGCACTGCTGTCAACATCCAATTTTCGGTTACATCGCTTGTAAAATATTTACAACTCTTATGAATTCATCATAAGGTTACTGTCACAATTGCTATTAAATTTTAGGTCGAGGTGTGACAAGTGATCCAAGTTCTTTGTCTCGTAATAACTAAAGAATTCATGTAACAGTTCAAGGTCATATCATAGTATTTGAGGAGCAGTTATGTAACCTTTACTAAGAATTTTGAAAAGAGTAAAGAAGTGAATATCGAAACAACACAACGTGATACATATCTACAAATTTCGGTTTTTTAAGTCACGATATGTGAACATAAAAATTCAAATGAGAATATTCACACGCCTAACAGGTTTACACATATGTCCATTAACACACAGAGATCAAAAATCAAATTTGAATGGTAATTAACAAAAAATCATTCATATTAACATTCGTCCACAAATACTTCATTCTTTATTTATAAGAGGTTAGATTAGGTTAGGTGAGGTTAGGTTATTGTTTATAAAGTCTAATTTTTAGTTCAATTTACAATTACAGTTGAGGGCAGTGATGCAAATATTATTTTTTATGCACTTCGTGGATGAAAAGTACTGTTTTAATTCTGATACGATGGAGTATAAGGAGATTAGATTTAGTTTTAATCCCTCTAACAAAAACAAATGAATGCAATATAGAGGGAGTAAAGTGTCACTTTTAGCCCTAAGAGATTAAATTTGCTAATAATCCCTTTAACAAAAACAAATGAACATTTCCAAAGCAATTCAAGCGGCTGTCAAAATAATTTGACAGTTACACTGATATTTCACCTGAACACCAAATGAAATATGCAACTTCTGTGTATCCAATCAAAATGTGTTTAATTAAATTTAATAAATACATTTGGATTGGACGTGCCACCAGTGGAGCTTCTTGACATCTATAGGTATGATACCGGCCTTAAAGTGCATTATACCGCGGTATCTAAATTTTATGTGAAATCAATATGAAAAATAATTTTAAACTTTATCATTCTCAAAATCTGAACAAATAAGTCTTTGCAGACAGATGTTTATAGGACTTTTTAACATAAACTCTTTGATCGACACGATCGCAATTTCCAAAAAGTCCTTATATGAAATTTTCTGCTCGTGTATATTTAATACAGCTATTATACCGAACGCAATTATTTGTATTCCTCAATTATAACCATTCAAAGTTGATTATATTTAACAAAATTACACATTCAATTCACTTACTTTCGATTTGTCGTTTAATTAAACAAGAACCGATATTGTAGTTTAGTGAAGAGAAATATGTAAGGGTCCTTATTGGCTCACTCAACGATAGAAATGTGGTAAAAATGTTAAATTTCATACACCAATTGTCATTCTATATCTAACAACGAATTGCTTCAGGTAAATAAAACTCTAATAAATTTCTGTTCTTTTAGGTGCACATAAAAACACCTAAATGCACCTAAGTAAAATGTCCAGTCGTCAAATATATCATTATTCAACATTTTATTTTTCAAACTTTACCTAGATGCATCAACATTAATCGTTTTATATATTAATTTACGTAAATTTCTATCATTTCTCTAAACATCGACAAATCTGATATATTTAGTCTTAATAGTTAACATTTAATAGTTCTGACTTATTCAAGACAATCTTAAATTATTTCTTTATCCGTCGAATCAATTTTCGAAATGAAGCCGTCCATTTTGTGCGGGTTAATTTAGCACAGTCGGCTTCGTCTAAAATGGCATTTGGACAAAATTTTTCTTTTGGTGTTGTAGCGTTACTTTTATAGTCCCCACATATATCTGACGAAAAACCAGAATCGCTGCCATAGCCTAATAAGAAAAAGCTGTTACAATATTTTCATAACAAGGAGAATCTATATATACGAGGGTTGCCTTTTATCTTTCGGGAAAGACGATCCTGGTGCTGCCATCTGACAACCGACATCCTTATTATAAAATCAGAAATTTTGATGTACACTAGCCGTGTTGTTTACAGTGACTTGAAAAATCTCTGCAAAATGAGCAAAATCCAACAAAAGTTGTTTGCACACAAAACACTTTTAAGCAAACGGTTGCCCGTTTTTTGGAAAAACTGGGCATGTGGTTACTATACCATTAGTGCAAGTCAGATTGTCAATTCTGAATGGTACACAACCATTTGTTTACAAGAAGTCTTCGGAAAAATAAGGGAAACCAACCGCTGAAAATGCATCATTCTCCACCAGGACAATACGAGCTCACAAACATCGTCTCAAACAAGAGACTATTTGAGAACTGAACGAGTCGAATAGAAGAGTCATACAACCCTAATTTAATACGAAAATTCCTGCACATCAAAAATAAATTACGAAGTTCATGTTTTTTGATGCCTGAAGAAGCGGTTAATGCGTTCAAAATGCATGTTTTGGAGGTACCTCAATCAGAATGGGAAAAATGCTTCGATAATTGGTTCGAGCACATGCAAAAGTTTATTGATCGACAATTTGAATATTTGAAAAACAATAAATATAGGATGATTAATTTTGTTCTCTATTCCCGAAATATAGAAGGCAACCCTAGTATATCCACGTCACTTGGCCTTAAAATCATTGGTCAGAAAATACACCTGACATATACCAGTTTCAAGTTTATTAGTTGTCATTAGTATGTCACCAGTGAGATCACCGATGAAGGATTTAACATTCTTGATGTTTATCTACAGACATACTTGAGTGTGGGTGAGATATAACCTATAAAACATATGTCATATCTTAAATGTCATTGCTACTTGATGCGTACTGGCACCATTCCTAAATTTTCAGGAGTTTTGCGAAGCTCACAAACATCAACATGTTTAAATATACGAATGGCTCCAAATGAGAATTTTAAATTCATAAATCACAATGTATCCACTTAAACAGTTTAGTAATAGAAAATAAACTTACCTCTAATACTATTATAATTCCCTTGACTTAGAGCATCGCGATCTTCTTTATCAGAATCTCTGAGATAATTTGAGGAAGTGTCTGAAGCATCGTCCATGTATGAAATCGATAATTCAGCGAATGGAACACTTAACGACGAACACTCACTCTGGGTAGCTGTATTGTTTAACTGACAAAACCATTCGGATAAACTTTCACCTTCACCGTGAATAGGCGAAGGGGGTGGTTTTATCATATTCCGCATTTCCAAAAATGGAGTCTGTAGGCATCCAAATAATTTACGACTGAAATAACATTAGTAAGTATAAATAAGAACAACAAAAACTGACAGACATTACTCGTATTTCCTATTGTGTGGCGTCATTTGCCGGTAAGTTGCTTTTGTGTAGGCACAAACAGAACACTTCTTTTGTCTGCAGGTAGCAAGGTGCTGCACAGCCTTTTGAAATTGAGAAGCTAATGCGTCACTAGCGTGTTCTATTAATTTGCAATCTTCTTCCTAAAGAAGATATCGCGTTAATAATAATGACTACAGTGAGAGATTATACTTTCTTTACGAGCTTTTTTAAAAAAAAATTTTTATCGCAGAGTACTACAGATTACTAATTATAGTTGTTACGATATCAATTAGAACCTGCGAATCTTAAAGTACAGGACCATCTGCACTTCTCTTGAAATTTCTTCCTGTGCTTTATTACATTATCTGTCTCGTAATTTATAGTCGAATAGCCATTGGACGAGTCCGGTATTGGTGAATCAGTCCGCCTGATGTAGAATCGACGGCGGCACGCTGGTCGTCAAAGCAAACCTGTATTGGTCCACTAGGTCGTAAATAATTTTTTTGCATGGTATTCTATAATTAGTTTACTGTCAAACGCTGTTGTCTTGGTTTTGCAAGTGCAGTGGAGAGCAATGATTGGCATTGTTGTTTGTTGGTATAATACGTATTATTAACTATTAGTTAATATTATTTGTAGTCATTAAAATAAATATTATATATACGTAATTATCTACTAATTTAGCATGGCTTTCTGGAGATCCTATGAAACGGAAGACAACGAAATAACCCGGGAAAATCCCCAAATAGTCAAGCCGGTTTTTGTTTAAACTCAGAGTTTAAAAACAAAGATTTACACGTACAAAGTCAGCGTATTATTTGAAATATATGTGAATGTTTGAAAAGAGAAAATGGTGAACAATGTGATAAAGAAATTAGGAAACGGATTAGCGAATTAACTAAAATATCAAAAACATCAATCTATCCTGTAATTAATGAAGGAGACGTTATTAATCACGGTACAAAGAGGAAACGGAAAAATACAAAATTAACAATTTATAATATGTATAAAGAAAATAAAGTTCCTACTTTAAACATGATCCGAAATAAATTAAGCGATTATCCTGATTATAATTATAAATCTTTTGATACTTTACGATATGTATTACAAAACGGTTTTAAATATAAAAAACTTGACAATCGTATGGTAATTATGGAATCACGATGTATAGTTGCACTTCGCGAAGATTATTTACAAAAAATTAGAGAATTTCGTCAACTAAATAGGAATATAGCTCGGAATATAGAATATCTAGACAGGGCAAAATTTTTCTGGGGTTCCAACTGATATAGTAACGACTATACTATGATGATATTGTGTGAATTTTTGGACAGACTAATAAAAATTGAGACAGATACATTAACAGAATAATTTAGTGACATCCAGTGGCAGTACATACTTGGTAAATAAACATCAATTGCAACTGAAATTTAAGAAAAATTATGAAAATTTGAGAATACTCCGACACTCCCTGATACTTCGAGATATTCTCGGTTTTCTAAATTATGTTAAAATAATTTAATCAAAATAAGAAAATAAAAACAAACTAGCCATGTTTAAAATCAATTTTTTTTTCTAACTTTGCATTGTAATTTGTCAATTGCAGTGTTTTAATCAAAATTCAGATTTATGAAAAATTTATATGTTAAAAAAAGTGTTTCTGGTTAATTAGGATGTTACAATATGTACAGGATGTTAATCTACCAACAAAATTTTGAAAATGATCACAAATGAGAAAAGTTCATATGAAAATTTTATTTCTTTTAGTAAAAAACTGTACAAAAAAATAATTAATACACTATTGAAATAACGAAAAAAATTACAAAAAAAGTGGGGTTTTAAAGTTTTAACCAATTTTATAAAAATTCAAATGTTTTATAAAAAATTTTATATTACGTATTCGGTATTTACTACTCTAAAACCTTCGGCATTAATTAGTCGTAAAAAATGATGCCACATATTTGTACACGTTTGTCACTTAATTTGTATTCAGTTCAGAGGAAAATAATTCAATGAATTCAATTATAATATTAAAATGTGTTACCTGATTTTCTAAACAATGTGAATCATTTATTACTCTTCTTCTTTGAACTGGAATTAAATACCTTCCCAATCCTTTACGTTCTGCTTCCAGCGCTTCTTTTAGTTGATCATTCTGTAATTGAAATGTAACTTCATTAGTAAATAAATTGCAAAACTCAAAAAATGCAATGATTGATTTTTTTTATTTTTTGAGATAAATCATTTTTATCAACCCTGTAGTAGAGTGGTAAATTTTAATTATCATATTTCAAGTGATATAAAAAATATAAAAAAAAACAACATTTATGCCCAATCCCTTGAAAACAATAGACTAAGAGGATGAATTAATATTAATCTACTAGTTCAACAACTTTTAATACCTCTCTTTCTAAACATTCCTTTTCATTCTTTATCATCGTCATATGACGAACCACTTCTTGTCTAGCTTGTTCTAATCTTCGTCTATTATATTCCGACTCTCTTGCTTGCTCCTTAAGCTAAAAATTTATTATTAATGTTTACAAAAAGTATTTATAAATACGAGATTCTTACAATTCTCAGTGTTTTATCTCTTTCCTTCTCTATCAAATCTTTCTGCTCTTGGCATTTATCTTTTTCTGCTTTTAACTAAAACAGTAAGGATATTAAATATTCACATTATTTAAATTAAATTTAAAAATTTTAATGTGTCTTAGCCCGTTATTTGATCTTAATATAACCCTGACCACTGCAAAAGCAACTTAATTATTTTACCTTATCGCACTGCTCTTCCAAATACACAACTCTTTCAAACTGCAGAAAGACCTCATCTTCTTTTTCTCTCAATAAAGACTCGTTCGATTCTAAACGTCTTGTTAGTTTATCCCTTTGTTCTATTAAATCGTCCCTTTCCATCTGTTTAAAAAACATGATACAATTAATATCAGCAATATTGTTAATAGTTATGAGCATTACCTTCACTTCATGATACTTTTCCTCTAAGTAATATGCAATATTTCGTGCTTCTTCATACTTCTGAGAAAGATGTAAATATTTGTCATAGTGTTTTTTGAATAACACAAATCTAAAACAATATTTTATCTATTAATTACAAGAAACTGTTAAAAATTGACGTTTTACAATAGTGGATATATGCATTGTTGTAACAAATTTCTGTTTACTTTTATATACAAAATAACACGGTATTAATAAAACGTGCTTTAACTATTTTAGATCTCATTTACATGACGACTGCATCATTATTCCACTGAGATTACTACACACACAAACTTAAAAGTACAAACTCTAACTTTTCTTGTTTTTAAATTACGATATATTTTTGTTATTCAAATTCTATTCTAGTTTAACTGAATTCGAAAAAAATGTAAATGTAACCAAATGAGCAGTGAAAAAGAGAATTGTTTATAGAATACTTAAATGAAGAATATTTTCACACTTGTAATAGAAATAGAGCAAGAATAGTAACAATAAAACTTACACATATTTCTCTAACTTCTAGTGATTCTAGTGATTTATCTTGTTGAATGAACATACTAAAAATACTGTAACAATCTTAAACATTTTTAATCAAATTATGACATTAAAAAATGATTCCCAGTCCTGTTTAAATTATATACCCACTTGTCATTTAGAAATAATCTCAGAATCAATAAAAAAAAAATGGATAAAATGGTGATATACGATTCTATATAAAAATTTTCGTCAAATTCTAATATTGAAACATTGACATGAATTCTGATACTTTGTAACGTAATGCAGAATCAGAATAATAAGATTGTTATCACAAAGCACAAAGTATGTCCGCTGATGCTGACTGTTAAGTACGAATATGATCATCCATTTCATAAGTGGACTTTCGCTAATGCATGTGCATCCTTATACCTTATATCATACAGATACAGGCACTATATTTTTCCAAAAACAGAAATTATTATAACTAAATTCAATTGTATACCCAACTGTTATCAGTATCCACATACTTGTAAATCATTCAACATTAAACATCCCTTGTATATCTGTCGGTACACTGACGCAACCATAATTATCACAAAATGTAAAATTATGTGGTAAATTAATGCTTACCTATATCATGCGTGCAAATTGACTTTTATGAATAAAAAAATTTCACGTAGACTAAATACTATAGATATACACCAGCTTGGCATATAAATCTTGAAATAACCAATTTAAATAAGGAATATCAGTAAACATACCTGTAGAAGTCATTTTCTGTAACAATATCTCTAATACTATCCTCTGGATCGACCCTATCATATACTGGTATTCGTCTTCTATGACTTTTGGGTAGAATAAGTTCAGCCTTATCTAAAAATTCTTCTTTTGTGGGTGATATCGACGATGTTACATCAAGGAGGTTCTCTGAATGTCCATGATGAATTTCTTCGGATACTGGTAGAGATTCTGAGTTTTGTAAGACCAATTCATCACTTTTACTCGATGACAAATCATTATAAAATTGTTCAGTGGCTCTATTAGCTCTGTAGGTATCCAAAAAAGATCTAGGAAATGTATCGCCACGGGAAATAAGCAATTCTGTCATGATTGTTACTTACTAATTATTTATTTCTGACCGATTTATTTAAACTACACACGTATTCAAGGAATTTCATTACTAATTCCAATAATACAACTGAAAAATAAAAAATAGCAAACAAACAACACTTGTTTTGTTTCTTATTCTGTGACAGTTATATCACTTCTAAATATATACAAATACACAATCCACAATCTACGAAGTAACTTGGTCATCAATCATTTTTGCATTACTCAGTTTATAGTTTCCATTCTTTACAAATGTCAAAATTGTCAAAGTCAAATGATTATATTTAGGCTTTTTCTAACGAGACTAACCGAAAATACCAAGATCCAAGATCACTTTTGTGAAGTGGGCTCGCATAGCATGACGTCATTAGACTGTAACCTGAAATCACAGCCGTTGATTGGTTTAATATGGCGGGTTTATAAATTCAGCCAATCAGCTTTTCGGTATCAGATTATAATCTAAGGAGAACCGTGTCCCGTTCCAAATTAAGTTTACGATTCACAATACAGGTGGATTCAGATTAAATAAACAGAAAATGAATAATATGGAATACAGAACGATCTGAGTTGTGAGACAATAACCGAACGCGCTTATATTTTGTGAAAAAGCGTGGATCCACATGCATGCGTAATGATGACGGATTCCTTGTAACCACGTGACCAACAACATCCAATTGTGCATCAGTAAAACGACTATTCCGTGACAGCACCGGCAGATGTCACAGATGACAGTTGATGTCAGCTGTTGTTGTGAGCGTATTGTGGTATTTATCTATCATAATTTCATTTTTATTTCATTAATTAAAATGCAAATAGTTACGTAAATATTATAACTTTACGTTAAATATCATGAATAAAAACTTGCAATCACCTACAAAATTAACGGAGTTTGCTCCTTTACAACCTGAAGAAAGACCACAAAGCGTTGGACAACTTATATCGAATTTTTTTAAAATAACTAAAAACACAACACAAGTCGAACAAACTAGTGAAACTTTAGATAATGATGGTCAAGAATCTCTTCCTAATTGGGCTATTAACTCTTCAGTTGAGGCTTATGCTGGAAAAGAATCAACAGCAAATGTTTATAATGTTGATGTAAATGAAGGCCGTAGTTTACCTAATGTTTTAAAGAGAATAAGTAACTTATTAGCGTTAAAAAGCACAGTAAGTGTCTCTTGTATTATACCATATATTTATTGTCACAAAAGCAGTAATAAAAATACATATATTTCTACCAGAATTACATTATAATTCTATCTGAATTAATTTTCTGCTTTAGAGTTTACAAGATTATGGGGATACAGAATTAAAACAGTATTGGATGCCTGATTCAGTAAGTAAGGAATGCTATGAATGTTCTGAAAAATTTACTACATTTCGCAGACGACACCACTGCAGAGTATGTGGACAAATATTTTGTTCGCAGTGCTGTAATCAGCAAATTCCAGGAAAAATTTTTGGTTGTACTGGTAAGTCGCTCTGGTAATGTTTCATTTCATATTATTAAACAACCCAGCAAACACAAAAACTGGCATATATGACCATTGATTGTGTTTGCTGGGAAACTTAATATTTAATGTTAAATTGATTTAATTTACAGGTGACTTAAGAGTATGTACATATTGTTGCAAAGTAGTCCTATCCTATCTACAAACTTCTGATTTAGGCACTGATTTGTCAACAGACTTGAAAATTTTACAGGAAAACTTACAGTCAAAATTTGGATCTTCACTTTCTCCTAGAGATCTGGAAGATAATGTTACCCAATCACTATGCAATAATATGACGGAAGGAAATACTGCAAAAAGAAAAATATCTGTTGGTTATCAAGAAGAAAAGTTCGCCTCCGGAAGGTAGGATGCAAAGTAGTAATTATTTTACTGAATTGTATAATGTTTTGATTTGTAAAACCATTCATTAACGGCATCTACCTTGACCAATTTCAAATCCGTAGTAAGAGTTACTAAAAAAAAGTTAACTGTTCGTAGAACATATACCTAACCCATATTTTTTTCCTTTGTTTTAATTTAAAAAAATGTGCCTTTAAAAGTTTAGTAAAAACTCAGATAGGTAATTTTAGATGTAAAGAATGTAATGAAATATTTGGCTGTCCACTAAGGCTTTTACTAAACATCATATTAATCAATTTAAAATGATTACCAAACATCGCCATAAGATTCTACAATGAAAATTAATGGAGATGTTTCGAAATTTTGTTGAAAAATTCTTCATAACTGAGATACACCCTGTATGTTCAGTTGATAAAATAAGACTGAAAAAAATTAAGGGCCATTAATGGAATGGGGATACTAAAAATAATAACACCTTGTATATTATTATTTACATATCTAAAAAATATTTATTACCTACTCAAAATATATTATACTCGAACAAACTAGCTAGCTAAAATCTCTAGGTAAAATAATTAAAAGTGATATTACAAAATATTGTTTCATATTACCCTATTTAGTAGGTTATATCTTAGCAAGCGTTAACTTCTGTACATTAAATGTCTGATTTAATATGAGTTTAAAACAAATTGAATATGTTCATTTTCAATTATTATCGAAGCATATTTTATTTGTTTTTGTTGACAAAAATTGGTTAGCGATGTTACCATTTAAAGTCTCACTACGAGACTGAATTTTGTATCACCTCAATTGAATTTGTACCAAATAGGATAAAACAGAAAGGTTTAGGAAAATTTTAAACATTTAATAGTGATTATATTCACATTTTCATGATTCAGTTTTTCATGGAGTACAACTTACCAACTAAATATTTTAGTTCTCATGTCACCTATTTGACAACAGAAGAAAAATGTAAAGCTCTACAGAATTCAATATCGCTTAGGAATTTATTTGAAGAAATTTGTAAACCTACCACCGGAGTACCTTTTGACACACATAGGTATCGGTTGAGGACTTATACCCAGTGCATTCTTGGTTCTGAGCTTGTTGATTGGTTAATATTCCAACAAAAAGCAAATAACAGGTACGGATATGTTTATCTTTAGGACCCTACACCCTATCATCAGCCGTCAATTTTCCATTCTTCACATTTGTTCTGTTGATTTTCTTATATAGTTATTATTCGTAAATTACAAAAGAAATGTCTATTGCTTTGAAATTTGCAGAGTTCAAGCATCAGCTATTTGCCAAGCACTTTTAGAAGGTGGCTATATAGAAAATGCATCGGAAACAGCATCGTTTATCGACGGCTATGCTTTCTATAAACGAGGAAGTCTCATGACATTGCCACAACCCGAGAAAAGAATTGAAATTTCCTCTCAAGAGGAACCGAGCTGGGTGCAACAAATCCCTCAAGAGTCTAGCATGACAGGTACACTGAATTAGGTTTTAAATAAATATTAGTCATGTTTTAACATTTCATACCAGTAGAATATTCAGTTTATCGTTTCCTAATTTATTATTTATTTATTTAATATAAGAAAAAGCAACTACTTATTACGAGTTTTGAATTTTATATACAAGATGTCTCCGAAAGGCTGGGAAATCTTAAAACTAGAAATATTAGAGACTAAAATGTTGATTGAGCCAAATGTATCTTAAGAACGCCACTCACGTTTCAACGTCGCAGTAGAATTTTGTCGAATGCGATAAAATTGAACATAATTTGATCGTGTATTTTCGCTGTTCGACCAAGTCGGTGCGATTTGATTGCAGACAAACCAGTCAGTCTGCTGCAGTACGGCATTGTTGCTTGGGTCGTTTATTTGACCGTGTATTGTGATTTGCGATTAGAATGTACGATTTTAATACTGCGGAACAAATCATTTGCTAGTGAATTTCGAAAATGGCTTATAGCGAGACATTTTTAAGAGATTTTTTTGACCTGGATAAAGAACAAGAATGTCTTTGGAAAATAAAATCGCCATCATATCATGATAAAATCGCAATTCTTCTAATAAATGGGCGTGACTGTATGTATGTCTTTTTAATAACCAGTTTTTGCACCACCACCTTACGTTACTTGTGTTTTTTTCGTCTTTTCGGTTATACAAAGCGCAAGAGCCGCTAAAAGTGTATTTTCATCTGACATGTTTATCATTTGAAAGTAAAATTCGTACTGCAAAATCGTTACGTGTGTGTTCCCATCCGATTTCCAACACAATTGTACTGCAATCGCATTCGACAAAATTGTACTGCGGCGTTGGAACGTGAGTGGCGTTCTTTAGTCTCAATATTGATAGTTGAAAAGGAATAGGATGTCAGAGCTACATTTTTATTTGCAACTTCTTTATTGCTGGAGAATTTAATTAGGTTTTGGCTAAAATTCCTTATATGGGTTCTTTTTTTTTATATGAAAAAAATAATCCATTATTGATTTTGTTTGGATTTCCGCAAGGTGCCACACACACCACTATTGTAAATAAATTACAAATATAGTGGTGTTAAAGTCTGACCAAAATTTGAAAAAACTGTTAATAAAATTGTACAATGATACAAAAACAAAGAATCAACTTGATAGACAATATACAACACATGCAATTTGAACATTTTCATTACTTTTTAATTAAACCTCGTATATTGCCGACTTTCTATATTTTTTTGTCTTTTTTTTCATAGTGACCTGATAACCCATAATATTTCTTTCTTTATAATAGACAATATTTCTAGATTCAGATAATGAACAAACATCTCCAATAAATTTAAATCAAGGAAATCTAACATCATCTTCGTCTTACATGTTGGATTTGAATTTAGAAGCAAACACAGTGTACTTGTCGCGCCCTTTTGAGGCAGGTTACAAGTCGCCAGATTCTATAGAACCAGATTATAAAGAACAGCAAGAAACCACAATTGTAAGGCCTTCGGAACAAAGAGAATTAGCTCCTGAATCGGGTAATAATAAAAAAAACTATATATAAACATTTGCAGAAATAACACCTCTAAATATTTAAGGTTGGTTCAATGTGTCGGCATTAAGAGATGAAAATGGTGAGAAATTAGCCTACGGTTTATTAAGTGAGACATACGAACAGCACGAACAAAGTTTAATGAAGCAGTTACTGTCATTTAAGGGGTTGTCTCATTCATGGTCCGATATAATTATTCCTTTAATACATAATATAATTACCGTTATTAGACCAGGTAAAATAATTGCCTTACACTGAAAATTTTCAGCAAATGGCAAATTAATCTTTCAGATAAAAATCATGATGCCGTTGATTTGGATATTCGACATTACGTACAATTTAAAATCTTAACTGGAAACTTACGAAAGGAAACGGCACTAGTTGGAGGAATAGTATGCAGCAAAAATGTCGCCCACAAGGGTATGCTAACAGAACTTGAAAACCCAAGAATTTTGTTGTTACAATGTTCGATCGTTTATCAAAGGACTGAAGGAAGATTAATGTCTTTAGAGCCAGTTTTAATGCAGGTAAAAAATATTAATTTCAAGTTTTGTTATATAAATGTATAGGAAGTAATAATTAATTAATTAATGTTATTAATAATTATAGTGCTAAAATGAAAAAATATTTGTTCTCTCTAATAAGTGATTGTTTAAATTATCTTAACATCTTTGTGAATGGACACAGATTAATTTTTGATTGATTTATTACATATTATTATAATTGCAATTTTTTTACATCTTTAGGAACATGAATACTTAAGAAATGTGGCAGCTCGTATAGTTGCTCTCCAACCAAATATCGTGTTAGTGCAACGAAACGTATCGAGACTTGCTCAAGATATGTTACGGCAACACAAAATTACCCTCGTACAGAACGTAAAACAAAGCGTTTTGGAAAGATTGGCTCGTTGTACGGAAGCAGACATAGTATCAGCCGTTGACGCTCATATTGGGCGACCAAAGTTGGGGACGTGCAAAAGATTTTATGTAAAAAGCTTTGATACTGAAAGGGGTGAGTTAAAATACTATTTACTGTTAAACGTGTTAAGTATTATTTTTGTACAGAATTAAACTTTACTTAACTCGTATAATTATTGTTAGGCGGAGTAAAAACGCTAATGTTCTTTGATGGCCTACCGCTTCCTCATCTAGGTGGTACCGTTTTGTTGAGAGGTGGATCAAAGGCTGAATTAATTCAAATGAAAAAAGTGGCCTCTTTCATGTTATTTACAGCATATAACTGGCGTTTAGAGAAGTCCTTTTTAATGGACGAATTTGCGATGCCGCCAAATACAAAATGTGAATTTTTGGAAGACAGTAAAGAAAATTCACCAGATTTTCCAACACCAAAGACTATAACTAACTTGAATTCGAAGTTACTAGGCTCTGCATCTGAAACTGAAAAACCGACAGTCGCTAAAAAGAGCAATAATGAGAAAAATGAAATAGTAATCGAGGCGAAGAAAATAACAGTGGAAACAATTAAAGATTTTACAGATCCGTTACATTCTTACACTCTCGAAAATGAAACTACAAAGGTGGATACAGGAGAAACATTTACAGTGGCTGAATTACCCTTGTCTAATATTTTCAGAAAATGGCTGGACGATGCGATATTATGTATATCACCATTTATAGTTTTTTCGGTACCTTATTTAGAGACGGAATTTGGAAAAAAATGCAAACTGAGACAATTTTTTCCGAGGTATATATACTTCAGTGAACAGTTCGGTAATAATAAAAAGAATAAATGGAAAGAAGAGTTAACTCCAGTTGACAGAAATTCTAATAACAAAAAGGTACTTTTTGTTTGGTGATTATTCTCATTAAATATTTTTATTAATTTTATTTGAAATTGAATTAAAACTCTTATTGAATATTATACAAGGTGTTAGAAGTTTGACTGCCTTAATTTTAACAGACGATAGAAATATACAAAAACACCTTATATGACATGAGTCCTAAACTCAACCATTTCCGAGAAATATCCAACTTGATGTACAAAAGTTCGATTAATTAAGGAATATTGACATAACCGCGTGCATAGAATACCATAAAATACAATGTTTATCACTTTTTTTAACTTGTTTATGCTTAATTCTAAAAAATAATTAAATTTAAAATTCAATAAAATTCATATCGAGCAATGTGACAACGGCGCGTCGGATAACACGAGGTACTAAGCTGTCCAGCAATACACAATTCTGGTATCTGGAATTGGACCATGTCTGAGTGTTTTTTGCATACCACTATTTCCTTGAGGTGTTTTCCAGGGAGTGCGCGAAAATTGGATTCGAAGGTGTCAAAAGTGGTGGTGGACATTTTGAGCATTTTTTCTAGTTTGTTTTGTACTTGTGTGTTTAAAAATTACTGAATTTTAATACGTATGAGTATTTGGATGACGTGAATCTTTGGGTACTTTAATTACATATTTTTTAAATTCATAATTTGATTAAAAGTTAAGTTCCTGTTTTAAGAGATTCCTTATTTCTAAAATTTGAGCTAAAATTTAAGCACAACACTATCTTCGTACTACAAAATCGATACATTTTATTTTATTTATTTAAAAACTGGAAAACAATTGTCTTGAAATTTACTAAATGTTTCACAATAATTGTTTACATTTTTTCCGTAGGACAAGTCTGCTGCGTGCACATGTGGTATGCACCAGCTGTGTCGCGTTAGGTTAAATGCTGTTGTCAGGTTGTGTTGAAAATCCCCAATATTAATACTCGCTGTATTTTGAAAACTGTTAATCTTACACCCCTGTAATATACAACTTTTTTGTTCATTTATGACTACACTATCTTATGCTGAAGTAATGTCAGTCAAACTTCTTACACGCTGTATTTATTTTATGCTGTTTCAGATCAAACCACTGCACGCCTTTTTAAAAACGAAAATAACCACAAATGTAGAAGACGTGAATATTCAAAATTCGCTTGCTAATTTTAGAGCGTGCGGTGGTAGATATGAGAAAAAAGAGAATATTTGCATTGTTACGAAGAAAGATGACATTAAGAAAACTTTGGAATTAGAACAGGAAAGCACCAAAGATGTGCTCGATCCGACAAACCACCAAAAATTGGCTGTTTTATTTTGTAGCTTCAGTGCAGAGTCGAATAATGCACCGGCATTTTGTGTGAACCCTTGGTAAGTTAAAGTTGCACGTTTAAATCGTAATGATATAACCAATCTAAAAAACTTACTTCAGGACAAACAGTTTCCCCAACTTCTGTAGATTTTATTTTCTAGTTATTACTCCATCAAGATTTAATTGTTCTTAATGTTTTGTTAACTTATCAATGTTTTTTTTTTCATTTTTCGTAATTATAACTACTTCATCCACAAAAATTAAAAATTATTTTTTTAATTTGGAACTGCACATTTAAGAATACATTATAGAACATTTTATTTGTTTATTTAATCAATTTATAATTCCATACGTTTGCTTACCCCATAAAAAGAACGGAAATAGATTAAATCTGTGAATAAATCCTTTTTTTACAAAAAAGCGTTTCCATTTGAAATGTGTGTATGTAGTTTATTTTGAATCACACTGATTTTCGTTCGTTATCTTGTCATTTGTTCACTTGTGAAAAAAACGGTTTATTTATAAAATTAATCTTTTTAAGGGTTGTATTTATGGATTTCTACGGACGTAACGATATTCCCTTGGGTTGTTTTTTGGAAAGATACTGTTTTAGACCTACATATTATTGTCCTTCTAAATCGTGCGACACCCCTATGGTGAAACATACGAGACGATTCGTCCATAACTCTGGATGTGTCAGTATATCATTAAACTACTTTGAAAATGAATTTTCTGAGGAAAGTATAGTTATGTGGACCTGGTGTACAAAATGCCAAAGTGTTTCCCCCGTCGTACCTATGTCAGCAGACACGTGGTCTTACTCTTTTGCAAAATATTTAGAATCCAAGTTCCACGGAGACGTTTTCAGCAGACGAGGCCAATATTCTTGCAACCACAGCTTGCATCATGATCATTACCAGTACTTCGGTTTCAAAAATTATGTAGCATCGTTTAAGTAAGTTTAACTACTTGATTTATACGAGGAAATAAAATGAATGTACGTACTTTTCAGATACACGTACATCAATATTTGGGAGATATCTCTGCCTCCACTGTTAATTGAAATTACTAATGATGCAAATCAATTCCAGAGTAAATTAATCGACGAAGTTCGAATTATGGCACAAAAGGGCCATGAAATATTCTCTTTGATACAAGATAAATTATCATATTCTCCAGTGGACGAATTGGAAAATATTGGTAACTTGAAACAACTCCTTTGTAAGGAGCAAGTGCTATTTAAGCAAAAAGTTGAGGAAGTCCAATTAAAACTTACTTCCCCAACAATTGAAAATAAAGACTTTGAAGAAAAAGGTAAATCGTAATCCCTTCGAAATATCTTTTCCAATTCAAAGACCACCGCTATCTAATAAGCAGCTCTTAGTAGGGACATCTGATAATCTCCTCTGAATGTATATTGTTTGGCTCAGAAACCATCGCTATCTAATAACCATATCTTGCACTTCCTAGCTTTCGTTAAATATTAGGCATATCTTACACCTTCTTCGTACACAGCTGGCTTCCGCTAAATAGTAGGAACATCTGATAATTCCCTCCAAATATGTATTATTGGGCTCAGAGACCGTCGCTGTGTAGTAATCATATCTTGTCTTATATTCTCTATTGTGCAGCTCAGAACTCATTGCTATTGTTCAGCTCAAAGGCCGTCGCTATTCAGTAAGCATATCTTGCATCCTTGTGGTATACAGCTCAGAGGCCTTCCCTAAATAGTAGGGACTTTTGATATTCTCTGAATATCTAGCTTAGAAGCTTTCGTTAAATACTAGACATGTCTTACACCTTCTTGGTACACAGCTGGCTTTCGCTAAATAGTAGGGACATCTAATAATCCCCTTCAAATATCTATTGTTCAGCTCAGAGACCTTCGCTATCTAGTAATCATGTCTTGTCTTATATACTCTATTGTGCAGCTCGGAACCCATTGCTATCGCTCAGCTCGAAGGCCGTTGCTATTCAGTAAGCATATCTTGCATCCTTGAGGTATACAGCTCGGAGGCCTTCCCTAAATAATAGGGACTTTTGATAATCTCTGAATATCAGCTTAGAAGCTTTCGCTAAATACTAGACATGTCTTACACCTTCTTGCTACACAGCTAGCTTTCGCTAAATAGTAGGGACAACTAATAATCCCCTTCAATTATCTACTGTTCAGCTCAGAGACCATCGCTATCTAGTAATCATGTCTTGTCTTATATTCTCTATTGTGCAGCTCGGAACATATTGCTATCGCTCAGCTCGAAGGCCGTCGTTATTCAGTAAGCATATCTTGCATCCTTGTGGTATACAGCTCAGAGGCCTTCCCTAAATAGTAGGGACTTTTGATATTCTCTAAATATCTAGCTTAGAAGCTTTCGCTAAATACTAGACATGTCTTACACCTTCTTGGTACACAGCTGGTTTTCGCTAAATAGTAGGAAAATCTAATAATACCCTTCAAATATCTATTGTTCAGCTCAGAGACCATCGCTATCTAGTAATCATGTCTTGTCTTATATTCTCTATTGTGCAACTCGGAACATATTGCTATCGCTCAGCTCAAAAGCCGTCGCTATTCAGTAAGCATATCTTGCATCCTTGTGGTACACAGCTCAGAGACTTTCGCTAAATAGTAGGCATGTCTTACAACTTCTTGGTGCACATCTCGGAGGCTTTGGCGAAATCTCAATGAATCAGAAAAATGAAACATTTCTAACCTATCTTGGTATAAACTTCTTATTATCGGAGCTGTAAAATTTTGTATGTTTTATGTATCCATTTTCTGAAATTTGTAGAATTGTATGCAGCATATTGGAAAATATCGGATGTTCTTATTAAAATAAAAAAATCAATAGTGGAAACTGTGGATGTTTGGAATGTGAGGCTATCGGAAGCCACTCGTAAAAAGGATACTGACAAAAAAAAGGACAAGCCTTCTCAAATAGAATCAGACTCCAGTGTTGATGAAACAGTAACATCAGAATTATCCAATGAATTACAAATAAATGAACAACCAGAAAAAGGAACAAGTAATTTAATATTCAAGAAATTAAAAAGTCTGGATAACGAATGTAAGTAAGCATTTTAAGATCATAATTTTAAATAATTTCCATTTTCATCAGATCAGAAATACTCTACTTTTTATTACAAGCTTTTTTTTAACTTGCCTTGTTAGTATGGGTGAAATCTTGCAACTGAATTTTAAAACTCCAATCGATTGAGCTGAAAGTTTGCATACATGTTTAGTTTGGATGACAATGCATGGTTAGCTAAGTGACGTCATTATAAATCCAATATGGCAGACTCCCAAAGATGGCGGACCAGTTATTTTTTATGCACCCCCGTGATATGGGTATCAAATGAAAGGGTTTGCTGAGAAGAATACGAAAATAAAATGACGTCACTAAAAGCTTGTTTTTGAAAAAAAAAAATTTATACATGAACTTATTAATAATTGTGTTAAATGCAAAATTTAAATGTGTTGAAATCATTTAAAAGTGTATATAATGTTTTACATTTAGATGATTATCACAGTCCTTCATCTCCGAAAAGTCATCACAGAACCTACTCAGATGACGGAACGGTTATGATTCAAAGTGAAGATGTAAACGATGGCAAAAAAGAATCAGACAAAAAAACCGTTAAAAATATTCTGTCACAGCTACTACCTTCGGTACACACTTTGACGTCAATATCTGTAAGTGCCTAAAAATGATCGTATAATATGTTTCTGTCTTTTAATCATTTATAGCCTCCATTTGGTGTTCAAGAACACTACACTCTTCCACTTGGTACATCAATACCGATAGTTGTCTACGAGAATGAACCAAGTTCTATTATTTCATATACCTTAAACTCAGTGGATTATAAAAAAGCTTTTGAAGATTTAACTATTAAAAAAAATGCGGAACAAAGCCCTAGTCCTGTAACTAAACGCAAGAGCAACTCTGATAAGGAAAAAAGTGACGACGATAAGTCGCTTAATCTTCTGGGATTTTTACGGAACAAAGACTCAAAACCAGATTTAGTCAATTCGCCTCTTAATTCTACGAATTCTGATGCAAAGTGGGTATCACCAAGAACTGACGAATGTTGATATTTATATGGCTTATTGTTTTTAGTCAGTCTGATCAGACGTCACCAGCAACGGAAAAAACCGAAGACACAAAAAAATCTAGAAACTGTCACATTGACGTACAATTCCAAGATCCCAACTGCAATTTCTTCTGTAGAGTGTATTTAGCTGAGAAATTTGCAACATTGAGGTCATTGGTGCTACCGATGGGAGAAGAAGCATATGTCAGATCGTTGTCTAGATCGGTACAATGGAATGCAAGAGGTGGAAAGTCTGGTTCGAATTTTTCAAAAACTGCGGGTGAGTAATATTAATCCTTTCACTGCGATACCTGTTTCAAATGATGTTCTTGCCGTGCTGATAGCGGCAAACTGTGCAGATATTGTGCTTCCCGCAATAAGTACAATTTTTTATGTTGCTTCACATGCTGAACATAGTGACTCGTTTTTTTATGTAATATTTTATGTGTCCCAATGAAACGCGTTCTCTACTAACATTTTTATTATAATAATCCTTTTATTACATGAAAAGATGGTGGAAATAGATGTAACAGTTGTTTTACGTTTTTGGATCTCAATAATTATTTGTTTAGAATCATTTGTATGCATAAAAAAAACTTACTAATTAAGTTCATATTCTAACAATCCCGTATTTATATTTTTTCCACAATAATAACTGACAAATTTTGGTAATGAAGAAACTAATTTCTTTATGCGGAAACCAGGAATAAAGTTTTCTGAGAAAACTATATAAAAAAAGATTCAGTATGTTGCATAATTACACCCTGTTTGTGGTTTACTAATATTAAAAAAAAAAAGATATTAAATGCACATGCTATTATCAAATAAATAATAAATTAAGATGGAAATATACACAAGCTGTAGCAAAGGCTTATTAAATATTGATCTGCCTATCTGCCCTAACAAGTGATATTTGAAGGCGTGTCTTAAATTGAGGCATAATTATATAGTCCTTACAATATTTGTTGACATGGAATTCGAAGAAAAAAATGAGAAATAAGCCAATAAAGTTCTGTTATCGGAACTACTGTAACAATTTACCGTGACAGGGACATACCTTAAATTTTCAGCGTTATTTTCAGAATATTAATATATATCTAAGGTACCTACATATACCTACGTATATAAAGTAGATTTTTTTTATTAAAACGTTTTTNTTTATATATACCTAAGATAAATATATACAGGGTGTCGCGCTTAAATGTGATACAAGCCTGTAACTTTATGTTTTGGCCGATTTCAAAAATTTCTTTTTTATAATGTAGGGTAAAAAGAACTCTATGTAACTGCGATACTACTAATTGGTATTAGCGATTTTTTCTAAAAAACAGATTATGTATTCTCATTCAGCATCCCTTAAAATGTCTTATCGCCAAGTTTCGTCAAATTCAATACATGTTCGAGCACTCCATGATGTCGCGTTTAAATGTGGTACAAGCCTGTAACTTCTCTTCTTTATTTTTTGGCCGATTTCAAATTTTTTTTAGAATGTAGAGTAAAAAAACTGTCTGACTGGTTGGTTGCCGTGTCGTTGGTTCTTGATGTTTTGAGAGACGCATCTCTAGCTGGTATTTACATTTACTGTGTGCCCTGGTCCATGGTGATTATTTCGTCTGTCTCGAGTCATTTCCAAATTCCATATATGTAGTGGGTCTCAATTGAAATTATCTTGACTCTTCTGGATTTCTGTTGCATCTCTGTAAAATTTTCTCACCCTCAGTAGAATTCTGGTATTAGATAGATCCATCACGTGTCCTGTATCTGCCCTGTGTTCTGCTTTTAACCTCATATTAATGTGTCTTCCCATTTGTCTAATTCTAATACATACATTTCGGGATATTCACGGAATGCTGTATACACCAGAGCTTTGTTTGTTTATTTATTCTTTATTAAAAGGCAAACAAAACTCACTCCTTTCACTCATTTCCTTTTTTACAGATGACCGATTTATTTTAAAAGAAATGTCAAAATCTGAAGTTCAACTGTTTTTGGAGTCCGCTTCAAACTACTTTGTTTATATGCACAAAAGCTATACCACTAAACAGCCAACGCTGTTAGGAAAAATCGTAGGAATTTATCAAATTATATTTAGGAATAACTCTAACATCGCATATAGAAATAATTTGCTTGTGATGGAAAACTTATTCTATAATAGAAAAGTAACGCAGAAATTTGACCTAAAAGGATCTATGAGGAATAGATTAGTCGTACCTGAAAACCAAGAAGGGGAAATAGTTTTATTGGATGAAAATCTTCTTAAAAGTAAGTAAATATGTCGTAATATAAATTTTTTGTTGTACATGGTGTCCACTAGTTAAAGGAGATACTAGGTGTTTTCCACTTTTTCAGATATTATCATAAAATGAAATAATGTAGCAAATGACCAATAAAAGAAAAAACTTATATTTATAAAAAAAAAAGTTTTAAATATGTGTAAGATCATGTGTGTTTTTTTATTTTGAGTTATAGCTTTAGATATTTTCAGTGACTTGCGATTCTCCTCTATACATTTTACCACATTCCAAGGCTGTTCTGACAGCTGCAATACAAAATGATACTGAATTCCTCTTTACTCAGTCTGTGATGGATTATTCTCTACTTGTAGGACTAGATCCAGAAAATAAAGAGTTAGTTTTAGGAATTATAGGTAGAGTATTTGGTACATATCTTAAATATTAGTCTGAAAATGTATACTTTATTTTAGATTATATAAGAACGTTTACATGGGATAAGAGATTAGAAACCATTGTCAAAAAAAGTGGATTTTTAGGGGGACAGGGGAAATTGCCTACAATCGTGTCTCCGGAAGAATATCAAAAACGGTTTATTGAAGCAATGCACAGGTACTTTTTAGAAGTACCTGATCATTGGGCTGGACTCGGGAAGGGATTAGATATATAAGTTAAATTATTTATCTTAAATTTTCACATATTTTATTTTTCCATTCATGTTCTGTGTTATTTGTTCTAGTATCAGATATTTATTCAAAAGTATTTTAAATCAGTCTTACCTTAGACTTTTTGTATATTATTGATGGTAAGTACTATTTCCCAAAACACCTGTAAATAGTAAGAAATAATACATACAGTTCTTTTGAAATGACTTCTTTTTGGTATTTGTAATTTGAACATACTCCTCGTCAGCTAATTTCCAAGAATAAAGAATCTAGAAAAAATAGTCAATTTTGAATGGTATACAACCATTTGTATATTAGAAGGCTTCGGAAAAATAAGGGAAACCAACCGCCAAAGAAGCACATTTTCCACCAATCGAGCTCTCACACATTGTCTCAAACAAGACATTTTGAGAACTGAAAAAGTTGAATTGATGAGTCATCCACCGTACAGACCTGATTTGGCACCCAGTGACTTTTTTATTTCCGCACATCAAAAATAAATTACGAAATCGATGTTTTTCAACGCCTTGTGAAGTGGTTTATGTGTTCAAAATACATGTTTTGGAGGTACCTCCATTGGAATGGAAAAAGTGCTTCAAAAATTGATGCGAGCGCATGCATAAGTGTAGTGATCTTTCTGGAGAATATTTTGAAAAATAACAAAGCAGTATTCGATGATTTTTTCTTTTTTTGTTCTCTATTCCCGAAATATAAAAAGCACCCCTCGTAATATTGAAGTAACAGACGACTTGGTCAAATATCAGCCATATATTTTTACAGAATATATTAATAAATATATAATGTTTCAAAAAAATATATATTTCTTTGGATAATTTACATCACATTAATTAGTCTAGTAAATAAACGTATTCATATAATAATAATCATAATAATAATAAAAGTAATTTACATACTTAAAACTAATAGTTTTAACACTGAAAAAAATATAACTGTATAGGTATTTCTGTATTCATTTAGATCTGCATATTTTTTTTTGGTTTCAGTGTTCAGTAATTTTCCTTATTATAATTATTTTAACTATTAATTCATATTAATAAAATATAATTATCAAGATAATGGAATGAAATACTAAATACTGGTTAAAAAGTTAATATTTGTGTGAAAACATCATTAATAGAAATACAGAGAGTAACTTAAATATGTAAAAATATTTTTTGTGATTGCTTGGATCATTTTTGGAACAGAAGTTTGTATATATCTATGCCCTGAAATGCTTAGGTTTCGAGATAAAGTCTTGAAATTTTCGAAACGAAAATTACAAAATCGAAGTATTTGTGATTTTTGAATTTCATTTTTTTAGTCTAAAATAACCGCACATTTAAATGAATTGACTAAAACTACTAAAAAAACTATAAATATAATTTCTAAATTCAATGCCATCATCAAAAGTCCAAAAGAATCATTGTAAAAATGTTAAATTGTGAATTCCTCTTAAAATATTTAAATTTCTGTGCCAATGATATGAATTTTGATTGCATTTAAAGCAATATTTCTTATTCTTAGAGTTACAGAGGATTTATAGAACTGTGTAAAAACTCAAAAATTTCTTACTGGGTGATTCACAAATGGTGACCAAAAATGAAACCTCGTATTCTTTGGTGAATTTTAAGGGGAGTCTTTGCTATAAAGTTTTTATCTAGGACGCTTCGTTAAAAAGATACAATGTTAAAAACTAAAAAAAATTAAAAATATTTTTTGAAGTTTATCACCCTGTATCTTTTTAACGAAGCGTCCTAAATAAAAACTTTATAGGAAAGACCTTAAAATTCCCCAATGAATGCGAAGTTTCATGTTTAGTCACCATTTGTGAATCACCCTGTATTTTATAAATAAAGTAGAAGAAAAACAATGAGGGAAAATACTTCGATCAAATTTTCAACATGTTCAGTAGGGCCGAAATTTTGAGTTTCTTAGTAGCAACATCTCTCAGTATCTGCACCACTGACTGACATACTCCTATACAAATTCAGTGACTTTTTACCTTTATTTAGGAAAACCACTAGCCCAAGCTTCAGCGGTCTACAAGATATTTATGTAAATGTTACTTTTGCAAAGACTTCAACACTGACTCTTCAGAATGAACTTTTTTGTTTAAATTGATAGAAAGATTGACGAAATATTTTTACATACCTCAGTTACACAGAAAACTTTAATTTAGTAATAATAATTCACCTCGAATTCTTTAACTAACTAAAAATTAATCTTATCCAATATATTTCTAGTAAAATTACCTAAAGATAACAATTCGAGCAAAGTATTTCCTAGGAATTCTAGGTAAAAAATTTTTCCATTGGTGAACATTATAGCAATTTAAAAAATTTGTTTTTATCTTTATATAGCACCATAATTTAATAAAAAGATAAAATTAATTACATTCATTTAAAGACACTTTGATTTTAGTAAATTATGGATTTGTAATAAAGTGACCAATTGTTCCAATAAATAATGTTCACTGATCGTAAAATATACAAAAAATATAAATGTTTGCATGTGTTCCAATAAAATATGAATAAAAAGAAAAAAAATATCTTACATTAATTTACAGACGCCTCGATTTTCATACATTTTTTATATATCACACGTAGGTTATAGGTTTATCATAACTTGACTCTGATTGGTCCAACAAAATCACATTCACCGTACAGTTGGTTCACTACTTTATCGAGAATCAACTAATTAAAGTTTTTTCAAATTAGTTCAAGAATCAGGCGAGTCCAATTTTCAAAAGAGCGATAAATTGTTCACAAAATTTTGAGTAGTATTAATTTAAATTATCCTCTATCTCTAAAAATAAAAAAAAAATTATTGAAAATGTTTATTGTCTACAGGGTGAGTCAGGATTGGGTATAAAAAATCTAATTAAAACTTCTTCCGACTAAACAATTGCATCAAAAGCTTTATTTAAACTTTTTACACCTCACTGTAACTCATTCTGCATAGTAAGGTGAATTGAGGCAGGCAGTACTTGCATTTATAAGAAAATTTGACATGTCCACGATAAAACTTTTAAGCCTGGATCGTAGACACAGGAATCGCTTTAAAACTAATTATCGACTCGTCTTGTAACAATGGTTTTTTGTCTTCCTTCTTCTTTCCGAGCTTCCTTTTTCCTCTGTTCACTACACCATCCTCCTCGTCCATCATTCTCAATATTTGCGTTTGATCGGAAGAATCAATTGGAGCTACTGAAATATCTCGAACCGCTCTGAACTTACCACAGTTGTTTAAGTGTTCGTTTTCCAGTCGGAAAAAATTCCAGACAAATCTCCTGAATACTTCTAATGGTAACAGAATTGATGTCATTATATCACCGCTGACATAACCTGTTTCGGTTAAATATAAAGATATTGCCCAGGCGAATCTCAGAATGAAGTCTTCGATAATGGCAAAGTAATAAAAAAACTGGAACAAAATTAGTAAGTAAAGTGTGTATATTCGTCTACAGCAATTTTACCGTGGAAGAGTAAACAATTTCTTCTCTTAAGAGAGTATTTTCCCCTGCAGATTTATCTAATAATCCCCAGTCCATTTTTATATCCCATGTATAGGCATAAGACGAACTAATTATTTGAGATATTATCCACAAAAACACATACGGGTTTTCTGTAGGAGTTGTATAATTATCTGCAAAAGAATTCAGTGAACACAGGAAACAATTCCCAAATAATCTTAAACACATTTGTTTTCCAAATCAATGAATCTCAAAATAAAGTACTGGAGCTTTCTCGATAGATTTTCCTTAATGGCTAAATCACAGGATATTTAAACAAGTGACTTGAAGATTTAAGTGATGATATTGCATTAAACAACTTCTCTACTGGTTATATGTCCCGCCGGGCATTGAATTACATCAACAGTATCACAATATCATCACTTAAAACTTTACTTTTGCCCTTACAGTGCATGGTTTCATAGTACCTGCAACACAGGTCGCTTTCTGCCATTTTTTGGTCCCTAGTAGCATTGACCACTAGATCTGTGTCACAGTTACATCTTTTATTTGTAGTTTTCATATAGATTTTTTTCATTTTTCCTATTCAAGTTGACATTAACTAAATGCCCAAAATTTTTTTAATATTACGTATTATTTAGACCATGTCGTATAAAAAAAGCATTAATTTACCCTTATGTATTGTCTTCAACGTTGCAAATATTACGACAAAAAATGTACTAGCATATTTTCCTGCGTTAACAAGATGTGGAAAGGCCTCTTTAGTGTCGTAGTAACGTCTTAGGCACTGAGCAAAACGCACCCAAGCCGGTATACAATTTACAATGGGTCTAATAATAAAATCTTTTTCCATACACTGGCTAGTATCTGAAAATACGTATTTATAAAATGAACATGCATCTATATCTGTGATCACTAATTCACCTCCAGCTTGTAACCAATTTCCGTTTGTAACGTAAAAGCAGGCCAAAAATTCAAAATCTAGCAGAGCACCTACAAAGCTATTAAGCTGATCCGCAAGCCAAAAGTCAGCGAATCCTACATGAAAGAATGGTGCTGCAAACATGCGACCCTAAAATATTTTTGGACGAATAGTTATAATACAAGGTAAACGGTAATTCGCTTTTTATTGCAATTTTTATTATGTAAAACAATTCAAAAGGTTCCACAAAATCAGATTATGCAACGAAAAAAAATGAATAGCTATTATAAAAATATATAAGGACAGAATTTTGAATAATTTTAAGGTAATTAATAGTTTTTGTGTTGTTTTTATTAATTTATGTATTAATCAGAAATAGCATCAGTAACAAAATAATAACATCATAAAATGTTAGCTGGTTCATTTCATAATAAGCAATAATAACTGTCCATTTGATTTTCGAGGTATATTTTTACATTTCATATTTATGATTTTATTTTAGTAGGTCCTAGTGAAAAAAAATCTTAACCTTGATAGAAAATGTATTTTAAATATTTTTTCTAGCCATATTCTGAAGAAAATTCAGTATTTGATAATACTGGGTGTTTTAAACATTTGCAAATGTACGGAAATAAAATAAAAAATTCTTATCGACTGTACCAACAAAAAGTAAGAGAGTGTAGCTAAACTCTCTTACTACAGGGTGTTAATGAACTTATGTAAAATATTTTTGCCACATGTCATGTCAAAATGAGGTAATTACACAGATTTGTGTTGAGTGTAATGTAATTTTAAAATCTAACTTACCTCAACATTGTAAGGAGCAACCTTTTGAGAACTACTGAATTTCATAAAAGATGTTCGATGTACCCACCATTTGCTTGCACACAAGCTACAGTGTGACATATCCATTTCATATCATAATATTCGCGATTGCTAAATAAATTTTTCAAAAGAAAATTTGGAAATACGGCTATTAAAAGTGGTCTCGAAGAACAGCGCGGCGATCACTACAACAATGTATTATGAACTGACTTTCGAATACAGTCTGACTTCATAAGAAACCTACAAACTCGTAAAAAGTGTTACAGAATTATTTGTAAGTGATCGCCGCAATAAAATACATGTATTTCAACAATTCCAAAACAGTTTTAAATTTTTGACATAAGTTCATTAACACCCTGTATATTTTATGGCAATTTGTATTTATGCCCGTGATTAAACTGTCTAGTTTAAACACTTTTCACAACATAAATTTCATTAAAATTATTTGAAGATATATAAAAAACAAAAATAAACTCTAAAATACTATAAACAATGTAAGCACAAACCTATGTTGATAGAAACTATTTGTTTTATTTTTGGATGAGCAAAATTTCCACGAGTAATGGCACATGGATTTTAAACACTCTGTATAGTAAACGATTGTTCTGTTTTTGTGATGTTATATTTATATTGAATTGTTTATTTTGCGACACAACAGCTTTTCATATGTCCACATTTAACTTTTATTAAAAAAGAAGTAAATCGCGATAAAACGTGAATTATGGAGCCGTTCGTTATAATCGTATACGTACACATATCCTTAAAAACCAAAATCTGGCATCATGTCTGAAAACCTTCAAAGGATTTGCAATAAATGCAATCATAATTAGTACCAAACCAAGTGGGTTGACGTATGGTGGAATGCTTAAACTGGCGCTGTAGAGAAAGCTTAATAGACTTAAAGCCCAAACAACACCGAATATAGCAGCCAGTTCCATCAAATGTTGCTCCGATAAGTGATTTCTAGGATCAAGCTCAAAGATCAAAACGTGATTTACTCCTGATGATCTCCATCCATACACATTAACTCCAATAAGGAATAAAAACTCGACAATTAGGAGTGGTCCTCTGTATAAGCGGAATGCAACTTTTAAATTCTCGCTAGTACTTTCATGGAAAATCGCTGAAAATGTAATTATATGTAAGTCAATAAAAAATCTGAATGACTTAAAACATTGCAATAGTATTTTTTTATATGCTTGCGCTTGCTTTAACGATAAATGAAAATGACAATTTGTCATAAAATTATTATTTTTTAAATTAAGTAGATCTTGTCAATAATTAAAAAATATTTTTTGTGAAGATAAACTGCCATTTTTATGAGACAGTTTCAGAAAATTTTATTAGGAAAAATTTTTTAAATCCAAAAAATTACCCGATTGTTATTGGAATTACATATTTTTCCCAAAATATTCTGATTCTTTCCAAATATTAGCATAGCAGCAAGGTATAAATTTTAAATGTGAAGTATTTTCCGCAAAATATATTTTTTGCAATATCTTATAGCAACCATACGTACCAGATAAAACGACTGCAGTAAGTAATACAATAAATGATCCTGAGAAAAGGCCAACTTTAAATGTAGTCCAGGGTGATTGCTGTTCACCTAGAGGAGGAACTCGTAATCGTTTCATTGCTCTTTGCCTGTCTCCGCCTTCAAGTTCATTCGTCACCATATTTTCAGTATCATTTATCAGTTTGTCAATATCTTTGTTTGTAAAGAAATGTGAGGTTTCTACTTGCTCTTGCCTCCATTTGACACCTAAATCGGTATTCAGTAACTAAAATAACGACAATAACATTAATTCATTAACAATCATTACACAGGGTGATTCAGAACTTACCTGAAAAAAAAAAATTAGGTGTGTGTTCAACTGTTATTACAATTTATAAATAAAACATTAAATAAAAATTAAACAATAAAAAATGTGTTAGGTATTAAAAATTTTTGATTACCACTCCAACTGTGTCTTTTCTTATAGGAACACCCTATATATTTTTACATTCTGATAAAACCCTTTCTCAGGATTATAGAGATAGTTGATAGATTTATCTAAGAATGTACATATATGCCATCAAAACTGTTTAAAATCTTTATACATTTGGCACATTCTTTTGGCCGTTTATCCCTCAATATTAGAGACAGACATATTAAAGCTTACTTGTCTGTAATCCTGAAAAAGTTTTTTAATAATATGTAAAGACATACATGATATTCTACAAGGAAAGACAGACTATATATCTCTAAAATACGACTCCCAATTGAATTATTGCTGAAAAATTACTGAATAAATCATATTTAATTTTCAAAGAAAACTAAGTTACAGGCAGACCTAACATTTCCAAGCGATGACCTTGTACATTGCACTAATCAATTTTTACTACTAAACAACTAAATGCAAGTAGGTACATCACTGAGCACTAGAAGGCACTGCATAATAAAATCAACTCGTATAAAAAATTACAAGTAGAGTTATTTACTTTGAACTGATTTTTTTTTCTGATGGTAAGGAATAGAAAAAAAATATGTAACAAAATCAATTCCAATTTTGACCCTATATATACTCCTAATTTTTTTCTTATAAGTTTTGAATGACTGTATTTTGAACAAATGTTATACGTAAAGTACCTTGTCATGCTTTTTCAATATTTTTCGAAACCCAGTATGATTAAGTGTTTGGTAATTTTGCAATAAAATAAGACTTAAATAAAATTCACTAAAAGCCAATTTAAGGTCCTGGAGTTTCCTTGCTGGCACTTTTTTACCACCCCCATCTTTCCTTTTCCCCATCCTGATTTGGATTAGAGAATCTTTTAATTCACTATATAGATTTGCAAATTTTCTAGTGGCCTCTGCTAATTTTTCTGCATAGAAAGTGTTGATTTTTTTTAATTCTTTATCACAGTACAGGAAAAACTGTTCATCAAAGTTTGCAAAATGTCTTGCTGCAATTTCTGGCTCTACGCTTTCTGCTGATGGAGCTTCTTCTACGGCCATGTATAACATGGCTTTCATTTCCTGCAAAAAGTAAAGTGTTTAGGTGAGAAATACTTATCAACTGCGACTAAAATTTGAGATATTTGATATAACAGAAAAAGTACTGTACCAAATATTTTTGATAATGTATTTTGCACACATTTTTGCATATTTCACACTTAATAAAAATGCTCACCAGCAATCAACAGTAGTTGAGTAACAAATAGGCCTTTGTCAAAATTCATATTGCAAATATTTGAAGATTTCTATAGACGAGACATAATAGAGTGCCTGATTTTTAACTGTAATGTGTATATCCTCCTGAATAGTAAGAGTGTTAAGAGACAACTTCTATCAGGGTAGTAGAAATACCCAATTAATTAAAGAGAGTGAGAAAAAAAATGTCAAATAAATATAGGCAATATATATATTTATATTCTCTAAATCCTCTATGAAGGTCCTTAATTAAGTAACAATATGTTTAATAATTTAAAAAATACTAAAGAAATATACAATAAAACAGAGAGAATAAGACCTATAAATATCTCTTTAGAAGGTGATTCTACTCAAAATAATTTATAAAAAATTTGAATTACGTTTGCAATTAATATAATTTAATTTATTTTGTGACAGGGAGTATAGGAGTGTAAACGTTACATAGAGTGGGTGCTAGATATTAAATTTAAAATTTTTCAAATAAACATACAAAATGCATAATTTTTGGGAGAGATTAAAATATATGTATATTAAATATCTCAACATTGAAATGAATTAATACTATTCTACATAGAAGTGAATATATAAAATCTTTCTAAAAAACTCACTTGTATAGCGATCCCTAAAAATAATTTATTTTTTTTAACTTCAATACATTGTAACTTCTAAACTTCTAACACGAGTTTGTAATGCCAATTTGCAACATTTTTATACCTCCTTCTTTTTACAAATGCTGTGAATCACCCTGTATACAGGGTTTCTCCGCAAAAATAGTCGCCCTAGCAATTTTTTTATTTTTGATATAGGAAAACAGATTCCTATAAAAATTGTATTTTGTCAAAATAAAAAGTTACATATGCAGTTCTAAGTGTAATTTATGTTCTTGATTTCCAAAATGTAAGTGTCGTATATTTGTTTCAATAGTTGTTTCTAGATAATTGTTTTATTTCATATCGTCCAACAAAGGTTACCTAAAAAAACTGGTTGGCCCACCCTCCAAAATAAGCCGAAAAATTGTGGTGTTAGCGAAATATACAGAGATTTAATTCCTCACTTCATTTAATATCAGACTACACTATTTTTGTCAAAAAATTTTGAAAAACAAATGAAATTCGACAAAAAAAAAAGAAATAGCATAAAATCGGTTTTCTTCGAATATGTTCGGAACTATTCGGAATTTTCTAAATTTAATAACGAATCCGTGATAGCCATAAAATTCTGCACATTTTTGCCCATTTAACCATTTCTGTAATTCTTAGAAGAAAGATACCTGATACCTGTATAGGACAATTAAAAAGTTGTAACCCTGTATCTTGCTGAAGTCGCATATAATTATGTTGTATGTTCCTTTTTTTAAATCAATTTTTGAAGTTCTCAAAAGATCATATAAATACTACGTCCATAGGTAATTTTTTTCATGAAGTCAAAAATAAAAAAGTTATCATTTTTGGCGGGAAATATCCAAAATGGACTATCGATAACTGATTTTCATTATTTTCTCTTATTATCCCTCCAAACAACAAGATTATGCAAATATTTTATTCACAAGCGTACTTAAATTCTTAAATTAAATATTTACATTTAACCGCCCAAAAATTTGGCAACGTTGTGTCATGTTTATTAAACCATGACAATTTTAATAGCTAAATTACACGATTTTGGAAATTTTGGACTAAATATTTTATAAAACAATTGCAATATATTGATGGTTACAATTCTTGTACAAAAGTACCACTCATTTCTCTATTTGGCAACGTTGTTTTATCAATCTTAACCTAACTACTACGTAAATTTAACAAAACAAAAGAAAGTTATAAATCGCTTGCATTCATATTTAGGTATCTATATTATGTTCGCAAATTTGAAAAAAAGAAACCTACCTCGTAATTTATATATTGTTTTCTCCATTCTGGAGTTATATGAGCAGAAAGATGTTCAGCAAATTTCATCTCTAGCACATTAGAATATAAACTACTTGGATCAGTTTATTACTCTGTATTACAGAAATGAAATCGGAAGGTATGTTAACGTCTAATCTCAAATTGTATTTGCTTAATTAGTTGGATCAACTGAAAACATAATTTATTTTATCTCTTTATTGCCGTGCTTGTGTATTCAATTAATTATAATTTACATTTGTTAATAACTTGTGCATGATATATAGATACGTGGACTTTTATTCTTAACCGACAGGAACAGTAAACAGAAATTAATATAGGTAGGTAAATTGATTATGATTACTCTTAAGGACTAAAATCTTAATATCAAACGTTAATTCGTTGATTAGATTGTTGATTACATTTATTTTCGGATTTGCAAGACAAGAAATCAATTACCAGCGTCGCCGTTAAAGGGATTAAATTAAAAGATAACTCCAGTATTAAAATATATCTTATCTCTAAACGTGATAAATACATAGACGGCGTGTCCCCGTTAAAGTGACATATTTCAAAAAGTATACTTTTACAGTATTTTTGGACATTTAATTATTTGCAATAGTTAGTGATATTAAAAAGTTGGGGTAACCATGAAACTATGAGCAAGTAGGTATCCACGCCACAAAATATACGACAGAGGTATATTACGTGCTAACTATGAATAGTAAAAATGAATTCTGAAATTAGCTTGTGAAAGTACAGCCGTTCCTACTAATATTTCTGTACTTTGCCTAGAGCCTAAATCGTAGAAATGATTCCATTAAGGAAGGAGCGTAAAGTAGATTTATAATTTTTACGAGTTCAAAGAAAAAGGGTCCGTTCTGTACTGTAATTAGTTTCAGTAGAATTGCAGTAAAACGCACTAAATATTTTTGTTAAGAAGAGTTGGCAACCTGTTAGAGAAATCAGTGAACAAACCTAGTGAAGAATGAACACACCCACATACTTCTGTATGTGACACACCGTATTTTGCATCAGCTGTTGATGTGCGGTCTATCAGTAATATTGTTAACAAATTTCTAACTTTCAGAGCAATCTACTACTAGTTTCCCGGTATTTTATATTCTAAGAGCTTTCCAGTTTCTCTGTAGCAAGGCCGCCAACCCCTCAACAAAAATTTTAGTGCAATACTGAAATTCTATTGAGCTAATTACGGAACGCACACGAAGAGTATTTGACAACATTGCATTTAAGGTGCCATCTCCCATTGGTTGTCGTCATCTTCACAAACTGTAGTTATCTCTTACTCTAATCGATCATCTCACTTCTGAGCAATCTGAGCTATCCAATCTACATACATTCCATTCTCACTATTTTCAGTCTATAATCAGTCTTTCGTTCTTCTCTCATCTGTACTCACCACTCACACATTAAAAAATAGTTTCTGTGTAAAAAAGGAGATATATTTTTTCTGCTATTATACTTTTAAGAAGAATATAAATCATCTATCAATATAAATATGGCTGCCTGGAGACAAGCGGGATTAAAGTAAGTCATTGAAAAATTTATGTTTCTGAAGGTTATATAATACATTAGGAAATAAAAACTTAATTTTTAATAAAAGGCCTTATGTGTATGTGAATTATTTTGGTAGGTATATTCAATTAATAATATATAATATTTATATATAATAACTGCTTATAGAAATAATTTTAGGTAATGTTAAAAAAAAATCAATATTCTTGTATTTTCCATGAGATAATAGCAATTTACGCCAATTTTCAGTGAATGCGTCAAATCCTCTGCTAAAAACATGTACTAAATCTTAACAAACGAAATATACATTCCACCATTACAACAAATGGACAATGTCTCACTTTTTGTATTACACTAAACTGAGATAAATTTATTTTTTAATCATATTTTCTCTAACAGCTACATCAACTATTCCAATATTGCTGCTAAATTATTGAGACGAGCATTAAAACCAGATTTAAGAGTAGAGGCTGAGAAAAGAGCAGAAGCACATATAAGAATAACAAAATGGGTTGATGGAAAACCAATTAGTAAGTAAACTGAATCTAGATTTTCATTTAAACTAGTTCAATGCACATTTACTGGCATAAGTATAAATATAATTTGATGATCTGAAGGTTCTCCCAAGCAAACGCGATATAAGGCGCATACTCAAGTACATTTATAATTCTGACAAGGGTTACGTTTGGACAGAAATTGCCTTTGTAATCTCTAAAAATGCACGTGATAGAATACATCTACGAGATACTATGATATTGCAATGTCACAACACTAATGTGCCTTGTATTGCACCTGTTGGAGGTGCCTTTAAACCATAATTGTTTTCAGTTTCGAGTTTATTCTTAATACTTACCTTATTAGTTACTACATATTTATATAAGAAACATTAAACTAAAATTATTTTTCTTCAAATAAGTTCAAATATGTTGTTGCATAAAATACGACACCAAAGGTTCCTTGGATCTAAATCTAGACAAGCTTGCATATACAGGCTGTTACAAATTCGCTTCTCACTACAGGGATCTCGGAAACGGTAAGAGGTATGAAGTAGCTTAAATGGGGACAAAGTTGCGTAATCCAAATAAAAAATTTAGATAAATTTGAAACGTCTGATCTGGTTCGAGCTGAGGAAGTACATTATTTGGGGGTCTTGAATGCTTGCAAAAAATGTATTAAAATTTCTAGGGTCGTAATTAAAAAAGTGAAGTTGATGATGGTCCTGGAGAGACGAAACGTTACTTACAAAAATTGATTATGCCATTCGATAGAGGGCAAAAAAGTGGTCATGAGAAAGTGTTCTTTTTTCAATATTACTTCAAACAAGGCTGAAATTAAACAAAAACGGATTTCCAAAATTTCTGTTCTTTTCAAATATTTCGGAAACTAATCATGTTAGCCTTGATTTTTTAGAGGCATAATGTTGGTCCCCTGATTACGTAACTTTGCTCCCATTTAAGCTACTTCGTACCTCTTACCGTTTCCGAGATCCCTATAGTGAGAAGCGAATTTACAACAGCCTGTATACAAACGTGAATGTCTACTAAGATTATAGTGTGATATCATAAACCAATATTTCATATAATTTTAAACAGCTTGTGCTAGACTTCTTAGTTGGTATGTGTCTATTTATTTTGGTGTAATATATTACTAGAATTTGTAAGAAAATAACGGTTTTATTTTTTGGAGCTCCCAGCTCCTTGACCACCCTATAACTTTTTTATACCTTTTTTTTACAGTCACACAATAATTTGTGTTATGTTAAACATTTCTCTAACTCGATTTATTTTTCATATATCAAGGTCAAAAATTTCAGGAATGTGATTTTCAACTTTTAATATCTCGAAAATAGTTGAAAGTTTAAAAAAATGTTAAATAGAAAAAGGTCTTGCAATGAAAAAGTTTTTCCTAACAGTATCAAAGCATTTTCGAGAAAAATTTCCCAAGATATGTCGATCATTTAACAATTTTCACTTTTAATTATTTTATAGATGAATCAAATTTTGTTTACAAAATAATTATAAAATGTAATTTACAGATGCTCGTGACTAAATGTGGTATGTAGGTAAATTTGGTTTGCCCGAGTTTTTGTTTTCTTTTTAACTAATACAGTGTGGCGTTTGTACAATACAGTTTGTACAATATAAAATATTGTAACAAATATAAAACAACCAAAAAGGAAAGTTAACATGTTTAGACCAAAATTTATAACTAAATTTTCTTTTTGTTTTAAGACAAATATACAGAGTGTGCCATTTAACACTCCCGCTCCGAAATAAAGAAATTTATTTTCGTTCCGGAAACTGGGGTTGTTAGGTCTCTCGAATAGCTGCAAATTGTAGTTAGAACTGTCAGTTCAAATCTTTCTGTATAGATGGCGTGGCGATACTAAAAAATTTTTTGATCCCTGGAACATGGAAATGCAATTCTAACTACAATTTGAAGCTATTCGAGGGACCTAACAACTCCAATTATCGGAACTAAAATAAATTTCATTTCGGGGATATTGGCAGCGGGAGTGTTAAATGGCACACCTATTAAATTTAAATGATACATCTTCGTCAACTTTTGGAAATACCTATTTAAACTAAAATATTCCGTCTGTTTGTGCACTTGTACCTTAGCCAGAAATTAAAATACCTTTGTTTATAATGTTAACAATTCTAAATGTGTGTTATTTGCATTATTGATATGAAATTCCATAATTTGACCCTCGCAACAAGATAATTGCTTATGTAATTTATTGCAACGTTATATTAATATGTTCTTTTTTTTACAGAGGAGTCTGTTTACTAAATTAAGAAGTTAAGAAGCAAATATTTGTAAGAGTAAAGTATGTACAATTTGAATATAGCCGAGTAAATATAAAGTCAAGTTATTTTGTTTGTTTTTATTAAAAAAAAAAATCTGAAAATAAAAAATAGATTGATAGACACCTTTTCCGATATATTAAAAAATTAACTGGAATGCTACGTATTAACAAGAAATTGAATAAATTCATTATAACATAACTTATCGAATAATCATTCTAGGCTATCTTTTTGGTAAACCAGCCTCGTCCAATAAATGGTCTTCAGGTCGATGGGAAAGTTGTGGCCCATCACCAATTTTCGTATGTATGATATACTTCAACATTCCTTCCTCGTGTCGCTTAATATTTAAGGAAAGTCTCATTTTCTAAAAAAAGTTTGTTAGATCATTGCAATATGAAAGCGAAATTAATTACTTCTGGAATACATCTGTTTGTCACTGGAATTCCTCTCAAGTAGTCAACCTGATTCTCACGTGGAGGAAATGCCTCGTTAATAACTGCCAAAAATTCTTCTACTTCCGATTCCAACAAATAAAGGCAGGCATTTGGTCCAGCGTCAAAGGTATAAGCAACCTGTTGTAGATAGAGTGTGTTTATTTAGCGGCCCCTTCTTCTATAATACCCTTATCCTTGACCGGGAAAAAATTCTCGTTTCGATATTGTTAACCCTTTCGCTGCTCCAGACGAGTTAATTCGCTAAAAATTTATAGGACTCGAACTGCTCCCAAGGAATTAATTCACTTGAATAGTTAAATTGGATCAGGCTGCTCAAACCGTATATATTCGCAACCATGCGCATTAGTGACTTGGTTTTTGCAATTGGTTTAGGGAATTTTTGCGGGCGGAGCTTATAGCGATTGTGGCAATTATTTTTATGGAAGGAGGTACTGGTAATAATGTTCATATCTCTTTCAGTTTTTATTTAGTACGGCTGTCGATTATTGTATTTTATTTAAAAGAAAATCGTAAAAATATCTAGAAAATTGACAGACAAAGAACTGGAAGAAATTTTTGCAAGGAGCGATAGCAACGACAAGTTTGAGATTAAGGAGCGTAGTGATGGATGCTTTATAATAAAATATTAATAACTGAACTATTACAATTATTTTGAAACTTTTAAATTTCATTTAACACAACATAATGTAAAAATATAAGTAGTAAACTGCTCCAGACAAGTATACTCGCAAGCGTTAAACCTTCGCGCACGGCGCGTTAGCTACATTCAGACGTATTACACAGCGAAAGGGTTAATGAGATTGAAAAAGACACATTTTATAGTTAGTGACAGGATACAGAATGTCGCAAAAAACGGTGACATATTTTTTTATTTTTAGTAGAATTTTGTGAATTTTCTTATTACATTTTAACCCTCTTAGAAAATCTCCGTTAGAATGGAGGAAAGTCTGTTATTTGTGCATTCATATTTATACACTGTGTAATAAAATCTATAAATATGCATTGCTACTTGCCTATTTGCTATAGAGCCCTCTTAAGGTGTTACACCACTGTAACAGCCTAAAAAAAACGTTTTTGATAATTTTTTTAAATAGAAGGTGATAGAAAAAAACTGTTTAAGTATGTTATTAGCCTTGTATTTAAGTGTACAGAAAAATTTTTTCAATAAAAAATATTTCTAAATGGCATTCCGCGGCACGCCTAGAACTAGTGCAAATTTCAAGATGGAACAAAAAAACAAAAATTTGCTCTTAATCTACATGAGTACATCTACATCTAAAGAAACACATTCAGAATTGTAAAAATATTGTTTTTTGTAAAATTGGCAATTGTTTGAAGTAAAATGTTATATTTTTGATGAAAAAAAGGGCAATTGTTCAAATTAACTTATCGAAAAATCCGTACATGTTTCTCTTCAAAATGTTTTAAATATGTGATTAAAATTTCAAAAGAAAATATTGAAAATTGTTGCAGATATGGTGCATGCCATTTTGAAAAGGCGTGTTTCAAGAAAAACAGTTTTAAAATAAAATGAAAAAATAAAAAATTCCAAATTTTGCTTGAATTGTACATGCATACTCCCTAACGACATCTATGAGTGTATTAGAGAACTTATAAATCAATAAGATGGTACGCGGTACCTTCCGAGCAAGGAAAAGCACAAAATTAGACAAAAATTTTTTTCATGTATAAAACCTTTTGCCTTATATTCTAGAAGGTTCAAACTACCTTCTCAGCAAAAAAAAAAATACGGTTTTTTGAAAATTTTACAGTGGTGTAACTCCTTAAGGAGACTTCAATTAAAGCAAGAAAATTCATGGTATACCCGGAGGGCAATTTTGGTAATGCATGTATTGGGATCTCGAAAACTATAAGATAAAAAAACAGTTAAAAGGAAAAAGTTGGACAATTCGGCTGTTCGGATTTTTGATATATTTTGAAAAAGGGAGTACTTTTGTAATTTTATGAATTTTTGAGCCATCCTTCTTTCAAAATAATTTGAAAACCTGAATAGCTAGAGATGACTTGTGAGTGCCATTATGTTAATAACGGTACTATATAAAACTTTTCCCATTTACTAATTTTTCTATTTTTTATCTCCTTATCATCAAAATGGCCCACCCACTATATTTTTAGGTCACACCTTTTTGCGACACTGTATACAAATCGCTAATTTTAAAATACATCTGGTTCAGTTCCATTGATATTCCCATGAAATCAAGGATAAAGCTATGACAGAAAAATGGGACACTATAAATGGACGCCCTGTATAACAAAAACATATTTTACGATAGACGAGTTTAAAACATGAATTACCTTATTCGAAGCCTTATACTCATTATATAAGTGAACTAACTCAGCAATACCATGCGATGTATCGTTCATGTACACACAAGGTGGATAAGTATCCAAACAGATAGCATGAAATTGATTAGAATCTTCCATTGTTAAACGTGCGAATGTATGGAAGTCCTTTTCATTAATAGCTTTCACCATCGCTTCTATTCTTCTTGGTACAATAGTTTGTGATCTGTACTTAAGAAGTTCCGAGGTTTTTACACCTCTCTGCATTCCATCCGTAGAACTGTATTTCTTCCTAGTGTCATTAACAACTAGAATTAACACTCTCATCTCCAGCCAATGACTTGCTGCAGCTATTTGTTTTGCGATAGAGTCGGATCCGTCATTTTTTACACCTTTGCACCACCGGACCTAGGAAGATAATATTTGAATTCAACGTTTTATATTTTCGATGTCTAAGGACGAAACGAAGACATTTTAACAATAATCAAAACAATGTTAATGAAAATTCATAATTGCTACTTACCCACCCCCCATATATACTCCTACAAGCACTACCTGAACCTCTTCTTGCTATACTAGAAATGTCTCCTTTAATTTCGTACAGAGCAGCAAAGGCAGAAACTAAACATGCGTAACCTGCAGCAGACGATGCTAAACCAGCAGCGGTTGGAAAGTTATTTTCGGAGCATATGGAAATCTTCCAGTTTAATTGCGGTAATTCTGGGTTTGCTCGACGTCTAACTAAAAAATTTTAAGTCAAATGTGTGCTTTGCATATTGCTATAAAAATAAATGCAGATAATTATGGACAATGTTCAAAATTTGCATGTTTATTAGTTTATTAAAACAATATGTCTCGAAACAATTCCATAATTTCCTTAACGATGACAATTGGCTGGTATACTGATTTGGAAATTAAATGATCAACTTTATTTTAGTTTTTTTTTTTTCATTTTTAATAGATGAAGAATATCACATAAAAATCCAACCAATATAAAATAGTATAATATAATCTAACCCAATATAATAAAAGTCCAATACGTTCTATAATTTTAAATCTGGAGGAAATACAGGCTATATGATTCTATCCATCTAATTGGATGTTGTTCATTTAGTCACTTGAATTGAACAATTATAATTTCTTATCACACATAACATGATTTCAAAAAAATTATATTGTTGAAAGTTCTCGATTTAATAGTTTCATTTATGTATTTTATATTCTAACACAATTCCATAATAAATAAAATAAAAATATCCCAATAACTGAACTGCTTGCACTGCTAAAACTGCCATTAGGTATATTACCTTTGCAACCTTGTAACTCAAAATTTTTTATTTATAAAATTTTATTAAAAAGTGTAGGTACTTCAATTGTTTTACATGAAAAAAAAAAAGTTCGTTTCTAAGCGATTATCTAAAATAATTTTAAATTTTTATGAACACTATAATTTCCAATTCAGTAAAAATTTGGACACTATCTTCCTCTTAATTTTTTTATACTTATGAGATACCGGAAGGCTACACCAACTTCGTTATTTTAAATGGGACACCTTATATATTATTGCATTTTCGGATTCTATGTGAAATTTGAGGGTCACTTTATTAAATTTTCCCTATACCTAGGAGTTTGAGATATTAATTTTTGAAGAAAAAATTTGACAGATGCAAGGGTCCGCGGAGATACTAGTAACTCTTTTCAGGAGCGTTATATCAAGTGGATTTTTGGTACCTGTAAAAGGCATATATAACACTAAATTATGGCATACCAACAAATTAAAACATTTAACACTAGGCGTTTAATTTTTGCTGTTACATTTTGATAACTTCAAACAGCTATAACTTTGTTAACTTAAATGGAACACCCTGTAATTTTTTACTCTGTCGTATGCAGAATGAAATTTCTTTTCAAGCCATATAAGTATTATTAGGGTTGCCGTTACTACTTTTAGAGATATTTGCAATTTTATATTTTTTGGACACTTTCTCGTATCAGACCTGTTGTCAAGTTGGCCATGATCAGAAACACTCCAAAACAATGAAAATAGCTTGACATTTGTCAAGTTAGTTGTCAAATTATTGTTATGTCTGTAAAAGTTTTCGCTGAAAATTTAAATAAAAATGCCTGGGGATCGTTTCAATTATACTAATAAGGATAATTTAAAATAACGAAGTTGGTGTCGACTTCTGGTATAACTGGAAGCACTGGAGAGTTCTAGATATTTTAGTTGTGTTCGCCCCAGGCATATTGCCATGTTGCCAAATTTTCAAATTTTTCGGAGACTTTCCTAGATATCGATTGACGCAGTTCCCGGTGGAACACACTGTATACTTAAATTACTTATTACTCACCTTCTTGTATACAATTATTCAGTCTCTTGTTATCAAATGATTGTTCTTTACCATTTAACCAAAATTTATTTTCGGTTAAGAGTGGACTAACCATGATGGTTGTTTTAGCACACATCTAAAATTAATTTGAAAGACACTTTAAAATATATACTATGATAATTACAATTAAAAGCACAGTTAAAACGTGAAATCACTTTCAAAATTTTATCCAATTTCAGATTAAATATAAACAGATTAAAATACTTACAAATTCTGTGCTAATAGTACCACTGAGTGAATCATTTAGAGGAATTATTAATTCTTCATCCTGTTTACCCCCTAAAACATATTTAAAAGTAGGTACAAATGAGAATAATTATGTGCAATATTTATTAACTAATAGTATATGAAAAAAATATATTTAAAGAATCGCAGCTGTAAAAAAAATATATTACCTATACAGGGTGGGCCATGGCTCGACAACAAATCTTATTACCTATAATGAGTAAGAAAGCAATGTACGGCATAAACCCGTATGATAAATAAAGAGAGTTGTACGCTAATTGTTAAGGAATTTCCCGAAAAAGGGCTCTGCTCGTACTACACCTAACAATAACTTCTTATCTAACAACTCCCTTATTGTCAAGAATTGTATTGTAACCCCGGACTGGTCAACCCTGTATACCTCACTAAAATTAATAAGAAATAAGGACATGAAATAAACTCACAATATTTAATAACCGCTATATTCACAGGGGCTATACATGTTACTATTTTTGTCATGTTTCTGAAATAAAAGAAAAAATTGTTTATAGAAGGTATTTAAAGAATAAAGGGTGTTTCTGAAGTCTGTCATCCTCAGGTTGTTTATTAAGTCATTCTAGGCCAAAAAGCATTAATGGAGTAAGGTTTCAAGCCTCTGATTTTCGAGATAGATATTGTTAAAGTTTAAAAAATATATAACATCTTTTTAAATATAATAGCTGCTGACCAGTGGTAGATATAAGTACTGAAAGGTACTATCACTATGAACCCAGAATTTTGACGTCGGAATAAGGCTTTTTGGTCCAAAATAGTCCAAGGAATAATAATCTCAAATTATATCATGAACTTAATGAAAATATGCTTGTATGCTCTGGGTTAGAAAATTTCTAAATTTAGTTTTAAAAATGAATATTGAAAAACATTCTGATATCCTAAAAAATCACAGATTACAAGTACCTATTCTTGAAAGCTTAAAGTCCTCAGCAATATAGATTTATCATTATTACAAATTGAATAATTTAAAGTAAAAACTGTTTTAATCATATTGTACTAGAAAATTACCAAGTAGGTACCTACATAGAAAGAATTTTCTCACTGAATGAATTTAAGCATAAAATTTCCTTTAATTTTAATTTACTGTTAGTTGCATGTAGATATCCTAACAAAATAGTTTTTACAATGTAATGGTCTACAATGTTTTCTATTTCCAAAATTTACCTCAAGATGATATACGTATTAATTTTACATAGGTTAAAATGATTGAATAATTTGCTTTTTCTAGCTAGGAAAAAAATTATTTTCATTTTATCCAGAGTAAGCACTAATAAGCAGTCTGTTGAAACATTTTTTTAGATTTAAATCTATGCTTTGAGTTCTAAAAAAGAACACAATATGTATCTGATGCTCCATGGAGATACATAATTGTAAAACCAATAGATTATCTTTAGAAAATCTATTCTTAACATTTTACAAAAGAAGAATAGAAAACAGGGAATTTACAGTAATTTGAAAAGGCTAAACTTCAAAGAAATTCAAGTAACAGTTTATTTCTAAAATATGATATAAAAAATAATTTAATTTATATGCTGATTTTTTTTTAATTAATATCTGAGTACTAGTACATTTAATCAACTTAAAAACTTTGCAGTTTCTAAACTATTTTCTTATATGTCTGAATATTCCTTGTAGGTACATGTATCTACCACACATTCTTTGAGTCAAAATAAGATCATTTAACTTATCTCTTTCAAAAGTTTATAGTTTATTAGTAACTTCAAACAATATCTTATTACAAATAACTCTGAAATGCTTGTATCCCCAAAGGACTTACATTTACAGAAATGAAAAAATGGTGCCTTTACAACAAATGGAATTATTGGAAATTATTTTTAGTAACACATAATTCCCTTTCTGTAAATTGTGAATGTTAAATTAGAATCTCTTTAATTCTTCTTATTTCGGGATAATTAATTTGTATAAATTTGATGTGAAACTATTGTTTATAATTTGCAGAATAAAGAAAATCTGAATCAAATGCCTTTATCTATTTTTTTACTTGTGTTAATAAAAATTTGACCATTCATTTTCATAAAATAAAGGTAACATTGTAGATCACAAATTCATATAAGTATACTCAGATGTACTTAGATATTCCAGAATATTCAATGTATGTGTAAAGAAAACATAAATGTTATGCTTTGTAAACTTCAATGTCACATACATAATTATTTATATATAAGCTTATAGATATAGATTTTTATGAACCGGTTATAACCATTTTTTTCAAAAATTCATTTAAAAATCTATTTTTAAGTTGAAATAAGAACAAATATTGCAATGTTATTTATATTATTGTACGAGTACCTATATGAAATTTTATTCATATATATTTTTTAATATAGGTATGAAGTATTTATTCATAATTGTAATATAAAATTTTTTCACTCTAATTTTCATAATAAAATTTGTTTTATTTATCAAAATAAAAAAAATTATTTCTATTTAAGACTGCTTTACACAGTTTTATTTTAAGTACTTTGAAGGTATTAAAGTAATTCAAATTTTAAAAATTAAAGTTGAATGGTATTCTTTTTTAATCTGATTGGTTAATTGTATACAAGTTAAATGAAATTACAAACCAATAATAGTTTAATCTACTCATTGAATTAATTGTTATTATGTAATAAGTACACAAAATTGTTAATTTATTGATGACAATAAATTCATGAAGAAATTATATAGGAATAGGACTGGCTCCAGCTTTTCAACAATCTTTTTGTGAATTTCGATTTAAACTGTGTTTATGATATAAAGATCATTAAACTTGATTTAAATTGATCTCGATTCTTTTGAAATTATTTATGCACTAAATTTACTGAGTACCTACCTAATTTCAATAAAAAATTAGACTGTGTACATGTTAATATTTTCAATAAATTCATGAATTTGTTTGACCGGGTAAAACGGCAATAAAATACACAATCCATTACAATTTGGCAAATATTTTAGTTGCATCCTGTATACATAACAGAATTAAATGTACACCTATTAGGTACATAAAATATACTTATTAATTCTACAAATGTAATTTAGAATCTTAGAATCCGTTAATTACAAAGTACCGTAAACTTATATAAAAACACGATAAAATATGTTTATAAATTCGACAAATTCAGGTTAGGTTAGAATCCCAGAATTGGTTAATTACGAAGTACTATGAACTTATTTAAATGCACCTATTAAAATTACTCAGCACTTTTTAATTTTTAACAAGAGTACCGTTCATGAAAGCAAGTCAACACACTGTCACAAAAGTTTTAACATACTTACCAAAAATAGTTAAACGAACACCACTGACACCGGTCGCACTGAGGAGCGACTCGAACAACTTTGAACTCTGTTTTATGACTTTTGTGATTGAACTTGAGCAATGAGCATGAGCAGCAATAGACCATCAAAACGATCAACGCGCGTCACGCAACTTTCTTTTATAGGTACATATACTGAGTGTCTCAAAGGTCCAGCCAAAATTCTGGGTAATTATTTACTATAGTGTCACCCTCCCAAATCTTCGCAAAATTTTGTCTACCCCCTTATTTTCTATGGTGCTGAACACGAATCTGAAGTTATTTTTGTGCGGACGAACCCAGATTTCAAGAAAAAAATTTTTCAAAATTTTAACCTGTGTTGTTACATAATACTACCAAGAATTCTGCATATTTTATGTAGTTTTCAGAACATCTGTAATAAACAATCAACATATTGTTTAAGAAACACATTTTCCCAAATTCGAACTAAAAAAAATATGTACCTATTTCATAAATAAAATTATAGTAACTGTGGGATAAATGAGAGTGAGGGAACTCAATGTTGTCATCACGAATTACAAATGGCGGACTCAAGATACAAAATTTTTATTTATTAAATACATATTTTTTTACTTGAAATTTTCGAAAATGCGTTTCGATTATTGTTCATTCACATATCTTCTTAAAGCTACATAAAATATACAGACTACAGAGTCCTACGCAGTGTTATGTGAAAGATCCAGGTTAGAATTTTGAAAAATTTGTTTGTCGGAAACTGGGTACGAACGCATAAAAATAGCTTCAGATTCGTGTTCAGCACTAGCGAAAATAGGGGGGCAGACAAAATTTTGTGAAGATTTGAGAGGGTGACGCTATAGTAAATAATTACCAAAATATTACACAAAAATCGTTGGCTTTAATGAATTACAACGTATGATTAAAATTTTACACTTATTTCTGGGACATCCAATAATTTTTGTCTTCTAATGAAATGTAGTAGGTACCTAAATGAAAATAAAAAATATATATTAATGTTTATATTTTGAACGACAGTTTTTTTAATAAGTGGATGCAGCTTTATTACAATTTTCTATTAACGAAATATTTAATGTTACTATATTTTCAGAAGTAGGTATGTATCTACTTCTTCAAAAATGGTCTTGCATTCACCCATTTAAATTATTAACGAAATTTAAAGTACCTATAATGAATATATTTATTCCTTTGCAATATAGGTAGGTATATTTTTTTTGTATACATTTTATCTATTTTTAACTTATTAAAATATAATTGACTATGTAACCAAAATATACAATTCAAAAACAATTCATAACAAACTTCATGCAGTTAAATTGTTCCACTATAAATAGAAACATGCGCCCAGAGAATTTTTAATTTCCCTATGAATGCGCCCGTCCTTATCCGTTTTTATAGAGAATAATAGATGCGCACCTTCAAGATGCATTTTGCAAGTTGAACCTGAAGAACATATTTGAAGATTATAGTTTACTGTGTATAATACTCATTCAGGTGAATTACATATTTTTTATTTACGTCCTTATATTGAAATTAATAAATTTTAAAGCAACAGGTACCTAGCTATATACTTACCTAAATAATTTACTGCAAAATGGAGACAAAAAAATTGGAAGACGCAAATAAGTGTAAATTGTGTAAGCAGTATGTAGTGGACATTAATTTTTATGAAAAAATAATTGATAATGCCTTAACTGAAGAAGATGCTTTAAATAGTGATCAATTTTGCATTTATGTTGACCATGGAGAAATCGAAAATAAAGAAGTGCCTTCTGTTAAAGTGAGTGCCTATTCTCTTCCTTTATGGAATTTTAGATGGGTGTTTGAATGTGGTTTTGAATATATTTTAAAATTATTTGTTCCCCATTCTTAAAATTTAAAAAATGGCGTCTAATTTGAGTTTTCAGCCATTTTAATTTTATGAATTATATTGTCCTTTTGTAGAACTCTTATTTAGCTACAATTTTAGTTAATATTATTTAATTTATCAGTCAGTGTTTGAAATAATGTATTAGAATTTTTTAAGCAATGGTTACAAGATAGTTCTTTGAAACAACACTATATATTGTGTTACCAAAGAAAAAAAAAATGATTTGAACTGCCATACACTGTCTAATTAAAATGTACCTATATGAGGCATAGAAGCATGTAAAAGGTGTAAGAATATATACCTACTCCGAAGTTTATATAATTTTTCTTTTGTATTACATTATTGCTAAAGAATCCTTCATTATTTATTAAATTACAATATGCAAAGTACTCTGTAATATAATAATATATCATAAAGCATACCTATTATGGTAAAAAGTAATTATGTCAAAAACCATGCCTCCTACCAAAAATTTACAAATGTTTTTTTTATGGAAAAATTGTTATTTCCAAATATTGTGCAGGGTGATCAAAAAAAGCACCACTATCTCCACATCAACGCCACTGTTATTTTATTATATCGGCAATACCACTGACTTGTGTCCTCTAGTGAGTTGTCTACACTCAAACTTTCAAGTTTTTATTTTAAAACTTCATAATTTTCAATGCTTATTACCGTATCATACTTTATGACACATATATATCATTATGAACCACCATGTATTTATATTACTAATTCCATTTTAGTTGACTTCGTTTGTGATGTATGACAAATATAATCATTTATGCCCTTTCGACACTGGTTTATTAGAAAAAGGTGTTGATCTATTTTTTTCTGGATATATTAAAACAATTGATGCTGAGGATCCATCAGTAAATGAAGGAGTGTTAGTCCACAACGCAGGACCTATTAAAGAATGGTGAGAGCCTAGAGATACTATATATGTCTGACATGCGAGAGAGCTATTGTTTAATTTAATAAATCTTATGATTTAATACATTTAAAACATACTTACCATTTTAATATCTTATAGTTATATGCAACTTTATATTTTTCTTAAGATGTTAATTAAGAATAGATATAAATAAATAATATAAATTTAATATTGGGAGAATAAATTATAAAAATTCCTTCCAGAAAAAACAAAAATTAAAGTTGCTATCAACATACGTGTTCAAAAACTCTTTGTTTTTGAGATATAGGGTGTTGAAATTTGAAAAAATTACTTTTTCCAAAATACATAATTTTGCAATTTGCTGGTAGTGACATAATCTCGAATAATAATAATTCATGAACTGTGTTTTATTCTTTTTTCTTTTGGGAACTTTCAATATGAATATAAACTCAATTCATCTCAATATTTCAGGTGGATTTATGGTTTTGATGGAGGAGAAAAATCTTTAATAGGCTTAAGTACTAATCGTGCTCTCTATTATCTTATGGCACCTTCAAGTTTATATGAAAATATATTTCAAAGTTTACAACTAAAGAATAACCTATCAAAAATTGTTATAGAATTTTTACTGGACTTTGGCTATCAAAATCCAACTTTTGAAGACATGATTCAACACCTCAAAAACTTTAATTTTCCAGAAATTGAGGAGTTACTTTTTCGTGAGGCACAATTCCTCTGTAACCAGGTACAGTATTTATCTATGTATGTGATTAGAAAATATGAGAACTCCGATAATATATAACATCCCTAGTCCTAGGATAATCCACTACAATACTTTATGTGTAGTTTGGAATCTTTTTATGTGGACGCTGATGATAAATTAACAGATAAATTTAACGTTTGAAATAATTATTGAGTTGTGTACATTACCATCTGAGACACCCTGTATATGTAATTTTATAAATCTGCAAAAATCATTATCTGTATCACATTTAATTTAGATTTATTTTTAATAAATATTTTTTTTTAGATTGTAAACTACGATGAGCAACCAACTGACGAAGTCCCAATGACATCACTTTCATGCATACAAACTCTTATAAATCTGACTGGTATTACTTTAACTGAAGAAAAGGCACATAGCGTGAAGGTATTCTCTCCTTTAAATAATATATTAATAAGTTTCTATTCGTTTATTACACCACTGTCATCCATTTATCCACTTTATTTTGAAAATTTGAACCAAAAAATCTCTGATATTTCAAGGAGATCTGAAAAATTTCCCAAATTGTGGAATCCTAGAAGCAAAAAATTTGAAAGAAATAGTTATAGCAGTTTAGTAACATGTAATAATATATTTCAGGGTATTAAAAAACACAATATTTCATTTCCAAAAGCTGTGAGTACAAAATTAGTAAAGGAAATATTTGCAAAATGTTTTCATGACCAACTCGGTCAATACCTGGTGGAATCCTATGAATGTCAGGATAGCACTGAGGATGACGCTAATAAATTCAAAGAAATGGAAAGTTCCTCTGTCTGTGCTAAATCCGAAGAGAATGAACATCACAGGTAATTGATAAAAACATTAGAAAATAAATTAGTAGGTTTTCAATACAAGAACGTACTTTTCCTGTTGAAGAAAATTCATCAATGGTTTCATAACTCCTACATATTTAATAATAACCATGATAAAAAAAATGTCAAACTATTTGCTAAGAAAATTATCTGACCCTTTATGGTATTTATACACAAAAAATGGATAATGTTTTACAATTAGGATATTGAATATAATAAATCCAAAAATATTATGTCAGTGTTTATAATTTAAATTAAATTTATAACTTTGGATTACACCACATTCAGTAAAAAGTTATTTGTCTAGCCTACATATTTTATGGATTAGGAAAATATAACTCACTATGTATGGAAATAAAACTAATTGTTATTTTATATTATTTAAAAACAGTGAAATAGGAAGTAAGCCCATAAAGCATAAAGAGTGTTCCAAGCTTATCGTACATAATGTTGAGTGGTTAAAGAAGAGTTCAGTGAAATATAATGGAAACCAGGGATATTCATCAGCGACTGTTGGTAAGTGATCAAATAAAACAAAAAAAATAATGACACGTGACATGACCATTATTAGAGAAAACTGCACTATGGAAATCCTTGACCTGTGCTTTTTTTGGTAATTATTATTATTAAAATAAGATTTCTGTTTGAATACATGTCAAATCTAGCTTGGCCATTGAATGTTCATGATAAACAAAGGACATAGGATAAAGGACATAACTGATGAGATGATGAACAAGAAAGATCAAAGAAATGTTTCGTGGTGACTGTCAATTGACTTTGGACGAGATGAACGCTGTGTTTCCACAAATCTCCAGATCTCTTCTGCGTGAAATCATTACTCAAACACTTGGTTATCGAAAATTGTATGGAAAGTGGGTACCGAAATAGCTCACAGATCAATACAAAGCCAACACATCTTCATAAGAATTTCTTGAGCCCTTCGAACTGGAAGGTGAATAATTCCTTGACTCATTGACATTTTGTCCCAGGCGGAAATAATTAATACTGTGCGGTACTGTGAAACTCTGAAAACACTACGGAGGCATTACAGAATAAAAGAAGGAAAATTCAACTAAAGGAGTGTTGCATGACAATGCACAGCCAATGCCACAAAGCAATTGATTCAGTTGGAACATCATCAACCATCCCGCTCACAACCCTGACATGGCACCTTTTGATTTTTATCTTTTCTCTTTTGTGATTGTGTTTATGGGTTTAAACAATGGGTCTGAGAGGCAGCGGAAGATTTTGTTGGCATAGGTATCAGAAAGCTTACCCTTTGGCGCACAAAGTTTAATAAGGTTGAAGGTGCTACCTCGAAAAATAGTGCTTGATGTAACATTACGTACCATTACCTTTTTCCACTGGCTCAACCAAATTTGACAAGTTACAAATGGAATATGTAAATTATATTTTAAATATATTGCTTTTAAATTATTTGTTCATTCATTTATTAATAATCGTATTTTAGATGATTTTGTAGTACAACAGGGGGATTATGTTATGTTGCAAGCGGAAGAACCTAATGAATCCCTACGTATTGCAAAAGTTTGTTATATGTATGATTCACCTACGGATGGTGCCATATTTCACGCACACTTCTTCTGCAGAGGAACTGAAACTATATTAGGGCACGTTGCAAATCCACGAGAATTGTTTATTGTTGATGATTGTGATGACTGTCCGGTAGGATGCATAATTCAAAAAGCTCAGGTAATATAAAGACAACGGTATATTTGCAGACACGACTGAGTAGTACATAGGAGGTTATTCAGTTCAGGGTTGCTTATGGTATGCAGCAAAATAAACTCTCTCAACAGTAAAATAAAAATATTTTTATTGAAAACAAAGTTAGTGAAAAAGAAGCGTTTGCTGGAGAGTCTTGGTATGAAGTCACTTATTACATGTATATGTATCTGGTCCTGGTGCCAATCTGCCGTGGACCTTTCCTGGAACCTTGGTGCGTCCCTCGTCTGTTCTTTGTCCTTGCAACTGTTAAACCGATCCGGGCGGCATCAGGCTGGCAATCTTGACGTAATACTTAAAATGGGTCACTTGCAGACATGTGTACTTACACAATAATTTATTTCTAAGGGTCAACAATTATCTGTTCATTTTCCTCTGTGACCATCTGTGTATTATGGAACTCTATGAACTTGAAGTGTCTCGCCAAATTTTAGGTTTTTAATTAGGTTTCACAACTTTGATAATGCCTCCTTCATGTAGTTTCTAGCTTCAGGATTTTCTCTTCTGAACTGTAGATGACGCCTTTGCTGGGTCTATATTTGCAATGTATGATGGATTTCCTCCTCTTTCTTCTCGCACAACCTTCACAGACTCTTCTCCACCAGTCTAATTATATTTAGAAGAGATGTTGCAATATCCTACTGTTATCCCTATCGATCTTCAACTACGGTTTAGATCTACTGTCGACTCGACGATTTTTTAAGTAAAAAATCGTCGAGTCGACAGTGCATTTTAATAACATTTTTGTGTTTTTTTATTCTAACATTTTATTATTGACTCTTTTCAAATGCTTATTTTAACTTAAATCGGTTATCCCAAATCTCTATGCCTACATCCATAAGCAATTTGCTAGTCTAGTAAATAACATAAAAATATTTCACAAGTGTAGTTTGAATATATATCTTCACAATCATAATTATTAAGAATATATGCTTTTTAATTAATTTTCTTTAAAAATAACAAAACTATAGCTTCCTTATATGCGTTCTTATAGGTAGAATTCGTAAAGAGTCTCGAAAATGGTGCTGATTTAGGTAACAATGTTAAGTTACGATTAGAATTACCAGATAATGAAAAAAATTATTTTTTCTCTAAAGTATATGACTATGAGTTTAGTAGATTTAGAGATTATGTAGAAGATACAAGAGTAGATGGTGAATATCCATGTTTTTCCTGCAAGTAAGTGTAGAATAAAGTTTCCTGGCATAAATATTTGGGGATTACTTAAATTTTTAGATGTCAGAAAGAAATAAAAAGTACTGAAACACCTATATATAAAGATAATTATATTATATGGAGAAATGATGAGTTTAAAGTTGGAACTGCTGTATTTCTTGAGCCAGGACAAAAAAAATATCTACATGAACCTATTCTAAAGGTAAATCAATCACGTAAAACCCATTTTACATTTAGCAATTTTCAATCCAATAATAGAATAATACTTTATAATTTATCGTAGACATCATAAGACACCATTACGTTTTACCCAGTAACAAACCACATTATTTTGCCTAAATTGGAACAGCCTGTAACAATTTAGCTGAATTTCTTCACAACATGCTGAAAACAATAAAAAATGATGAAAATTTGCAAAATTTTTTGAAGATTAAATTTTTCTAAAATTTTAAGTACCTAGCCACTGACTCTTAGACAAATTTTAAGTTTTTTGACTACCAATGCAACACATATTTAGTTCACATGTAGTGGCATTTGGATGATGTTGATGAGTATAGAAGTTATTTAGAAGTTATAAAGTTAATTTTATTATAAATAATTTTGGGCTTAATTGTGGATACTTTTAAAATTTAGGGTTCCCGATAAGTCCCAGTTATATATCTTTATAATTTTTAATATTCATTTATATCTTTATATATTTTTTAAATAACATAACTTGTTTTGCTTTTCAAGCATTTAAATTAACATGTTTTAGACAACAATCAATATTTTAAATTATTTTTATTTCTATCTATCTATCCCTGCTTGTTTTTCTTAAATCAAATCTATATTCATCAGAATCATGAAAATGTAAATTATAAATTTAATTACATGCTAAGGAAAAGAAACTAATGCTGGATGTGCCATTTAACACTCCCGCGCTGCCAATATCTCCGAAATAAAGAAATTCTGAAAGATCATTAAATTTTGAGTAATTTTTGTAATACAAAGTTTTTCCCAATACTTACTTGTTTTCGAGACATGTCGACTTCAATATGGAATGTGTGATGTAACAGAAAAATCTATTATTTTATTTAAATCACACCAAGACAAAATATTCTTTTAAAATGTTGTTATAATGGCTTTATTTACACCACATGGTGCCACATACTAACTACAATACTAATGCTGTGCAAGAATACTGAAATCAAAGGTTTCTGGGAAGGTGGTTTAGGTACTAACGGAGTTATAAGGTGGCCGGCTCATTCATCAGATTTGATCCCATTGCATTTTTTCCTATAGGGTCATTTAAAAAACACTGTATATCAGGACCCTAAAAAAAACTTATTTTCTAGATGATCTAAATTCAAAATAAATTTTGATATGTGACATTCGTAAATTATTGTATAATTTTAAAGGAGGAAGAAAATTTCATCAATGATAAATTACATACAGAATTGTACAGAAAAAGGTTGGATTTAAATAGGGGATCCAATTTAGATACACCGGAACCTTTTACGATTGGCCTAATAGAAGACATACGGAAGCAAAAGAATGACATTAAAATAAAAGTAAGAATGTTTTACAGACCTGAAGATACAAGTCAATCACATTTTCTGGCTTATGTCAGCGACATAAATTATTTATTTTGGACTAACCATAGTAAGTGTTCATACAAGACTTGTAAAAGAGACTGTATTAACTTATCGTTTTTCAATGAGTATGTTTGATATTACTTAACTACAAATTTTCTTTTATAGTGATGTGGACAACATTTAAATACGTAGCAGGAAAATGTTATATAACATATACCAAAGATAAATACCTAGCTGAAATATGGAGTGCGGAAGGACCATTTAGATTTTATTATTCGAAAGCATATGATCACAAAAATTGTAATATATACGATGTTCCATTCAGTGGACAGAAAGTATGTTGTGATTTAATAAACACAGAAAGTAAGTAGGTGTATTACCTTTTAATTTTTATGTAAAATTTTATAAGTATTGAGTAATTATTGATTCTATTACTCAATCAATGTAGATATTGTGACTATGAAGAATACAGACAAAGTTTAGTTGACAACAGAATGATGGTCAGGTTGTTCTTTATAAATATGTTTTTGATGTTAAAAAAAAACATTTTTTAGAAATGCGAATAACACGATCTAAACCTTTGCAAGCAAACAATACTCAAAACATTACTGAAAGTCCTCCACTGTGGCAACAAATTAACCAACCTTTGAGGTGTATGGATATATATGCTGGTTGCGGTGGTCTCTCCGAAGGATTGCATCAATCTGGTGTAGCGAAAACATTATGGGCAGTAAGTAAAAAAAAAATAGTGTTATTTAAATAATTATTTATGTATTAAAATCAATAAATGATAATCATTGAAAGTAGTGATGACGTTCTTTGCTTGTAAATACATACAATTTTTTTTACAATTACTTAATTGGGAAAAAATATACTAATTGAAAAGGATTCTTGTTTCTTAAGGCTGGTGTTTTATAGACATGAAATCACACTTTTAAGTAAGACAATGATAGAACAAGTGGATTCATCAAGAAAATAATGAAGCATGAGCATTAGCTAAACTAGAGCAACTTCTTTTAATTTTTTGCTTTGAAAGATCACGGAGAATGTGTAAATATCAGAAAATATACTTTTCCTGTTTTGTCCTAAATTATTAATGTTTAGTCGTAGAGCTACAGAGTTGAAAATAAACACGTTGTGATGGAAAACACCCTCTACCCACGCTTACTCTGATTACTTTAAGGGTTTGTTATAGGGTTTATTATTATTTTAGATAGAAAAAGAAACAGCACCTGCACAGGCTTATCAGATGAACAATCCTTGTTGTCAAGTATTTACAGACGATTGTAACAACATCTTAGAAGCTCTTCTAAACGGCAAAGCTAAGAACTTGAATTACCCGGACAAAGGAGATGTAGATCTACTTGTTGGTGGTCCTCCATGTCAAGGATTTTCGGGAATGAATAGGTTCAGTAGTGGGCAGGATTCCTATTTCAAGAACTCGCAAATTACTACATATCTCAGTTACTGCGATTTTTATAGGTAAGTATTTATCTAAAAAAAAAAATTATTTGTTATTGTGGTTGGGAGGAAATTTACTTTTAATATAATTTTTCAAAAAATGCTGATCTGTATGTATGTTTATTAAATTTTGAATTTAGTAGTTCCAATTTTGATCAAAATTCGTTGAATTATTCAATAAAGGTACTTCATTCTTTTATTAGTGTTTAAGAAAATTTTCTTAGAGAAATGGCATAATTAACAAAATTGGAGTGATCATTTACTTATTTTTCTAGGAGTTATTGAGATACAATCTCAAAAAAAATGGTAGCAAAGAAAACTTTTTACTTTACCTTACAATTTTGCTTTCCTATAAAGTTACAGACCTAAAAATAATAATTTTTTAAAATAATTCTCTTTTTAAGATTATTCAATAAAATTTTATATAAGGGGATTTTTTTGCGTTAGTCAAAGATGAATATAAATTTATTTTTTGCTTAAAAAAATAGACATTCCTGAGAATACTTAAGACATTTCTTTTGCTATATATTTTTTAACAGTGGATACTTTATTTAACGAAGAGAGACGTAAATATTTTATGAAACATTGATTTATTTACCATATTTTTTTTTTAATATTTACTGCATTAATCCATCATTTCAGATAAAAATTAATTTCAATTTTATACAGCAGTTGTCATTTATGAACAACTGAGTGTTTGAGTGATGTTCTAGTGTAATTAAACGTTATTATTTTGCTAAATTTTGCTGTAGTAAGCGTTTTTATAATTGAGAATAATGTACTTGTTTCTCTAGATGTCCTTTCGGAGAGTTGTATACATTATACAACTGTCAAATTGTTTTGACATTCTTGGCAACCGATTGAATTGCATTAGTAAATCCCTTAAAAGCCCAGTTAGAGAATACAATAATGGAGCAAAAAAATATTTTAGGAAGACCTTCTTTGGCGATTAAATTATCGTATTTTTGCTGAAAATTACCGTACATAGGACAAGATTTACTAAACTTTTTGTTTAGAATTTTGCCGTATTTGTTTGTTAATATCAGTAGTTTTAGATTATAGGGACTTTTCTTCTTTTAAGGTTGGTTACATCATACAACTAAAAATTTAATTAAAATTCGGTTAATAAAACAGTTTCAAAAATATTAATGAAATTATTTCCACGGGTATAAAAGATAATTTTTTAGTTTACTAATTGATCCGTCAATTATTCCTCTCTTACGTGTTGAATTGAATAAAGACAAGTAACATCAGAGTGGTTTTCGGGTGCAGCGATTGTAGCACTTCAGAGCGTTCTAAAGGTGCTTTTGGGTGCAAGTGAAGTGCTCTGGAGTGCTCCGGAGTGCTCTAATCGGTACACCCAAAAACAGCTCTGGTAAATTCAAAAACTCACCATGACATTTTACAACAAATAAATCTAATTAACGGTCTCTCTCATTCAACTGAGATTTTCGGTAAAACGATACACTATACCAATTTTGAACAAATATACCTTTTTTATGTAGAATTGTCCACGGAATCTAAAAATGAATCCCAAATAATTATTAGGTCATGGGCATAGAAGTTGGAGTAAAAAAATCCCACTTTACTACCCATTCCTATGCCACTGATCTACAAAAATTTGTAAATTTTACAGTAAATTATGCACATGTGTAAGTGATAACACCACACCAAATTTGAATCAATTTGTTATAAGCATACCAATGATTTCGTAAATAATATGATTTTAACAATCGACCAATACGGACCTGTACAGTGAAAACGGTGAGACTTAGACCCGTGCTTTATAAGGCAATTGTGAATTATTTATTGAGTTCTATTTGTGGTTAAAGTTTGATTCACTTGTAACACCCTGTATATAAAGGATATGAATTATCTAAAATTTATATTTTTTTAGGCCAAAATATATTATATTTGAGAACGTAAGAAACTTTGTGTCATTTAAGAAAAGTTTTATCTTTAAATTAACCCTGAAATGTTTATTGACTATGGGATATCAAGTCTCCTTTGGAATTTTACAAGCTGGAAATTTTGGTATACCACAAACAAGAAGGAGATTTATTTTGATGGGTGCTGCGCCTGGTTACATTCTTCCAAATCTGCCAGAACCGCTACATGTTTTCAGCAGATCGGGAACATGTTTGTCGATACTTGTAGATGGATTGCGCTATGATACTGGTGACTTTTACATTTTTAGAATGAGATTACAGTTAAATCTACTAAATTGTTCACAAATTAATTGATATTGTCAAAAATTTCATTATTATTTTACTTCTATATTTTTTTAGGGTCTTTTTGGTCTGAATCTTTACCTTATAGAACAGTGTGTGTAAGGGACGCCATAGCTGACTTACCTGATATTGAAAATGGCGCCGCAACAGCAGACATAACTTATGATGAAGAAGCTCAATCGTATTTTCAGAAATGCATGAGGAAAAATAATGAAACTACGATGGTTAAAGATCACATCTGTAAGGAAATGTCACTAATTGTAGAGGCGCGAATATCACATATTCCTACGTATCCTGGAGCAGACTGGAGAGACTTGCCTAATATAAATGTAAAACTGAAGAATGGCTTCATTGCTAAGGTTTTAAAATATCCTTATAGGTAATTCATTTCTTATTATACAGTATTTTTTGCATATTTTTTACTGTATTTTCAATAGAATAGTAGATGCAGGAGGACGACGATAGTTATTGTTATAAACTGTTTGTACAGAGCAACAGAGCCACAAACTATTCTCATCAAAATGAAAAAAAAGAAAAACGGCAACACATTTTTTAAATATGATTTTTAAGGGCTTAAGGGTTGTTGCTCCCACACTGGCTGGGTGGATTCCACTAGGCAACCTGATGTATGGTCTGGTGTAATTGGTCATGAGAAATATTGAAAAGATTGGTGAAAAGTTGAGTTTGTTTTTGTGTTCGAGGAATTGCTTTATGTGTTTTATATTTTATTTTTTTGGCGGGAACTTTGCTATATGGGCCTATTTTCCATACTGTGACATTATCCATTTGCATATCCTTCATTGAAATATACGCAGTGAATCTCCAAAAAAAAAATATCGATATTCATCTAGGCTTTGTTGCTATCACGATTTTTACTATCACGATTTTTACATGTAGGTACTATACATATAACCTCCATAAGGAAGCTGAGTTTATCAAGTTCAAAGTGTTTACCTTTAGTCCAGGGAACGAAGCGAAAAATAGGGTAAAATCTCCGAATACTTTCAGATAGATCCTATTTTTATGAAAATTTGGAATTAAACTTATTTCACCCTGTAAATAAAAAGTTGTATATGCTTGATATGCGCTTCTTATTTTTAGGGGATGAAAACCACCCCTTATGCTAAACAACTGAATAAATATTGTTTTATATTGTGCATTATAATTTACGTTATTTTTATAAAGTTTCAACCCTTAAAAGCCACCCTTAATGATAAAAATATACATTTAATAGTTTATTTGACCTTAAAATATTTTTATAGCGCATACATTATAGATAGAAATCTTTTCAATAGTTTATGGTATTATAAATAATTTATTACAATATTTCAACCCTTAAAAAACTATCCCTAATAACAAAATATTTAAAAAAATAGTTTTTAACAATTTTAAATAATTTGATGGTACAAAAATTATAAATCAAATTATTTTACCTGTTTTGTAATACAATTTATAATTTATCATATTGTTTTATCCCTTAAAAACCACTACCGCATTGACAAAATACAAAAAAATAGTTTTTAAATTATTTAAAATTAATTATAAATTATACAAATAGAAACAATTTTATACATTTTGTTTATTTATTTATTTATTTATTTATTTTTTATTTATTTTTATTTTTTTATTTTTTTTAATTTATTCATCAAAAGAACCTTACAAGTAAGAACTTTATACGTCATAAAAGGAAGAGGTTATACATTTACCCGGTAAAAATACAGTTAAAAAAACAAACAAAAAAAATAGTCACAACATATAATCTAAAATTTAAAGTTGATAAGTAAAATTATTAAAAGATTAAAGGGAAAAAGTAAAGGTATTCTATGTTTATAGAATATATGCTCCGAAAATTAAAGCAGTAAGGTACCGTTGGTTTTTTAACGATAACTTCCTTATTTTTAAAGCTATTAAGACGATCTAAAAATGATTTTACGGAAAATTTCGACAGCTAAAAGTACTGTAAAATTGACTATTTTTTAATTAATTTAGTTAATTTTTATTCTACACAAATAAAAAAAAACAAAATATTCTGTGAAAAAAAATCTAAATTTTTATATTCTTGATTATTCGTATCTTTTTTATTTTTAAAGTTATTTTCAAAAGTATATATTTTTTTGGATTTTTTCAATCACAACGTAATATTTTCAAAAATATGCATTCTAAACAGCTTAAACTTGTTTAATATATTGTTAGCACATAAAAAATGTAAATTGGAGAAGTCCTTTAAAAAATGTTCTGTGAATTTTTCTTGAAAAATTGATTTTTTTTTAGTTATTTTACGTTAAATGCTTCCAATTTAGTTTCTAGCGAACGTGAAATTATCGTCAACCAGCCCTATCTCAGCATCTATTGCACCTACATAAATGAAAAAAAAAACTCAATCTTTTTCTTTTTTTTATAAGCTTAATTTTCTTTGTGATGTTTTTCTTCATAGAATGATTATTTTCCAAGTTATTCGAGAACAGCTACCAAAAAACGTTTTTTTTTAATACAAATTTTCGTAAGATACTTTTTGCTTAAAATTGATTGCTTTATCTATTCCTGGGGTTATTTTCAATAATGTATTGTGCACCCTCTAGAAGGGTGTTTCTTGAGCTATTTTCTACTTACAGTCCAAGTTTCACATCAATCGGTTCTATCAGAAAGAATTCGAAGGGGAAACCCTTAGTTCCCTGGACTACTTCATTGATAAAAAAACTGTTTTGTGTCAAAGAGCTCTTCGAAAACATTGTAGGGGAAAATGTTGCTTTTGTTTACTTTGACGAGTGGAATCATTCCAAGTTTATCACGACATCGCTGTACTCGGTATTTTTGTTTACAACTTCACAATATTACAGAAAAAATAATCAAAACAAACTTGATCCACCTAGAGGAGTTTGTAAATGTGCCCTGGGAGAACAATGCGATCCATCCGACAGGCAATGTAACACATTGATTCCTTGGTTCCTTGTTCATACAGCTGATAGGCATAATAACTGGGTGGCAGTGTATGGTCGTTTGGAGTGGGATGGTTTTTTTGGTACGACAATAACGAATCCTGAACCGACAGGCACTCAGGGAAGAGGTAAATAATATATCTTTCACATTTTTTATTAATCAAATATGCTGCTGTAACCTAAAATGATACATTATTTTATTTTTATACATTGGACAGTTTACCGTGAGAATCATTTAAAAAATTCGGGATACATTTCGACTTATTTGCACTTTTGTGCCTAGTCTCCTTTGATAATATTTCCGTCCTTTACTATTAGATTGAATAGTAAAAAATGGAAATAGTCTCAGTGCGCACTGAGTGCAAATAAGTCAAAAACACTGTAACTGTGAATACAAAAAAAATGTAATAATGAATTAGTCAGTCTTATAGATTCCTAGATCTGTGACATTTGATATAAAGTGATTTTAACGTTTTGTCTTTACTCTTAATTTTTAAGTACTGCATCCTGATCAGAACAGAGTAGTAAGTGTCCGAGAATGTGCTCGTTCACAAGGATTTCCTGACGATTATAAATTTTCTGGGAACATTCTTGACAAGCACCGTCAAATCGGTAATGCGGTTCCACCTCCATTAGCTCTGGCTCTAGGTAGAGAAATTATAAAAGCATGTAATGGTGGTGTTAAAATTTAAAACTATATAACTTTTATAATAATTAGGCATATTATTTATTTGAAAAAAATGAAGTTTTCGTTGGAATGTAGGATTATAATGAAAATATTAGTTTTTATATAAAGGTTGTTTTAACAATGATAAATCATGTTCTTTTTACTTTCTGTTATTGAATAGATGATTTTTTCTTTGTATTTATATTTTTATACATATTTTATTATATATTTATATATTCCAGTATATTAGTTATTTATTTATTTCTATTTTTGTTCCTTAACCATTTTTAAAAATAAAACATGTATGAATATTTTCTGATATTTCCTTTTTCCAATATCAGGACTGAGATGACAATAAACATTAGTTATGATTTGGTTCGGGCTTGGGCTTGAAAAAAATGTAATAAAATTTCCAGGATCGTATTTAAAAAAATTAAGTTGATGATGGTCCTGGAGAGAGGAAACATTACATATAAAATATTAGACCATTCAAAAAGTTCTCGTAAGAAGTGTTCTTTTTTCAATATCACCTAAAACAAGGCTGAAATTAAACAAAAACGGATTTCCAAAATTTCGTTTTTTTTTTCAAATATTTCGAGAACTAATCATGTTAGCCTTGATTTTATAAAGGCATAATGTTGGATCCCTGATTATGCAACTTTGCCCCCATTTAAACTACTTCGTATCTCTTACTGTTTCTGAGATCCTTGTAGTTAGAAGCGAATTTGTAACAGTCTGCAGATTTTTCTTGAACAAGTGATTGTACAACATTTTCTCAATTTATTTAACTTCACGTCCAATTTCCAATATGCTCATATTTACTAAGTGGCATGCATATAGCAATCATGACCCTTCAATGATTTTTATAAACAGAAGTGGTTTTTGTACAGTTTTTTGAAAAGTACTTTTTGAAAGTACTTTTCAAGGAACCCCACATTATTTGGATAAAGATTTAACTAAGCTTACGTCTATCCAAAATTTGATTGATTTAGCTGTTACAAAGGACCTAAAAGTTGTCAAATGTAAAATTTCTAGGTTGATAAAGTACCTACCGCGATTGCCCTTCCATTTTGGGGAAATGTCCCTATTGCCATCTTTGAAATATAAAATTGAATATTCAATATACGTTTGCTACGGATGTCAAAAATAGCGGTTTTAAGGCTTTCACGGCCTGTGTTGATATATAAAGTACCGTTAATGCGTGATGTATCACTCTGCGGACACGAAAACATACGCAACGGCACCGGCGATACCGGAGATGAACGTAAGACCACACCCACCATCATATCGCGCAGGCTTAGTGTCGAGCAATGGTACCGAGGTACCCGACGCCACGCTCTCTGCCCTACTCCATAGGACTAGAGGCGCGCACAGTGGTATTGGCATTATCAGCAACACAAACGGGACCTCGTAAGGGGTCATCCATAAATTACGTAAGGGTTCAATGGGGAGGGGGGGGGCTCAACATTTTCTTATCATTCCTTACTTGGGGGGGAGGAGGGGGGAATGAAATTCTTACGTAATAAAATAATCTACATTAATTTTTCTATTTTTCTTAGTATATATGTATTTATAATATAACAAATATATTAATAAATGTTATAACTAGAAGTTGTAAAGCTTTTTTTATAATAAAAAAAAATTAATTGAATCAAGTAATGTATTACGTAAGGTGCGGGAGGGGGAGGGGGGGTTATGAAAAATCTTACGGTTTCTTTACATGGGGGGAGGGGGGAGTTGAAAATGTGAAAAAATACCCTTACGTAATTTATGGATGACCCCTAAGCGGTCTGTCGCGGTGAAGTTTTTGCAGAGTTCCATTCGTAGCGGCCTTAGAACCAGTAATAAGAACTGATATTAACATTTAACATCAGGGTCGGGTCTAGGAGTTTTGATAGGGCCTCTCCCACAGTCTAGTACGAGAACAACAAGGGCAAGTCCAAGAATCCTAGCTAGAGCTAAAGAAGTGCCATGTATGTCTGTAACAGGAGGTAACTACTTTAAATATTTCTTTGAGTTTTTTTGCAATTCTAGAATTTAGTATTTCTAAGATACCTATCTATTTATTTTAGATTTACTACCAAACGGTATACTTTTCAAAAATAGTAAAAGTGAACGCCCCTATATAAGGTGTAACTAAAATCCTTGCAATTTTCCGCCAATGTCTTTCTGCTTCGGGTGTCGAATGCGGTTAATTTAAAGTAATTAACGCAAGAGACTTCTTGGAATTTTATCTTGCAAACTGTAACTACCTCTATTCAAAGTTGCTTCGTTTAGCCGGTATATGGCGTCAAAGTTGGCAAAAAATTGTTTTGTTGTACGCGGAGCGCAACTAGCTCCATCTGTTGTGCTGACTCCTAACTATGCCATTCAAATGGCTACAGTAGGAAGCGACCTGCTATGTTGCGAGGTACTTTGTTACACGACTGCCGCGCACAGAACACAATGTTTTTAATTGCCAGTGTTGCGAGAAACAACTACTCTGGCAATTAAAAAAAAAACTGTTGTATTTTCCTAATAACTTTAAAACGTTTTGTCCGATTTAAGAGAAATTTACTACCCTATTATTATTTGTACACTTTTTCATACAGTAACTGACGTAAATTCATTTGCAGAAATGGGAAAAATGCTCCCATTCCAAAACGAATATGTTCATATTTCCATGACCCTTCTTTTGGTAGTGGCTTATCTCAAGTTTTTTCTCGTCAATTTTTTGTATCCTTAATGTTTTCGAGTAATTAGTTATTTTTACCGTTTTTATCGTTATCAACGTATTTTTTATACAAATCTGGTTTAATTTTGATGATATCAATAAAATAATCCTTTACAATCCTTATTATAATTAAACGTTATTTTACGGATTTTCTCTCATTCAACAAACTATGCCAACATTTTTTTGTAAGCAACCATATTAGAATCAAACGAATATGGAGATGGATAAGAGAATGAAGGAAATTAGGAAATACTTAAAATTTTGCTTTCATTTAGTGAGATCATGTTTCTTTGTTTATATTTACATATTTCCTGCTATTTTTTATTTCATTTGTAGTGAATAATACCTACACTGGGCATTAGGGCATAAAAAATCGGTACCTACATAAAAAATATATATACTCAATATTTATAATTATGTATGGTATTTCTACACTGTTCTTTAAATAAATTCTAAAGACGTATTATTCATTAATATTAGGTACTCAATGCATATATAGGAATTTGATCTAACGGCAAATACCTACATAATCGTGTTCATAATGCGATTAAGTCCACTCAAATTCAACATAAATTTTCAAGTCACGTACAATGTGAATATTTGGTTTGGAATTCTTAATTACAGTGTATTGTCCCTCACTTCCACGCAGGGACGTAGTCAAGGAAAAGTTTTAAATTCTGCCCTGAAGATGAGAAGTAAAAGTTAACACTACAATTTCGGTAACTGTGATCATGTTAATCCAATCAGTAGGACTATTAATCTTATTGCCTGGAATTATTTATTAATTAAATACAAAAAAGTCAAAAAACATCGCTATATATCGCGCTTTTCAAAAAGTTGTTCATTCAATAATAATAATAATCGCGTTCTTTTTTAATTTTCTTTAACGGTATTATTTTTCTTCTCCAAAATTTTGGTCAAATCCGATTGAATATAACTGTTTTTTTATGTTTTTTATAGAAATCAGAAATAAACCAAATAGGAGAAACTAAACATTACAGAAAAAAAAATACAGTTCAATTAAGTAGGTAGTCACTAAAATTTGTAGATCTCTTTTTATTTTGTTGTCAAATTTATCGGCGAACAGTCGAACCACAAAGTCGAATATACGCATTCGCTCTTAAAAAAGTGAAATTGATTGCGGTACACAGATGTATCTTGATCATTTCAGTTGCACTTTCACTCATCAAACCAAATAAAATTGTTGGAAACACTGTTCTATTAATTTTTAACCGATGTGACGCTATTTTTGAGTACGTAAACAACCTTGAAAATACTGCACAGAACACAGAGCGTAAGTGAAATTTCGTACAAGGATAAATCAAACTGTTTTCCAAAAGAAAAATATCTACAAAATACAAACAATATCAAAAAATATTTTTTTTACAATTATAATTTCCACATCTTCTATTATCTAAAGAGAATGGTTTTTCAGATAAACATTTTTCCAAAAATGCCATCTTTTCTAAATCGGGTTTAGAAAGAGAGTACAAATTTTTTATATTTTCCCTACTATTAGAAATTTTCAAATAAATAATTTTTAACTAAATAATTCAAACAAGATGAATAATATAGTATTATCGTCCTATATCTCGAAGCATTTTCTGAAAAATATCCATATGAGAAACTCTATTTTCAAAACTACTATCAGATAATTCCGACGTTAAACCTGAGTCTCCCTGCATAAAGTACAACATATACACGTTATAGCAAGAGCATACTTAAATAAAAAGTTTTAAATCGCGTTTTAGTGACTTCGAATTATGTCGATAAGTATGATGCAAACATAGTTGAAAGTTGAAATTAAAATTATACGTTTTACGTAGTCTAGAGAATAAACAAAAATATTTAAATTATTAGAAAGTTTTTATAAAAAGTGTAATTGTTCATTACTGTTTAATAATATTAAATAAATCTACTAGATTTATAAATTTAGTATTGTAATTTGCAGAGATACCACAGTAGCTTCTCATAAAAGTAATTCAGTGCAAGGTAGATCCGAATTTTTTAACGTTTTTTGATAAAAATATTAAGTATTGTTTCAATTTAACTAATGTTATCGGCAACAGCACCTGCTCTCTTTAAAAATGAAAAAAATATGTCTTAAAAAATAGATCACTCGTATATTTGCCCCAATCAGAATTTTAAACAATATTTTAAATAAAATTTTCCTATACTTTTTATGTAAGGTAACTTTTGAAATATAATTTCTAATAGCAATGGGCCACATAGATATTATCAAAATCTAATAACACATTTTTCCCATATGACTTGCACTTTTTGTCTGTTAGGTACTATGTAAGCGACTGTTTTATTATATATTACAATAATTGTAAATTTCAATATTACAATAATTGTAAATGCAGCAAACTTCTTTTGTCCAAAATAGACCTTTTTAGTAGTGACGTCACATACGCCAAATAACAGGCAACCCCATAGCGCAAATTGTCATGAAGAATTTCTCAATATTTTTACTAGATCGATTTTCGACCTTATGTACTTTGGACATAAGTGCTAAAAAAATGGCTTCTTTGTCATGAATATTGTGATATTCTGACAATATTCGAAACATTTAAAAAGTTTCAAACCCCAAGTACCACACTAATAGAATTATAGAATTTGTATATTTAAATTTATAGAACAATATTGACTTTTATAGTAATTAATAAATTAAACATTCAAGGAAAGTTTGGTTGTGGTTAAGAGTACGTCTATAATAAACTACTTGGAGAAAAAAACGCTCGATAAACACACTGACACAGTACAACACCAAGAAAAACAATAAAAATATTTAGTAGAATTAAAAAATGCCAAGATTAAACAAAAGTAGGGAAAATACGCTAATGATAACAGCGCTGGTATATCCACCTGGTCTCACCTGCGTATGAGGCTATTCTTCCCGAGCATGCGCATTAGGAATAACACGGCTAATGTTAAATTTTAACTTTATTTAATTTTAGGAATATTCTTTTATATAGTTTTTTGTAAGTTTTAAGCACATTAGTGTATCTATTTTATAAAACACGTGTTGGTTGTTCTTAAATAATTCCAAACCTTGTAAAAATAAATTAATTTGAAGTTGTTTATTTTTATAGTATCTATGTAAATAGTACACAAGGGTATGTACAATTATTTTAACCATATCAGCTTTGACAATTTGTTGCGGGTTGTATAAATCTGTGACGTCACCTAAAGGAGACTATTACAATTGTCAATACAGCTGTGGACAATAAAAAGTTTCCGACATCAACAAATTATGCCGCTCCTTTAAATGGCAGGATTTTATTCATTTCCTCCTTTAAACTTATTTACTAAAGCTGTAGGTACTACTTTTGGACCACTTACTCTTTCTTAAATATACGAATGAATTCCCAGGCGTTATATTCTTTAATTATTGTAAAACAGTACATAGAAACAGATTTTTCAAGAAGTAATTGTAATTTTTAAATTTTGAGTTATTATTTAGAAAAAGGAAACATGTAAAAGTTTTTGGAAAAAACGTTTGGGGGTTCCTGGAATCCCAACAGGTAATTAATTGCTGTTGGTCAAGGTTTGTGAGCACATGGCACAGAAAATGGAAACGTAGGTATACAAACATTACAAACTAGTAGACCGATGCGGAACTTAGTCGATTGTTGTGTTCACGGCAGGCTCTACCTACGTAGTGTATAGAATGACTGCAACAGAAATAATTGTAAATAACTACACCTTAGAAGCGGATATAGCATGGCATTGAATATATAAATAATTAAAAGCAAACCAGTTTCAAATTTTAAGTAGCACAGTAAAAATATGTTTGATGTGTATTAATCTGTATTTGAGGTAAGTTATTTTTTTTAACTTATAGCCGCACTTCCGTTTCGGCAGGTGCTGTACAAAATAAGACAATGAACAAGTGGAATGAAAAGAACCGTAACACTAAACGCCCTATTACTGAAGAGCTGCAGACATTTTATTTAAACCTTAAATCTATTCTTCATAGTACTTAAAATTCAGTGTAGGTAAATTAAGGAAGTTAGCGGTAACGGTTACATAACTTAATAATTATTTGAATCAAATTACATTTTCAAAATTAGTAGATTTGTTTTATAATGTAACAAAAACATGCCTAATTTGAATAATCCATATGTCCTGATTTGGTCATATTGTTTAAAATTCTAGCGCTTACTTGAGGAATATCCTAAAACACATTCCTTCATTTAAATTATTCATTAATTCTGTGTTATAAAACTTTCAATACGCCAAACGCATTATAACATAGCATAGCAGATACATTTCTGTCCACCTATGAATAAAATAGAAAATTTTCTTCTTGCGCAATCTAATTAATTCATCATTTTAACTGTTATAAATTTATTTTCATTTATTGTCAATTAAAAAAAATGTTGGTGGTCATCAATATTTATTTACTAGTTAGTTGTTTGATATAGGTATGTAGGTAGATATCACTTCGTGTAAAACTGTGATAGGTACGTATTTGTATTTAGTAGGTATACGATTGCTTTCTAGCTTTTTTCCGCAATTTTTTTTATTGAATTCTTCCATCTGTATTTAAATTCATGCCCAGTAACCGTTATTCTACTTTTTTAAAGTCGTTAAGAAGTATAAATATGTTTAAAGAAATTCGTGTTTCGGAAAATATTTCGTCACTAACCACTCGTACTGTGATTGGTAATGTTAAAAGAATTATGATAATTTAATATCTACTAAATAGACAACTTTCCGATAGATATCAGGAAGTTCGTTTCAATCCTATCAATATGCAGATTTTTTTTAACATTTAAATTGAGAGCAAGCTTTGGGTTTTCCTACATAGAAAAATTTCCGATTTCAAAATTTATAAATTTTATATGCAATATTAGTTATATTCATTATTTCTGATGCATATGTAAAATCCATCTAAAGTTTTTAAATTGAAAATAAAATTTGGTAAATAATATTCAACAAAATAAATAATTATTTATATTTAATGCATTAAAATTTGATGTGGCGTGTGTACATAACACAAGTCGAAAATTGGGAAAATATAATTTTTATACATTGACATGAATACAATTATTTAATTGGTAATTTATCACCGTTTTAAAAATTAATGGCATCCTGGATTGTCCTCATAAACTGAAAAATGCCTCTTTTTAATGATAATAATAAAAGCATTAAACTTCTTAATAAAGCGGTGAAAATATGAATAATAATGCGCAAAATTTAATAATCACTATTTCCATTTACATACCACAAAATTGCGGTTCTTTTTTTTTCTAAATAGAACTCGTAAAAAACTTTTTTCTGGATTCATAGATACAGGCATTTATACAAAGTGTAACTGAAATGCTAGTCTAAACTTTAGTGACAGTTTACAAATTAAAGATAACGGTTCCTGTAATCATATGCCCAGAAATTAATTTTCTAGCTACAGAGCTGAAAATAAATGGTTTTTAAGTTACAAAAAAAAAACAGTAGACTACGATATTCTGTCTACCTATATCTTATTTTTGATATACCAGAAAACGAAAAGCTAAATATTTCCTTTTTCTTTGACTTATTTAAAATGCCATCTATTTATCTACTTTGGCATCTCGAGATTAACTTCTTTTTATTTAAAACTTGTAATGAAGTTTGTAAACTCACAAACAACTTGACCACTTGTAGAGCGAAACAGAACAGATATCTGAAGACATAAGTTTCAAAAAAGCAATTAGTTCAAAATATTCTAGGTAACTTTGCTCTTCTACTAAAAATGAGAAAGTTACTGATGCACATTGATAAAAAATGACCTTGAAATATCTACCTTTAGAAGTCGGTCAAATTAGTAAAATCTTATATTGTGTTTAAAATATATAATATTATCTATATACAAACAAATTAACTCAAATTTGTATAAACCACGTTTCACAAAAAAACGAGGTAGGTACCTAGTTTTTTCCTAACATTTGTATTTTTTCTAGTATTTGTCGTTATTTATTTCTATTGTTACATTCGTAATATTCTCTCAACTCTCTCTCTCTGTACTCGACACCTTAGAAAAAAATTCAAACTTATAATCTGATTTTGTATACAGGGATTTTTCGATATGTCCTCTTCACTGAAGTTGGTACACTACAACACGAGTGTGGATGAGATATAACCTCAGACTAATAAATAAAGGGGACGCCTTTATTTACATTCGATAGTGAAGTGTTGACATATGTGTATTTACAAACATTGGTACTTTGTGATGTCCTTGACATTGATGCCAATGTTACATTTTTATCTTTATAGTTAGGTACAGCGGTCATTTTAATTGATTATCGTACAAGGATCTACCTCATTCTTGACCTCGACTTACAAATTAGTTACATTGTAATATGCATAAGACTACGACACTATTTTCTTGCAACTTGTTTTATAATTATAGATTTTGAATATCTGAAAAAAATACATTATTGAAATTCCTAGCAATACAAACGCCGTAAGTGGCATCATTGCCTGGTATTAAACGGTTCTAAAGGGGACGCCATTATTACAGTCTATTGTTGTGAAATAGATATTAGCCGAGTTCAGTGTTTTGTGTCTTTTTAAACTGTTTTTTTATCTAATTTCAATAAAAATGCCAAAGCGGCGTATAATATGCCGACAATTACAGGAAAAGAGCCAAATATGTGCTACTTCTTTTCACAAGTAAGTTTGACATTGTTTCCATGGGCGTTCTTACAAGGGTGTAAGGTGTCCTAAGTATTTTATTTGTTAATTTATTATGTTTGTATTTTGATACTGACACTAGCTCTGTGTTTATTTGTAGAATACCATAAGATCCTGCGATACGAGCAGTGTGGCTAGAAAATTTCGCCATATCTGAATATGATTTTTCAAAGGATAATTATGTCTGTCGAAGCATTTCCCACACATGGAGCTGTGCCTATTAATACAACATTTGGAAGGTAATACGTTTTAGCACAGTGTTGATGAAATGGTTGTGCCGTCTCAAAGGTTCCCTCTTCGAGAAATTGCCAGTGAAGGAAATTTTATAGATGTTGCTATAAAACATCTTCAATCACATGTTGTCCCTGTTCCATAAGAGACGAGCTGTCAATGTTATGAGCTCAAAATTCAGCTTATTTTTGTTGCGTACATTTAAAACATGCTTATTTTCCCACACGATTAAATGTTGTTCAATGTAAATTCATTTTTCCGTTACTTTTATTACAAATATGTTTTGTTTTCTTTGCATTGTTTATATTCCAGCAGATTTTAATTAAATATATTTTTGCTCCTTTTCTTGTAGTTTTATTTAAATTATTTATTTTAATAAATGTTCTTCCAGTAATCGAGAACTACTATGAAATAATAGAATTAATAGTAGGCAATGACATTGCTATAGCTATAGTATAATGATAGTTTCAATCGAGGAGTTTTCTTTAGTCACTCTTTTGTTCTGGAAATGTTTTTAAAATATTAATTATAGATTTTGAAGAAACCATTAACTTTTTCCTATTTATTGTCTATTTATTACACATGAAAGCTTAAATAATCGAGCACTTCTGATTTTATTCTATTAAAAAGTGTAATTTTTATGGTTTCCTTATATTATGATAGATTTTAAACCTAAACTCGGTACGCCACTGTACCAGGGACCATTGTGTTTACTTATGTATCATTTGTTTATCAACATACAATAGGTTGAAGTTACATGTTTACATTATGTACTGAAATAGGGAATGCGGCCTCCCCTTTACTTATTACTCTGAGGATATAACTTAGATATAATTATGGGTTATATCTCACTCACGATCGTATTGCCCTCAGAATTCTTTTCGGAAAAATTTTTTTTCTTTTTTTTATCAGAAGAAATCAGCTCTCTTTCTTTACTGTTGATTATAGGGTATTATATATTTTGTTATTAATAGTGTTTAACTTAACTTTTTTATTGGTTCCTTGTTATGAAAAAAGTGTTTTTCTGTAACAAAGTCTGAGAAGTCTGTCGAATGTTTTTTCACGATCTAATATTTATAGAAAAAATCTTTTAATAAGCATGTCTTACAATTTTTATATGATATAGGCATAAGATGTAGATTGTGTATACATTCGTCAAGTTGTCAATGTCAAGTATAATATGGAATATTGAATGTTTTATTGTACCGCAACTTGTCAATCAATAGCGTATTTTTAGACAATAATTGCGTTGAGAACTTCATTGTCGACATACCTATTATTAAATAATGGGCACCACTAATTAAAAAAATAAAAATTATTAAAGATAATAATTTTTACACGCGCTCATTATCTAAGTGTTCATTATTATGTTAATAAAAAGTACTAATAATGTTTGCGTAAAAGTTATGTAGATGGTATCTAATAGTACTTTTATAATGAAAACTGAAAATTGAGTAATTATTTAAGTATGTATAGTAGTAACAGCATTGTCTATAAAAAAATTATTTGTAAGTGTATTGAATCTCGACTTAGAAATTTATTTGAACGCTTTTCAATATTTTTTAAAGTAACTAAAAAAATATGTATGTATGTATATGATTTGAATTTTCAGTCATTATTTTGCGATTTGGTAATATTGATCATTTCAAATGGGACTGGTCTCTTGTTCATAAATTTTTTAGTCAGTAGGTATAGCAAATTTAGTTTAAATTAAATCTTTGTCTTATAAATTAATTTTTACGTATTTTCAATATTTATGACGGTTAAAAAAAAATTATTAGAATTAGTCATTATTTAGGAATTTGGTAAAGCAACAATTTATTGTAGTATTGATCATTTTAAATGGGTCTGGTCCGTTGTTTATTGATTTAGGAATACGGTAAGTCCAGTCATTATTAATACTTGGTCTTCTTTTACTTTAACAACTTTAATGAAAATAGTAGATTTGGAATTTATACACACCTAAGGCACCAAGGCATCATTTTGTTATCGGAAAATTATTTTTATTTTAACAGTAAATTCAATTATAAGTCGTATTGTCCTAATGGATGTCCCAAAATTCATGCAAAAAGTAATTTTGATTTAAAATACAGCTTTTTAATAAAAAAAATTGTTATCAATTTTTTATTGATTCATAAAGTAGGTATACAGTATAGGGTTGCATATAGACTAGCAAATCGGGTAAATAGTTTATTCACTATTTGTTAGTGGCAACGCATTAGATTATAAATTATAGAGTTTCGGAACCACTTAAAGACTTAAAGGTCATATGTTATTTATATGATCTGCGTTTACTGATGTTATATAACCTTAACGAGATTCTCAAATACCTAATGGGTTCTAAATCTCTTTAATAATTGATATAATTACATTTTATTTCCAAATGTTAAAAAGTAGATATATTAATATTCACAAAATCCTCGAAAATTATTTTTGTATCGTGCTCCTTAAAATTTCTTGAATTAATGCTTGCAACTGCATTTTCTATTTGTAATATACAAACTTTTATTATTTTACATATTTATCTTCAGCGTGTGATTTACTAAATTAAAAAAGTAATGAGTAGGTACACATTTTTTGTGGACAAAAAGCAATAAGATAATCGATATACCTAATCACCAAGATGAACTCTCTTGTGCAGAAAATAAAGTCAGAAATGCTTCTTTGTAAATTGTCCAATTCAATGGGCCTTTTAAAGAGTTGTAGAGCATAAAATTCTACATAAAAATGGTCTATTGACTTTTTCTTGTACTATTAAAATTAACAGAGTTAGGGTGGCTAGAAGTTAAGGGATGATTTCAGAAATTTAAAAAAATCATAAGCAGAAAAATGAATGAATTTTATAATTTTTTTTCAATATGCTCTAAAAAATGTAAAGTATCTTTTCAGAGAAATAGATATATTTTTTAAATGTTTCATAAAAAATTCCTAACAATTTAACAAAGCGAACGTGATTTTTTATCTTCGTTATAAAACAAAATTTCGAAAGCAACTTTTCATTATTTTAAATAATCAATCGAATGGCATAGAAAAAAATTGTTTTAGTGTCAAATCATAAAAATTGACGATTAAAAAATTGAAATTGTTATCTTTTTTTTATTAAAATTAAAAAATATGTCTATTTCTCTGAAAAGAAAATTTACATTTTTTAGAGTAGATTGAAAAAAAAATAAAATTAATTCATTTTTTTGCTTATTATGATTTTTTTAAATTTCTGAAATCATCTTAACTTCTAGCCAGCCTAACTCTGTTAATTTTAATAGTACAAGAAAAAGTCAATAGACCACTTTTATATAGAATTTTATGATCTACAACTTTTATAAGATAAAGCTCTCTTCTAGCTCTTACCCTTTTGAGTTATCTTGAAAAAACCCTTTATTTTACCTTTTTTCACCCCTGCCCGGGGGTTGAAAAGAAAATTACTGTTATTGTATATCTCAAACTAACATATAAAAAAATCAGGCAAGTTGACCAAATTGCGATTCAAAGGCCCATTTAGTTGGAATAAAAGTTATTATTCAATCGTTAGAAAATATTTTATTTTTTAAATGTATCGCATCAGTAAAATATTTTTATCATTATGTATAAGTACCTATATTTTTTTTAAATATAAATATGTACGTTATGTATTTATTTAAGATTTTAAAGAATCCATAGAAACTACTGTAAGAAATACTTGTTCGTGTAAAAGCTGTACATCATTTCACCCGTTTTCACTCATTCCCAGTTTTATCAAATACGATTTCCATGCCATAAAATTTTTAAATAAGGCGCTGTTTATTACACACAGCCAGTGAAATATTGAGGGTCTCTGATGACTGAAAACGATGCGCGGTCTTTTGTTAGTTGTTTACAATTTGCATACGACTAAGTAGAATTTGCTCGAGAGCTACCTCCAGAATGTTGAGGGATTTAATCGATGCGAGATGTAAATGCTAGGTTTACCTATTATTTGTTTTATATTATTTATTCATATGCAATGGAACATTTACTTCCTGGAAATAGCAAATAATAGGTACTTTTCCTTGAGTATTAAATACCTTTTACTTCGATTATAAGGTTGTGCTTCGATTTTTATTTATAAAAAGCTAAGTAGAAGCCAGTCTGCAGTAAAACGATTATTTCCTTAGTACCTATCCAAAATCATTATCCATCAGCAGCGAATCATGGATAAAAGTCAATTATTTTGCTTTAATTTTTCAAAATATGACCGTGGTTTTTGGAAATGAGAAGTGATGCATATTTTCAAGGTCACATGAAGGTCAACTTATTTTTTTAAAAACAGAAACGTCGAAATATTTTTTAGTTCCGAAATGGAAGAGTGGAAAATTTTAAGTTGGAATACATAGTTTGGTTTTTACTGAAAGTGACCTTTGAAGATCATCCCAAGGTCAATTTTGTATCTCATTCACAATTCAAATGAATAATGAATTGTTAAGAGTGATTCTGGCTTCAGAGGTTGTGAACTTATGACTTTGGTTCTTTATCAAGGTCATTTTGATTGTCAACTCATTTATTGTAATAGAAACGACTATGTTCTCTTCAGAAATTTTACGTCAGAATACATAATTTCGTTTTTGGAGAAAATTACCTTCGAAATTCATCCCAAAGTCAATCATGTCATTCATAATTCAAAAGAATAATGAATTGTTAAGAGTGATTCTGGCTTCAGAGGTTGTGATCTTATGAACTTGGTTCTTTATCAAGGTCATTTTGATGGTCAACTCATTTATTGTTACAGAAACGACTATTTTCACTTCAGAAATACCTACATCAGAATACATAGTTTGGTTTTTGGTGAAAGTTACCTTCGAAGATCATTCCAAGGTCTGCAATCTTTTTTGTATGTCGAAAGATTAATAAAGAAACTTCAAAATCTGCTAAAAGTAAGGGTAAAGGATAGCGATTTTTTTCTATGGCGGACGTATTTTCAAACCTCTCCCGTATATAAAATGTAAAATCATGCAAAACGATGTCTCACAAGATAAATTCCTACACTTGGTAGTCACATTTCAAAGAATCGATGTATATGTAAATACCCATGATTTAACGATCGGGTTTAGCTCTTATCCATTCATTGAACTCTCATTTCTGTAAAAATTAAACATTTTTATGGAGCATGTAGTAGCGGAGATTTGGCCGAGAAATCATATCCGCTAAGGTGACAGACTTACTCATTAATAGGTACTCTTCAAGTGCCATTGTTATGACTTAATATAGCATCTGTCATGATCTATAAATTCTCATAGATATCCACATTAGATATACAGGGTGGCTCATTTGTGTAAGATTATATAGTAGGTATATAGTTAGGGTTATCAGATCTATTTCAAGACAGACCCGGAGTAAATTGATGCCTAAAAAAAAGTCTCAAAAAATCTGGGAACCGATCTCTAAAAAAAGGACGTACTCAGGAAATACGACAAACCTGGAGCAGATAATTATTGATGTCAAAAAAAAAAAACGGAATCAGGTAATGTGGAGAAGAGATCACGATTTTTCCAGGAAACCCGGAAAAATATATGTTATCCTGGAGCCTGAACATGTACCATGTTCGTTTTTGTTTTAATAAAAAAACCTGAGACACGTCGATTTTCTTTTCAAGGGAGACACGTGATGGCGTAAGTTTTGGTGTCTTGGAACCTACCCTTTAGGCAGGGGTGTAAAGTACCCTTAAACTTTAAATGGCATCATATGTTGAGTGACACCTGATTTTAAAGCTTTTTCAAATCCGCTCACGGCGACATACGACTTTTTAAATTTTAGTTTGGATATGACAATAAAGTCATCACTTAAATAAGACAAAATATCAATAAATGAATGTTATTTTATTAAGTGTATAACTGATACTTAAAATTAATCGAGTAAATAGGAAAATAGGTACGCATTCAAATTATAAAGCGTGATTTTAGAAAAATGCAAAGAAATTATAAGGGAAATGATACATATTTTCCAACCACCTACTTCTATTTTATTCTCAAATAATTTACTACGACCTCAAGGGAATAAAAAGGCAATAATTCATACTTCTTCTAGTTTTAGATTAATAATGGGTAGTAGTATACTTGATACTGAGATAAGTAGATTAAGTCCTTCGTCGGAACAACAAGATGGAAGAAACAGACCCACAAGCTATTACGAGAATACCACATCAGGAATATCAAATACCTCACCATTAAATACTATAAGAAATGAATCTAAGGCTGAAAAAATTCCGTCCCAAGTAGACTGCTTAATTACTACCGTTCCACAGAATATTGCAGGTCAAAATATTGCAGGAAAACACACTCCGACCAGAAACAGCTTAAGGCATAGTCGAATGATTGTACTTAATAAAACTGGAAATGGTAAGAATTTAACATTTGGTTATCTGCTTATCTACTGATTTTTTTAATATGAAACCATGATTGTGTGGAATATAAATTAGACATCAAATATGTCTATAAACGTGCTATAAACTTATATTTATTTATAGAATAAGAATTTATGTTCACAACATGCAACATTTAAATATTATACCGCTACCACAATACATCAGCTGTTGTACGTAGTATCTATATAATGATTTCTATTTTGAGTATTCTATAACCACTATACAGTGGCGACTCTTGACTTTCATGACAGGAAGAGCAGAAAAATGTACTGTGTACCTACAAAGTATTGGAAAAAATTAAATATAATTGGGCAGCTTTATTTTAAGTAGGTACTATTGAAATATAGAAAATATGTGTTCAACATTATTTTTTATAGTGTCCATTCTTTTGCTTTTCTCCGAAATAAACTTTTCAATTACTTTTCCATTAAAGTTTAGTATTTCTCGCACCACTGATTTTTCAATAGATAGTATTACTGTTAGTCTGTCTTTACAATCAATTTAAACGTTTGCAATCTTTAAAAAAACACATAAGAAACAATACGTAAGTAACAAAATTTTACACCACACCTGAACAACTTAGTGTTTAATAATGTTTAATGTTTAAAAAGAAAAAAGGCCGTGAAACTATTTGGCTACGGTTGGACTAAACAAAGCCCAAACTGTATAGTAAATACGCGCTACTCCCACACCGTCTTTCACTGCTGCGCGACGGTAACCATGACCACCCCTGTAAACACTTTACAGATGTAGGAGCGAGCTATGCGGAGCCCACGTACTCAAACGAATTTTGCAAGTCGAATTAAATGACTGGCAGATATTGATTTTTTTTATTCAGGGAAAAAATACTTCACACCGCCTTAACTCTCTTAAACACACTGTATATATGAAAATATTTTTAAAATGTACATTGTTGGAGCACATATGTACTCACAAACACTTCCGAACATTTTCAGGTTCCCTATACAGGGATTTTAAAGAATTATAATACATTTTTTTCCACTTTCATTTCAAAACTTACATATTTCAATTCTCCTTTATTTTCTAAAGCATTAAACAATAGAAGAATCTAGGAAATAATATTAATAGTTATATTTTTTTCAGTGTCTGTAAAATATTTGCCAGCAGTTGTACTACACTACAAGTTTATAAAATCATTATTAGTGTTAATTACATTTCTTGGAATAGTATTGTGCACCCTATCTGTATTGCTATTGATGTGCACGCCAAATATAAGACCAAGGGATAATACATATTGGAGCGCTATCCCAGTAAGTTCAAAATTTTGAAAAACTTGTAATCATGTTGTCACAAAATAAAACTTATTTTTTCCACTTGGATATCTGCTGTTTCAAACCTCTGTATAATTTATGTAACTTAAATATCTATAAAATCATGAATTTTTTTTAGGTGCTCGCTTCAGGTATTGTTGGGTTATTTTATTTATGTTTTGTACCTAGAGAGCATCCTACAAATAGGCTTACTTACTGGACTAAGTCTTTAAAGGTAGGTAAATAAATTCACATTTGTATCATTCTTTATATGAACAAATTTAATGATTTAATTAACTGCTATTCTTATTGAATATATTAATTTTATTACTAATTTATACATTACTGAAAAATTAAACAGTGATAACTTCCGAGACATCCTGTATAACACATCATCTTAAAAGTTGAATTTCGTTTTCGCCCTGATTAACATCGCTACATATTTAAATTTCCCACAGAACTGTTCTAGAGGTCTGAGATTAAAAAGTCCATCTCATTTACTTTCATAAAAAGATTTAAATGAAAATAAAAAATTTCAGTTTTACATTTTTAATTTGAAAACGAAAAATAATAGTTCAATTTCTTTTCAACGATTATTCCTTGTCAAATTATGCAAATTTGTCCTTATCTGAAAGACCTTACATTAATTAAAATTCGCATGGTGCAGTGCAAAAAACAGACATCCGCTACATTATATTTTTATCTAATAATTATGTTTATAGTAGGATCATATTCGATGCAAAGTAATAAATCATTGCCTCTCAAGGGATCCAGTGCAATACGGTTTTAAGGGGTTTAGAAATTGAGTAATTTCTTTATGCATTATGAAGGGATAAAGGGATCAGTTCACGTCTGGCACCCCTGTCCCTACAAAAATTCCTTTATTCTCATAAACTATTTATTTTAAATGTAATTTATTATAAATCCAATTTGTTTTTTAAATTCCACATATGTACTACATTTTACCTCTGTACGTGCCACTGTTGTTTACTTGTTCTTTGGAGGTGGTCTCTGATTTACGACCAAGATTGCCAGGTTAGTATTTGACGTATAACCGACCAATTCGTTTACACGATGCACCTGGGCGACTACAGCTACTACCGGAACACAATGCGCATGATGCGATATTTCAGATTTTACATTCAATTTCGTTTTAAATTTTAAATTCATCTTATGCGTCCTAAAAATGAAGACACGATTTTCCTTTGATAGAAGACCGATAATTTTTTGCCCAACTTTGCATCGAATACGATTCTACTATAGAATCTAAAGGAAAATTCGAGATAAAATAAATCTAATATACTTTTGTAAATTGTGCCAAAAAAAAAATAATTAGCTTTAATTTAGAGACATTAGCAAGCATATTTTATTAAATGTAATATATCCAACTTATTTTGAATATGTCCTTATTGTTTTCAGATTTTATCAACATTAACCAGCCTCGTGGCCGCTGCGGCTTCTTTCGTTATATGTGTGTTTGCTGTGCTACATTCGGTATCACTAGCTATGATGACATGTGCACCTCCCGATAAGGTGAATACCAGCTGTGTATGTACATTAAACTCTACCACAGAATCGTTAGTTATCAGAAGTTACCATTACATTGATCTGAGTTGTTCGGAAGTAAATATATTATACATTATAGTAATCATCACAAGTATCATCAACGCAGCGGTAGGAGTATGCGAAGTGTTATACCTGTACTTGCAGTGGTGCAGAAGGACTTTATACGTTTATACTAAAGTGCCTGTTAATAATAACTCAGATTCTGTCAACACAAACAATAGGCAATAATTCCGTTTGGTTCCAAAGTTACATATCCAAAGAAGTAGTTTTAAATTTGTGATGTACATATGTATTGTTCACCATGTATTAATTTATTAAGAGATATATTTTTGAAAAATGTAGTTTTATCGAATAATATAATAAATCACATTTGAAATATTGTAATCGAATTGTCCATGTTACAGAAAAAATTCTAATATTATTTTGAACTGCAATTACAGCAATTTTTTTTTATGTTACAAGAGTAACATAAACGTAAATATTAAGCGTAGAATGAAATATATTTCATAAGTTTATTGACAAGATTCAACAATATACGCGGTGTTTCAGAAAGACCTCCCGTAAATGCAGGGGGTGATAGTACGACAGAAAATAAGAATTTTTTGTCTTATGAACTATATGTCTATCTTCTCTTGTTTTCGAGACACAGAGTGACAAAATAAAATTTTTTAAATAGAATTTTTACGAAAATTTTCAAAAGGTGCGGAATATTTTTATAAAATTTGGTATTCCGGTGTTTTTAAGGATGCCAAATGCATTGGTCTAATTATTTTTTGTATATTTCATAGAGGGCGCTAGTTCTGCTACATTCCTGTTACATTTTAAGTTCTAATTTTCTTAAGGTTAAGTTTTTTATCATTCGAGCTCCAATTTCTAATGTACAATTTTATTTTCTAAAAATAATGTACCCTTGTTAGAACTTAAAGCCTTAAAAAAATTAGAACTTAAAATGTAATAGGAATATAGCATAATTAACGCCCTCTATGAAATATCCAAAAAATAATTAGATCAGCTTATTTGGCATCCTTAAAAACCCGGAAATACCATATTTCATAAAAATATTTCGCAATGTTTGGAAATTTTCGTAAAAATTCTATTTAAAAAATTTTATCTAGCGCTCTGTATCTCGAAAATAAGAGGAGATAGACATTATAGTTCCTAAGACAAAAAAATTCGTATTTTTTGTCGTACTATCACTTCCTATATTTACAGCTCTTTCTGAAACACCCTGTATATTTTTTACCTAATGAATGGCTGCAAATCTATACGTCAAGATGTCAAATTGAATTGCTGCTTACTGTTATTGGAAATATCAAACATTAAATTGACTAAATTGAACCTGATTTTTTTTATCAAAAGTTAAATTTATTTTCTTGACATCTAGTTATTTTTACAAGAAAAATTGTCACTGTCATGAGCTAATAAACGAATTAAAGAAATGGCATATTTCTTACCCAAAACAGTACAGTGCAGTATGTAAAATATAACCTTTTTGCACTAGAGCACAAATATTATATGTTAGAAAAACTGGGTTTGTTATTGCCAACTTGGTTCTTTTTAAATAAATACTGAAAACTTAATTTTTCAGTCTATAATGACTGCTTAATTTTGTTTAATCTTCGTTTAGTAATTTTCATACCCCGCCACTGGACTAGCTAGTGTAACCTCAAATAAAAGCGTGCGTTAGTCTCAGCTCATGCACAATTGAAAACTGGGTTATGCATTGTTGTAAAATGTCATAATTTAAAGGAAAAATTAAAAATCAAATTTCCACACCATCTGCCGTGAAGTATTACTCTTTGGCGTATTACTTTTGTTGTGTGAATGTACGCCAGGAGCCCTGCTATCCCTCATAAGTGAAAATTTAGTTCTTTTAAATAACATAAACAATGAAAAAGGTACTTAACAAGTAATCTAACACAAAACTCAAGCAGTAATCAATAAATGGAAAACACAAAAATAAATAATCTATATACTTACCTGATTTTTACAGCATATGACATACTTAAAATCTTATAGCTAATCTTCAAGTACTGGTGCCAGGATTGTCTTCTAGGGCGTTTAAAATTTCTCTGAGTTTCTTCCCATCCAACATTAGCGTATTGGCGTTCAAAGCTCCCATAATATATTGAACCACTCTTACAAACACTTTCTTATTCGATACTTGAGGGTCGGGATAATCCATCTGTTGTGTTTTCTCGGAACAAAAAGTGGGCTCTAACCATATCAATTCTTTCTCGATTCATATACATGCTTTTTCATATCAAAATTAAAACACAAAAATTAATTGTACCGTTACTAAACACCGAGATAAATAATTTTATAAGGTTATACACGGACACTACACAAAGGCACTTTACGAGCACCTGCTTGTAAACCGATAGTCGAAAACTAAAATAAAAATGTAACAAATCCATTTACCATCCCGTCATATCATACCAGGTGTGAAGATAATCTGCAGTTGCTACCTTTTAAAGGCAGTATGGCATTTCAGCAGCACAGCTGTGGCTAACCTCCGTTCCCTACAGAGGCATTCGGAACATGATGGGATTCTGCTTAAATTTAAACAGTGACAGTAGTTCAGCTAAATTAGGTCAATGTCAAACGGTAAATAGTAAAAAAGATAATCATAATTGTTCTCTTTTTCATTAGATTAATACACTCCAGGATTAGAATGAAATAAAAAAGTTAATGTAAAATATCGTTTAATGTATATATAAAATTATATACTATAATGGAATAGATAAAATAATTATATAAAATATAGGATAAATACTTTCTAAGGCACAACACGTGTAGGCAACAATTTGGCATAAAATTTATGTATATAAAACAGTATACGATGTATAATTTTTAAATTGATAGTAACTTAGGCGGTGGGGCAAGGTTGTTTGGATATCTCGATTTTAACATAGCACTCAACCAATTTGCCCTTGAAGCGGCGTCGGTCCAAACCAACACGTTACCAAAATATGGCGCGTTTTTAGTTCTTTTTGGATGCGTCTTTAGCTCTATAAAAGTTATAGTCCATCTCGATTGAGGATTTCTCTTTGATTCATGGCCTAAATACCATATTATGTCTTCAACATTCCAAGAGTGTAATAAGATTTCTCCCTAAAATAATGCTCACGTAACAATTACAAAAAAAATTAAAAAATATTTTGCATGTTTTTAGCAATTAATTGAAAATAAGAAGCAACACTTACGGTTTTATCCTTAAAATAGGCTAATTTCCCCTGGGAAAATTGGAATGTTAACAATTTAAATAACTTGGATTTATTATCGGCAAATTTCAATTCCCCTGATACGGGTAGCGGTTTCTCTATTAAGAATTCCCAGTATTTAGATAGAGGTGCTATAGTCAAATAATTGTCCTTTCTATCTGCTTCGTCCCAATAGCCCCATTTTAAGACTACATTTAAAACCTTAAAATGATATTTGTTTAAGGTAAATGTCCACGATAGTTTTATTTATAATAATCTGATGTACGTTTGGTATTTTTTAAGTCTGTCGATGATAATTCAGGCACCGTTTTAGGTCAAAAAACCTAAAGGTCTAAATTTACTGGAGTTCAAAATATTTCAAAACACACGATATTGAAATTAAAGAAACCCACTATAATTATGAACTTCAGAATTTTAATATCATTGTGTATTTAATTTTGAGTAAAGTTCAATAAGTTCAAGTTCATTTAATTTTGAATGGCTTTTTTAGAAAATGAAAAAGAAATGAAACGAGTAAATGACGTCGCAACATTGCAATTTTTTAATTTAAAGTGAACTTGCTTCGAGGAGCAATCAAAAAAGTTTGTCATTCTATCAATTGATTTTCGACAAAACCACGGGTAAACTACCGCACATGGTCCTCCTCTGTGCCTTCTTGGTACTTCCTCTGGATTAAGGGGCCCCAACTGTACCCCTGACGAGAAAGAATCTATAGGCACTTCGTTGGAGCCTGGAAAATAGTAGTCCAACTGATGAGAAATCGAGCCATACAAGGCAGGAATGCCACCGATGTCGATGCAAATGGTTAATAAATACCTTTTTTTCATTTTTTCTCACAGCTAAATTTTATTCGAAAATTAAATCCCAGTAGGCCCATAATGTGGGGGTTAATTAAATTTCGGATAAAAAATTAATTCTAAGAATAAAAAGAAAGGGATTATAGAGTCTTTAGGAGACATTTCAGGGAAAAATATTGTTCTCTGAGTGTTATACATTCCTAGACTGAATTGCTTAACATTAACATAACAGTATAGTCTTTCCGATCTCAATTGAAGAACCAAGAGGTTGACAGTATGTACCAGGTTTGGTTGCTGATGCAGCAACTCGGCATGGAAGTATTTAAAAAACGTGTCCCCATATTTATTTAGTGATACTTATATACAGGTCTGGTCGCCCAGTTGAAGAACGAGCGTGCGGGCAAACACAGCCACACTAGGCGACCCTGGCCATAAATTCAGTTGTTGACAAATTGCCTGGCAGTGCAGTGCAGCAATGCGGAATTTGGTGTGATTCAGGTAATTTTAATTTATTATAGGTACCTTCTATTCATTCATATTACAATTGCGAAAGGGAGAAATAAGAGGGATATTTTGTTTACTAATATTATTACAACATTGGAGACTTTTTAAAACAGAACAAAACGAAATTTACCATCAATATAATAAAATTGTTTGAGAACATAAATAATTAAAATATGTTGTTGGTCAAATGAATATAATAGAAATTTTCTAAACATTTTTTCAAATTATTATTTTTTACCTTTAGCGGAAAATTTTTTAAGGGACGCCTATGAAACTCATTAAATTTTATTGCTAGACGTTTTTATACATGTTCAACTGACTTTGGAAAGACTATACCACAAGATAGTGAAATAGTTTTGTCTACTAATTATGTATAGAGCCATAAAATGAGCCACAAGTGCTATAAATGAAGTATATTTTTACCTTTTCCTCATGGTGAATAAGTCTTGATAATCTGTCATTTAACACTATCTCCTCGAGTACAACCTCATGCACCGGTAATTTAATATTACCGCACAATTCAAGACATACTTCATATGCAGTTTTATTGGGCCCTATCTGAAAGGCAATATTAAACCAAGTTAACGTGGCTTGATTCCGAAACACAATAAATACTCACCGCTACATTGAACGATTTCCCTTCTTTATTATGCGTAAAAATCCAAATCCTTAAATCGCCCGCCGATTTCTTCGTAACGCCCTGCGGGGATTTGCTATATTTTTCTAATACTCTGAGCATATGTTGTTCCTTTTCGAGCTCTCCGGGGTCTTCGGGAAAAATGTGTCGATAATATTTTATTAGTTGTTCGACAACTTCAGTGTCACGCTGATGGTCATGGCTTGTCTTTGATGCGTCTTCTTTGTACTACACCAATATATATTTTTTAACAAAGTTAAAACAATGTTATTAAGAGTATGTTTTGTATAAAAGTGTTTACGTAAATATGGGGGAGCAGCTGTATCTTAGGAACAGGCCACAATGTTGAAGAAAAGAACTGTCGATAAAACTGACCGCGAGAAATTACCTTATATCAAAATTTTTTGTAAGGCAAATATCATTTGAAAGAAATGCATGTGTGTTTAGCTTGACGTAATCTCGTTAGAAAGATATTTCTTTTTATTTAATCACAGAGAACAAAAAGTTGTTGGTCTTTATCAAAGGAAAATCGTGTCATCACTTTTAGGAGGTGTAAAATGAACAATTTCAAATTTAAAATGAAATTGAATGTAAAATCTGAAATACTGCATATGCACTGTGTTTTGGCAGTAGCTGTAGTCGCCCAGCTGTATCAAGTGTACGAAGTGATTGGTTATACGTCAAATACTAACCTAAACCTAAATCAGAGAGTGTCTCCAAAAAAGAAGTAAACAACAGTGGCGCGTACAAAGGTAAAATGTAGTACATATGTGGAATTTAAAAAACAAATTGGATATATAATAAATTACATTAAAAATAGTTTGAGAATAAAGGAATTTTTGTAAGAACAAGAGTGCCAGACGTGAACTGATCCCTTCGTCACTTCATAATGTATAAAGAAATTATTCGATTTCTAAAACCCTTAAAAGCGTATTGCACTGGATCCCTTGACAGGCAATGATTTATTACTTTGCATCGAATATGATCGTACTATAGATCATGCAAAAATCTACAACTTTTGTAGAGGTCACTTTTAAGATAACCTCAAAATTTCCGAAAAAAAACAGGTTTTTTTTCTTATTTTTCATTTTTTATTTCTCATTTCCGCAAAAATTTTTTCTCATTTAAAACACTTATTTTCAAAGAAAAATTCTACTTGGAAAAATCGTCGTACATAGTCCTGCCGGTGATTATTTTTTTCGCTTTGACATATACTTTTTGGTGAATTAAAAAAATCGGTAATCACAATTCAAAAACATGCTCAAAAATGCAAAAAAAAAATAAAAAATGACTTGCAACAATGAATTTTTCAGAAATTTTTAATAATTTGTTTACATTAAACGAAAAATTCAAAAACGGATTAAACGGAAAAACTACTAAAGAAATTGTGTCTCATTGTTTGACCCAAAACTTTATTTTTTCAACCCTCCACCACCCCTGCTCACGCATTTATTTTTTTTACGTTTATTAAAAGCCCCTTTACCATTTCCACTTATAAAAGTCCAGGTAACTATTTTTTTTTCTCCAAGTGTAATTTGGTTGGACTATTGGCAAGAATGGAAATTTTAATTGAAATAAGTTTTCTTCGATAGTGAAGAACTTTGAAAATTAAATATACAAATAGTTTCTACTTTTAAAGTATTTTATCATTATAATTTAAATGCGTAACATTCATAGAATGCGATATAAAAAAGATTAGATTAATTACTTCATTAGTATTCATACGATGAATTCCTATGCACATGGCACTTTTGTTGAATCTCTTTTTGTAATAAAACAATAAACAATTGCAATGCAAAAGTCCAAAAGGGTTCGACACGTAATACGTAAGGAGAACTAAAATGTTCTCGAAGAGATAAAAAGTAGTCTTGCAAGTGATAAGTGGTATACAGTGCATCGGATCTCTCCTGTACCACGAAGTTAGAAATTGGGTAAGATCTTTCAATCCTCCAAATAGTAGTTTAAAGCCAAGTTTTTTCTGTAAAGATATTTTAATGGACAATAAATGTTTTCGTTTTCTTAAAAAGTCGTCCCAGTTACGCCCCTTGTGTGACCAAGGAGTGGTCGTAATAGTATACAGGGGATAAGAAAATAAAAAATAATTGTGATTTCATACGAAATTTTCTAAAAACTAGATTATTTTCTTTTCAAAAACAGCCACCTGCCTAGAATCACAAACTAATAATATAATAATATTATAAGTCAAATATTCTATTTCTAACAAGATCCGATTTGATTAAGCTAACTCAAAGGTATTTCTTTAAACAGTGTTCATCCCCGCCTTCCTATCCTTATTTAATGAGTTACATCAAAAAGTGTACAATTGAAATAATACAAAATTAGTTAAGATTGCAAGGTAAATATTTTTAAGCACATTTAAAAAATTCTTTTTGCCACCAGAAATTTTTTTACAGTGTGATACAGTTGCTCTCCCACCTTACGTGAACACATTGTATATTTGCAATGTTTCTAGTCTAGTGATTACATAAAAAATAAAAGATAAAATAAATCTTCCACAAAAATTGTATATTAAATTTCTTCATTGAATTTATGTTGAACGTACAGGGTGGTGATGAGAAACTCGCTCCCTCTATTATTCCCGTTATATTGCAAGATGAAAGAGAATAAAAGTTGTTCGAAACAATTTTAATCTTTACACATTTTTAAAAAGTTATGTGAAAATATACAGGGTGTATCTAAATAACACCGAAAAAATGTATGGGGCGATTCTCAGATGAAAATCTATAGAGGTTTTTGGTACAAAATTTTTTGAAAAAATTCTCCCTTGAAAAGTTACGCCCCAAAGATTTCAAAAAAAAATGTTTTTATTATTTTTTTTTAATTTATTCTGTGGTTTTTTAACTTATTTTGAATTTGAGGTTAGGTTTTCTGGTTTCCTGGTTAGCTTCCTATGAATTTGAGTTAAAAGTTATGCAAAAATATTGGTTGCACACTCAAAAGTACCATTTTTATGGATTTATACTCAGGTTTAGAAAAAATTGAGTATGTTCGTTTTAGGTTAAGATTTATAAATTTGTTTGGTTATGTTTTCGGTCTAGATTCATGATTTAGGAATATGTTTAATGTTTATGATTTTTTTTTTGTTTGGCAGCCTTTAGCACATAATTTTCCTTTTTTTTCATTTTTAGATACCGAATATATCAAATTTCGTATGATCGAGTTTGAGGCTAGAGATTACTGGGCCATTTTGAAAAAATTCTAGGTATACATTCCAATTACCTCACAGGAACTTTATAGTATAGGTAATTTCGGAAAGAATAAAAAAAATCAGTACTATTTGATAAGTTCTGATGCGTGACTCGAATTATTTCCGATATTTCCCATTCAAAAATTTTAAAAAAATTGTGTTTCTTTTTTATCTTCCATGTATATAAAGCTAAAGAAACCAAACTTGGTGAACATTATATGTCAAAAACACTGCACTTTTTGAAATTTTGTCAACCCTGAAGTATTTTTGTAAAGGGTTGAAATAATCAACCGTTATGACATTTTCGGCAAAATTCACTCGTGTTAAACAGCACATCTTTTTAAAAATACATTACAACACATTTATTTTTTTTCTCATAAATCCTTCAACTTTTCGAAAAAAAAAGAGATCAAAAAGTTAGTACATGAATGGGGTTTGTTAGACATGTTTATTTTATCGAAAAAAAAATGATAAAAAAAATGTCATAGGGGTTGATTATTTCAACCCATTACAAAAATATTTCAAGGTTGAAAAAAGTTTTTTTGACAGATAAGTTCAACTATTTTATTTTTAATTATTGGAGAGGCGTATCTTTTCAGGGGTTTTTTCAAAAAATTTTATAACAAAAACCCCTATAAATTTACATTAGAGAATTTTCCTTACATTTTGTCGGTATTATTTAGATACGCCCTATATAGTGTGCGATAAGCGAAAATCAGAAATTTTGACGATTATTTATTATTAGGCATTTTCAGAACCTTGAAACTTTTTGCATAAAATATGTTCATTTGGCATTACAATCGGGACGCTTTTGTGTGATTCGTTAAAACCAAATATTGAGCGAATTATGATTAGCAGACAAAAACTACTTACTTCGGAATGCATTAAGGTAGGCCCCCAAATCGACGCTAAATTTTCAACTGACATTAGATTTTTCGCACTTTGAGAACTTATAAAATGCAAGTGACCAAGCAATTTCCTTGTTGTTTTATAAGAAATTGAAGGCAATTGATCCAACGCTGCTTTATACATCCTCACTTTTTCATCAACATCTGAATGTTCTGAAATTAGACGTTACTTAGATACAAGTTCATCTGTTTACCTTGTAAGGTCCAAAAATTTCGTAAGATCAAAATGACAAAAATTAAATATACGTCAAATATTTTATGAAAAGATATTGAAAATAATTATAAAAAAATCTTACTAGAAAACGAAGAAATATTTTTCACTTACTTGAGACTTCATAAAGGTACTGACGCTGACTACTTCCCAACAACGGTTCGGGCAGATCCCTGAAGAATCTTTTCAAAGCCGTACCCACTTCGTGTTCTGTACATAAGTCGCTCGTCAGTTGAACAGCAAACGCATCCTTCCCGAATTTGGTCAATATTTCTGAAATTAACGATCCAGATCCAGCACGTCTATAAATGCCCTCGGTCATACTTCCTAAGAAAATAATGAATGCGTTATGTATTAAATTATTTTCCGCTACTAGTTCATATTACCGTGAGCGTATATATAATTTATACATTTCTCTACAATTACAGGTATATCATTTTTGGTAAGTTGCTGTTGGTCTAAATTAGCTCCGTTATTGTGGGCTTCCAGTTTGATTATGTGACACCACACCTGAAAATTACAAGAAGATTAAGATTACCAATAAAAAAAGTTAATCAAATATGTAAAAATTTATAGTGATCAAGTTTGAAAAAATAAATTTGAGTCAACAGAATTATACAGTCCTGGACGGTGCATTGGGTGAAATGGCCGAATTCCTTGGCCTCCTAGAAGTCCTGATTTAAGTCTAATGGAATTTTATTTAAGGGGCTATCTCAAGCAGAAAGTCTATGGATAAAGTCTGTTGAATAACAATTTATTTGAATTGAAACGAAGAATAAAAGATATATTTGAATAACCATTATATTATTTGTTTATTTATGTTTACTATATTAGTTACATTTTTTTCTCTAATAAATAAGGAGGAATAGGAATTTGGAGTTTTTGGGTCTGAAAAATAAAAAAACCAAGTTGGCTGATCAAAATGAAAATTAACTTTTAGTTCTCTACAGGGTGTCCCATTTTAATGTCCCACCCCAAATATCTCGAAACCCGAGCAGAATGAGGAAAAATGTTTTAGACAAAAGTTATAGGGTTCGGAGGGGGACATACGATGGTGACCTTGAAAATGACCTTGAAGTCGATTTTCAAGGTCAAACGAGGGTCAACTTCGATTTTTCAAATGAAAACCCCTATTTTTTATTGCAGGATCGTATTCTACGGAAAAAAATACAAACTTTTTGCAGGAAACTTTTTTTTCGAAAATGCATTTTTTTCCGAGTTTTTCACGAATTTCGTTCGTCATGTTGCTTGAAGTGTCAGATGGATCCTATTGACCACTAGGACAGACTGGGGTATTATTTCACCAGAAACACTAGTACTCGATACAACGGTGGTTGTGTAACTAATCCGGAACAGCGAAATTTCAACTCTCCGAATTAACACACATAAGGATCGTCTGGACAAAGTGAAGAGGGGGCGCGTGTGTTTCTCTATTATTTTGAATAGCTGTAAACAATTTTCACCTGATAAAATCAAAGGTGTGAGAGGAACAGTTCAAGACAAGGATAAAATTGCTGCCAAAAAATCGAGGGGAACGCACGCCCCCGTTCCTCTCCTCAGAGAACTCTAGCAGTCTCATGTGTGTTGATTTGATTTGTCAAGTTTGTGTTATTTTCTGTTTTTCTATTTTCCAGCAGCAGCGCGATCGGTAGGGGCAGATGGGGTAGCGAGCCTCTCCTGCCGCAGCTCCCTGCTCATGTAATCTTCAAGCGTCTTCGAACATGCGGTAGGGGCCCGGGAGTTGCGCGATGGCACGTTCTCGCTCGGTCTCTTCGCTCTCGCAGTAATGCTGATTATTGGATCGTACCGAACAATTAAAAAATTTGATAATTTGATAAGTTCCGTTGCCCTGCTCTCGAGCATTAAAGACTCAGGCAGCGAGTAATGCATGAATCCCAGCCAGGATCCATCTGACACTTCAAACAACATGACGAACGAAATTCGTGAAAAACTCGGAAAAAAATGCATTTTCGAAAAAAAGTTTCCTGCAAAAAGTTTGTATTTTTTTCCGTAGAATACGATCCTGCAATAAAAAATAGGGGTTTCCATTTGAAAAATCGAAGTTGACCCTCGTTTGACCTTGAAAATCGACTTCAAGGTCATTTTCAAGATCACCACCGTATGTCCCCCTTCGAACCCTATAACTTTTGTCTAAAACATTTTTCCTCATTCTGCTCGGGTTTCGAGATATTTGGGGTGGGACATTAAAATGGGACACCCTGTATAACTGTCTTAGATAAATAGTTTTGATATTTTTAAAAACAGAGGTACTTCACTCCTGACAATTTTTGAAAATTCATCGCAAAAATACCCTGTGCATTAATTAATTGGACTAATTTCTTCCTAGTTTAAGACCTGGCAGAGATGATGCCCAGAAGCTCAAATTTCTGCTCGAAAAATTTTCATTATTTACACCCCACATGCACTCAATCCGTGGACACACTGTATAACGAATTTCTTATGCTGAATGGCAACAAAAACTTTAAAAGCGTTTTTCGAGAAACCACTTTATTAATTGGTTGGAGACATAACCCAAAAAGTTTTCAACAAATCGACTCGAAAGTACAGAGCTCATAATATAATTCAGGGAACATCGTAGGGGTTTTTCGATTGATATAACAGAATTTTTAATCAATTACTCAACAACCACTGAAGATAAATGTAAAATTTGACAAAACAAAACAATAACTGGTTGCTTTGAAATTAGATAGTCCGAGAGATCTCAAGATTTCAGATTATAAATTTGGATTTGGATATGTAAGTTACGGAAGAAAAATCATAGTTTCTATGTAAAAAAACTGAAAACTTAAAAAAAAATTAAGAATTGGAAAAGGCGAAAAACTGCCAAAGAATTAAAAATATCCTGTATTTCTTAAACAAATCAAAAGAAATGGAGATGCAGATTTTTACTGTGGAATTTTTCACGAAAATTGAGCTATTATTATTATTATTAAATATTCAAATCTTTGTTTCTTTCACAAAATTGTATCTGTATAAAAATGTAATCAGTAAAACAGGTATTAGATAGCTTATCAGTCATAACTTTATAATTAGCAAAATTGCAAAATGTAAACAAATAAAGTCAATCTGGCATTATTTAGGGCTTACTGATAAAAAATATCGATTAAGTTGATTTACAATGTGTCTTAAGTGAAATACTTTAAAAAATAATATAAACACCTAATTGATTTAAAACAATAGGATAAAATAATGAAATAATAGTATAAATTTATAAATTTAGAAAAAAAAGGCATTTACTAAATATCACACAAAAAAAACATAACAATTATCTAATTTTTAAGGAATCATATATTTAGTTGAATCTAAAATAGGCAGTAAATAAATTTATCCTCGTTGAAACAAAAATAGTTAAAAGAGTAAATTATAAATAATGTTAATTTTATGTCCGAACACATCCAAAAAAAAAAAAATTAAACATGCATCGGTGATTTAAACAGTGCAAAAAATCCAAATAAATATACCAACCTTAGTTTCTCTCGCTGTCCACATTCGTAAATATAGCACCAAGTCGGGACAATCAATCAACATGTTGGGTCCCTTATCGTTTGTTCGCGGATTATTCTCTGTGTCTTGATAAGACTGAAGAACTATACATCGAGCTTTCCTAAGGTCCATTTTCTTCACTCTTTGTTTATCGATTGCATAATAAAGTTCTCTTTGGGTTATAATGATCCACGCTCCTACCCAATTCCCGCTAACGCCTGAAAGGGACATTTGTAGTAATACAATTAATTATTTCTGGATTACTACAACTGTGTATATTAGTTAGCAACGAATATTTTAAAAGGCTTCAATAGATTGGATGTCGTGTGTAAGCAAAGAGGTAGATACCAATTTTTAATAAGAAAAATTTAAATGTATACAGCGAATCTAAATCCAGAAAATTAATTTATATACTCAGTCCGGCTATCAAGTTTTGAGGCTGATTTTATTGTGGCGCTATCTATGTGCGGTCAATGGAAGCATTTAGTAGGAAGCCTCCCAAGTGACCAAAAAAAATTTCATCAGTACACTATCTACCACGAAGTTATAACGTTTTCAGTAAAGCAAGTTTTTAATAGTTGTTTGAACATTGAACATCATATAGTAATCGTTATATCTTAAAACTGGTAAAACAGCCACGGAAACGTGTTACAGACAGCGTATGGTGAGGAGTGTGTATCACATCCGGCTGTGTTCCTGCGGTTCGGGAGGCATCGTGATGACCAAGACAGCATGCACAACGACGAGAACATGGGGCTTCCCCGCTCAAGCCAAACGAACGAAGACATTGAAGCTCAATAGCCGAACTGTGATGCAGCATGTTTAAGGACTGACTGGTCAAACTTAAATTTAAATTCAGGTAATTATAATAAGAAAAAAAAAAGTCCTATGAGAAATATCTGATAACACTTCATTTTAGAAATACCGGAAGTCGACATTAACTCTTATTTTAAATAGAACACCCTATATATTATTGCATTTTCGGATTCCTCGTGAAATTTGAAGGTAACTTTATTAAATATTCGCTATACCTAGAAGTTATAGATATTGATATTATTTTTTAAAGAAAAAATTTTACAGTAACGTACAAAGAAAATAGTGCGGACAAAAGTTTGATTAAATGTTTTTAAGATTTTAGAGCAACACAAAATTAATTGATTCTTACATTTTGCAGATACAAACCATGCATGTTTTTTAAATAATATCTACAGGGTCGGAAACTCCCCATGGTTCATCGGCCGTTACGTGAGAGCAATAAAGAAAGTCATAGAAATCCGTGCGATAGAGAAAGATGACTATAATGAAGGCATCTAATATTCACCGCCCATTTTGCCTTTCCACAAATAAGATCCACTTCTTATTTCTAGAAGGGCGAAATGGGCGGTGACTATTAGACGCCTTCATTATAGCCATCTTTCTCTATCGTACAGATTTCTATGACTTACTTTATCGCTCTCACATAACGGCTGATGAACCATGGGGACTTTCCGATCCTGTATATAGGTTCGATAGATCTATCTTTAATAATAATGGAGATATCGCTGAAAAGAGCTTGCCGTAAGCACACCAAGTCTTTGCCTAACACAGTACATTTATGTTTCCATTCATTCAAAGGTTACAGATATTTAGCGAGTGCTACCTCGAATGATGCATAATCGTGCGCATCTGCCACTCATCTAATTGTGCGTAAGCAGCTACAAGAGAAGAGGGTACGATAATTCTAACTGCAAAAATCAACGACGTGAGACTTTAAACGTGATCGTCTTAAAATGTATTGCAAAAATAGTGTGACGGAAATACCCAATTAAATAAAAAAAGTAACTGAAAATGATACAAATAAAAAATTGCAGACGGTATAGAAAGCTTTAGTCTCCTGGGACAATGTGCCTGTAAAAATAAACCTTGCAAAAAGTTTTTATTTGTAACCACATTGACGCTCGCAAAACACTCTGGAAACCGTAAAAATATGCTGAATCAGAAGTTGCAATGAAAGGGTTAAATAAATAAAATATTTGCATCAAGTTACCTTCTCGAACATAAGCCCAACCCATCCTTGAATAATTCGCTGTCAATTTTGTGGAAAATCTGCTCGTAAGTGACTCTGCAATAAGTTGCATCCAAGTTCTCCTTTCACTTACGCTACGTGATCCATAAATATGCCCACCTCTGGCTTTCCCGGTAGTATTTAACTCAAAACAATGCAAATCGTCATTATCATATCTGAAAAAAAAAAGAAAAATAGGCGTGGCACATAAAGCAAAAAAAATTTTTTTTTTTCAAAATGAAGGCCCCATCATACTGTATAATTTTATTTTAATTTAAATCTGAAAAAACTATAATGCCGATGATTGCTTAGAGGTATTTTTAATTTCGAGGCATATCCACAAAGTAAGAGTACCTCGAAGAATACCTACTGAGACTATGATCTGTTTTTTATTTTCGATAAAGTTGGCATCACTGCATTGAAGGGCCAGAGGAGCTGAACGCTTGCTCATTTATCTCAATCAGTTGAGAACTGTTGTTGTGGTGGCGTGTTGAAATGAGTTCTGCTATTCCGAATCCCGCCAGATGCGAGGTGAGAAGCGTAATCCTGTTTCTTCTTGTAAAGGGAAGGGCGCCATTCAGGTTCATAATGAAATCAAGACTGTTTATGGGTATGGTGTGACGAATCGTACTAATGTAAAGACTAAAAAAATGTTTCATGACAAATGAAATTCACTTTTCTAAAGGTGCTTAAGGGTGGAAAAATCTTCTACTACTACTTTTACTTTGTGGATATGCGTCGTATATTTGTGCCTTCCACAATTTTTACATACTCAAAAAAATTATAAATAATATACCTTGGTATAGGTAAAGACGCCTAGAGAAAAATATATAATGAAATTTCCTATCTATTTAAATTTAATATAACAATATTTAAAAAATTAATAGTTTTCATTTTAATTGAATTTATCAAAATATACCTACATACCTGTAATTATATTTTTTGTCTTGTAAAATTTGTATACTCAATATGTTTTCTGCTCGAAAATGTTCTTTTAAGTGTTGACAAGTGTTGTCAGAGTAACACACGAAATTTGAATTTTCTAAGACACACCACCTGCCACTGTATTCGCCAAACAAATCTTCAACGGGGCCACTTTGAATTTTATAAAGCATTCCCTTTTTTTGGACACACGATTTCACTGATATTGCTGGTCGGTCGACATTGTTATCTTTATTCTTTATACCTCTGACAACGTCGGGTGCCTTTTCTAAAACCTCTTTGACCTGCTTAAGCCAACTATATTTTTTATTTTCCGTGTGAGTCTGTTGTTGCGATTTTTCATTCGTGAACCAGTTACTTCTGGATTTCTGACCATTTTTGGTTACTTGTTCGAGTTCTTCCTCTGGGAGGCTGTCAATTCTCATGGGAGGTGTAGGAGGACTAACAACATCCTCGCTTTCAGAATCGTTTGATATGCTCCAATCTTCAATAGTGTGCGCGTTTGAAATAGTACCGTACAAATCTCCTTGCAATAATTCTTCAAGTAATTTCATGTCATTGACATGGCCTAACGCAGACTCTGAAATAGTATTATAAATACAATAATAGTGCGTTATTATAGTGACTAAAAGCTTGTTTTTAAGTCTTTTTAGTGTGCTATTTTTTATAGCCTGCAATAACCAATCCAAAAAATTTTGTAATTTTGATTGTCAGAATTTATCGTTTTGTTATAAAAAAACATATTTTGCGGCATTTATATATAAAAAGAATTGGTGGTGGCTTGCTAACCTTTATATAGTTAGGATTTGATGAAATTGGTGATGGGATATCTCGAATGAAAAAGTAGAAATCATTCAATTATTGAAATATTTTCCATTTATGTGGTGGCTGGTAACCACAAATTCTAAATTATCTTGCAAACGGCTCGTTTGTGGACCTATGTTTACTAACACTTCTTGCTTCTAGTATCATGTACTTAGAACGGTTTCAATTTGCGTTATTAATTATAGAACACCCTGTATACAGTGTGTTCCAAATTTGATATATCATTAATGGTATCCTGATTGTTATAAAAAATAAAAAGAAGCATAAATTAGAAAAGTATCCCACTTTTCTAATCCTAATTACGCATAAAATAACGATTTAATAACACTATTGTTTTTTGTAAAAAATATTAATTAAGGGTTAAGTGTTTCTTACCTGCAATATTATTCGTAATGTTATTTAGCGGATCGAACTGAAATATTACACTCTTTGATGCTCTTGGTGTCACTGGTACCTGAGACACAATTTCATGATTTTCATACACTGAATTTATTTTATTCACACTAGATTGTCCGCTACCATTTGAATTATGATCACATTCACTGATATTATTATTTGTTAAATCTTTACTGCGTTTATCGATGACATTATATACTTTGTTTTCATTTAAATTGTCACCAGCAACGGAATCATACAATTTCCACGAACTCGAACTGGATATAGCATCGTCATCTGTTTTTCCATCGGATTTCTGGAGATTTATCAAATCGGCGAAAGTTTCACAATTATTGTCATTTGGATTTGTCGGAAATATTCTTTCATAATGTGCAAATTTATGAAGATTGTTAGAACAGCCTGAATTACTACTAGAAGTAATCGAGGCTGGGGCATCATATATTGATTCATCTGGTAGTGGAGGTGGTGGATGAGAAGGAGGTGGTAAGTCAATTGAACCTTCATCTGATGAGACGGAATCATTATTTACATTATTATAAACATTTTCAGTTTGTGAAATTGGGGAACCAAATTTAATAGATTTAAAAATATCAATAGATTCTTCGTCTTGCAATTCAGTTGGATCCTCTGAGTTATGAGGTTCCTGAGAACTCGAACTAAATCGCCTCGTAATTTTACGAACACTCTGTCTAGTACCCTCAATCACAGCTTTCTTTCTATCTTGAACTAACTGGCCAATATCTCCCGCTATCTGTTTGGATGCATTGCTTAAAGAACTCACCCTTCTGGAAAATGAATTAAAATGATCTTCTTTTGGTTGTTCAGAAGCTGTATTATTGCAGTCATCTATTCTTCTTGTTGATCGTCTAGGAGTTGGGATAGGTTTCTTTACTTCACCTGGTAATATTCGAGGCTTTGGTAATGGACTATCCATTTCCAATATTTTTCAATACAACTTTTATTATAACTCATTTGGGTTGAACTCCATATAAAACTGATTCCAACAATACCACCACATCAATACAATGAAACCACATCAATATCCTAACAAAATTTTGTGCACAATAAGCGATTATCTGTAGAAATGTAGATAAGAAATATAGAACATAAAAATATTTATCACAGCACAGACAAACGTAAATATTTTTAGTCACAGATTCAATTTCATTTCTGTAATATTATATCGGTACCTATTGATTGGCTGATTCGTTTATTACGAATACAAATACACTTCCTTTCCCATACACTTTGGATGACTCATAATAGCGTTTTAAGATAAAAAGAGAATCATTTTACAAAGGGAGAACATATTTCAATTAAATTGTTTTGATAAACAAAGAAAATTAAAGCTGCGACAAAATTGGTTAAGTGGAGTTTACACAACGCTTGGAGTGATTGGATTGGTGACATTTGTGTCGTTCACAGAACATCCTAACTAGTGTCGTTCTTTTTCAAGATCGCTAGAGAAATGAGAATTAGGTTTCCTACAAACTTTGACCTTGAGTTGTCCAATAGCTTTGCAGTATTTATAAGGCTGAAATATCTCATCGGTATATTAATTTAATTTCTATCTGTAACTCAGTATCCGTTGTTTGAATAATTAATCATAATAATTTATGTTCTATCAGATAATTAGGAATATTGGGCAGGTTTTAATACAGTTAATACAAGCGCCGTTCAGCGAATTTTTTGACTAAAGACGTTTGACCGAACTAGTCCGACCGCGCGCCATTATTCTATGGCTAGAAATTGGCCTCAATGATTTGGGATCGAGGGGGATTATCCCTCTTTATCCTGCCTCATCTCGTGTAGGCCTGGACAGCCTTCGTAGGTGGGCCCCATCCGTCGTCTACCCCGACCGCAAATGCGGCCGGTGTAGGCGCTTTGTGGGACCTCCTTTTGTCCTGGCTGGGCCCCGCCGGCTAGGGCCCTTTCTTCTGGCGCTCTTCTTGCTTCGCCGGCTCGTCTGTGTAAACCCCGGGGGTAGTGTCATGTTTATGTGTGGTATGGTTGGGTAGGGTAGTGCGGCTATGCAGCCTGGGATGCGCTTTGCTAAGGTGGCCCTTAGGCTAGCGCGGGAGGG